GTTCCGCGATGCTCGGCTTTTCTTTCTCGTTTTTCCAGAGATTCGGTGGCGCTGCTGCACTGGCGGGGCCGACACCGTCATTGCAGGGCAGACGGAGGCGCCGCGGAGCGACGGGTCAGTGAACTGTGGCATGGGGCCTACACTGCCACGTGGCGACAGGCTGACAGGCCCGACTGGCGGAGACACCGCGGAGGGAGGCGCACAAGGACGGCGCCAAGGCCGCCACGGCCGAGCCGGCGGCCCGCTACTACAGTGCGCGCTACGCCACGAGCTAGCAGTGCAGCGCGCCGCCACGCCGCGCCCTTGCACCGCCACTGCACCGCGAGATAACGCATCAGTGCCAAGAGCATCTCCCACAATCAGTTACCGAACGCCCCAGCCCCACCTCGGCGCGGCGGTGCACCTAGCGGGGCCTGCCTGGTCGTCACGAAGTTGGTCAAAAAGTGATTGAATCTCCGAAAGTAGCCGTTTTCGCTGTATTTGAGCGGCCACTGCTTCGATCTAGTAGCGGCCAACGGCCTCCCTCGACGTCCTAGTATTCTTAAGACCCTACTCTTTCATGCCCTGTATCCGGAAGACGTTGACCACAACGATTTTGCCTTTGACCGCAACGATTTTGGGACCAAAGTTGGTCAAAAAGTGGTCGAATCTCGGAAATTTGCTGATTTTGCTGACTTTGGGCGGCCACTGTGTCCAATCTAGTTGCCGTAAAAGGCCTTCCTCAACGTCCTAGTATTCTCAAGACCCTACTCTTTCATGCCCTGTATAAGGAAGACGTTGACCACAACGATTTTGCCTTTGACCGCAACGATTTTGGGACCAAAGTTGGTCAAAAAGTGGTCGAATCTCGGAAATTTGCTGATTTTGCTGACTTTGGACGGCCACTGTGTCCAATCTAGTTGCCGTAAAAGGCCTCCCTCAACGTCCTAGTATTCTCAAGACCCTACTCTTTCAGCCCTGTATAGGGAAGACGTTGACCACAACGATTTTGCCTTTGACCGCAACGATTTTGGGACCAAAGTTGGTAAAAAAGTGGTCGAATCTCGGAAATTTGCTGATTTTGCTGACTTTGGACGGCCACTGTGTCCAATCTAGTTGCCGTAAAAAGGCCTCCCTCAACGTCCTAGTATTCTCAAGACCCTACTCTTTCATGCCCTGTATAGGGAAGACGTTGACCACAACGATTTTGCCTTTGACCGCAATGATTTCCGACCAAGTTGGTCAAAAAGTAGTCGAATATCGGAAATTTGCTGATTTTGCTGACTTTGGAGGGGCCATGTGTCCAATCTAGTTGCCGTAAAAGGGCCCTCCCTCGACGCCCTAGAATTCTTCATGTCCTGTACGGGAAGGCTATTGACCGCAACTTGTGGGGGAGCGGCAGCCTCACAAAGTTGGTCATAAAGGGGTTTAAAAACAATGATGATGGGGGGCCCTTTTTGCGGTCTTATCTACCGGGGCCTTTTGGGGGCCAGTCCGAGCCTGTCGAAGCCAGAGGAGAGGCGCGGGAGGTCCCTCCCCCTCCTTCGCCTCCTTCGCAGCTTGGCGGCGGCTGGGCTGCGGCTAGGCTCCGACACGACTCCAGCACGGCTCCAGCACGCCGCGGCCGCATGCCCGCCCAACCGCCGCGCGCCGCGACTACGCGCTGTACGTAAATCGGGTTCAAACACCAACGCCAACGCCGCGGCGGGCCGCAGACTGATTCTGAGTCGTTTCGTCGCTCTGCCTCTGTCGCACTCATGAGGTGCGAGGAAGACAGAGCGACGAAACGACTCTTGAGGATCGCTCGGCTGGAGTGAAGCGACTCGGTGTATCGGGTGTAGCGCGGCACGGAGTAGCGCGGCCGGGTCAACGCCCCCACCCCTCCTAGTCCTTTGGGTCGGCGTCGGCCAGGTCGTGGAGCAGCACAGCAGCACAGCTGGAGAAGTCTGGCGCGGCGTGCGCGGCGTCGGCAGACAGGCGGGCCGTCGTGGGAACGGGACGACACGGGACGGGGCGACGGCGTCGGGGATTCTCCTTTCGTCCGCCTAGCGTCAAACACGGCCGTCAGACGCATCGCAGAATCAGAAACGACGCCGCGGAAGACTCCAAACTGCAGTCCTGGCCGGAGACGCGGCGGGGCGGATCGGGCGGCGGGTTCCTCCTGTTGGAAGGCGTGCAGTACCTTGTCGCCACCCTGCCGACCATACTGGCGGACAGGTTTCAAAAGTGGAGCATGGCCGGCTGTTGTGCGCGGCGTGGCGGCGTGGCGCGGCAGGGCAACAACGACTCCGTGCCGCCGTGCGGCCCGGCAACGCCAGAGGCAGCAGGGCGGTCGCTCTGTCTCGCTCACATGGGGCGTCCCGTGCGGGTGCGAGCGAGACAGAGCGACGACACGGCGACACGCTGTGTGGATTCGCTGGGCAGGGCCGCAGGGGCCGCAGGCAGGCAGCAACCTTCGCAATTCGCCAATCTGGCCCGGCCAGGCATCGCCAGGCAGGCCGGGGAAGTGCCCCACCTTGGGGCCCGCCTCCTGGGCCTGCACTTACGTACAGTACACTGCACTCTCGCTGCCTCCGGCCTGCAGGCTGCATTCTGCCTCCGCCGCCCGGCGATACAGTGCACGGCCGGCACGGCCTGCACGCCAGTTGCATGCATGCATCCACACGCGCGGAGAGCGCAGTGCGGTCGGGCCGTCATCGAGCGCGTTTCCAGGCAAGAAGGGGAGGGGAGGCGGTCACCTTCGGTCACCTTCATGTCCGTCGGACTCGTCAGACTCCGTCCGCGCGGAGGGGACGGGGACGGCGACGTCTGCTGACGGCAGGGCCCCGTCGGGGCCTCGAGGCCGCGGAGTGCCCGGCAGGCGTTCACGTGCTTCACGCCGTCTCTGTCGCGCTCATGGGGCGTTCCGTAGGGGCGCGAGAGAGACGGCGACCGAACGTTTCTTGAGAATCGCTCGACGGACGTCAATTAGCCAGTCTTTTCAGCGCGGTGCTACTTCCTCGATTTCGCCGTGCTCTTGTTCCTTTTGCTCCTGAGTTTATGACGTCGGCGGTCCTGGAGTCAGTACTGGCAGTATCACTTATCAGTCGCTATCGCGTCCTGGAAGGAAGTTACGAAGCAACAGCAGTGCCAGGCCGCCAGGCCCAGGACGCCAGCGGCGACGGGCGAGGCGGCGGCGGCAGTAGCGGGTGTGGGCGAAGTACATCGTTTGTACGACCTCTTTTTGTACGACCTGCCCAATTCTGTCCCGACCTCGGCGGACGAATTTTGTACGACTCGTTGTCCGACCTCATTTTGTCCGACCTCCGTTTGTCCGACTGTGTACACCGAGGCCGTGTCCACCCCCGAGTGCACGTGTACACCCGTGTGCACGCACAACGTGTAAACGCGTGTGCACCCGCGCCGTGTACATCCGTGCGCACAGCAACAGTCTAAGGTCCCGCCGGGCGGGGGCGATTGCTATGCCAGGCCTAGGCTTTTCAAGCAGACTGCGCCACGCGGCGGGTTGCCTACCTTACGGGCGCACAGCAAGGGTAGCCTAGGCCAGGCATAGCAATCGCCTCCCCCGGCCCGCCAGCACCTAAAACCTTTGCGTGTGCCCCGGGAAAGGGAGGCAACCCGCCGCGTGGCAGCAGCTGCTTGCCTAGCAGGCTGGAGCAACGCCTCCCCCGGCCCGCCAGCACCTAAGACCTTTGCTGTGTGCCCGGAAGGTAGGCAACCCGCCGCGTGGCAGCAGTCTGCTTGAAAAGCCTAGGCCTGGCATAGCAATCGCCTCCCCCGGCCCGGCAGGACCTTAGACTGTTGCTGTGCGCACGGATGTACACGGCGCCGGTGCACACGCGTTTACACGGTGTCGGTGCACACGGGTGTACACGGTGCACTCGGGTGTGTGGACACGGCCTTGGTGTACACAGGTCGGACAAAACGGAGGTCGGACAAAAAATGAGGTCGGACAAAACGAGGTCGTACAAAAAAATTTCGTCCGCCGAGGTCGGGATAGAATCGGGCAGGTCGTACAAAAAGAGGTCGTACAAACGATATACACCCGGTGTGGGTGCTGCGGCGGCGGCGGTGCCGGCGGTGCCTACAGTGGTGCCGATGTGTCTGGCGAGGCGACGACCACCTGTACAGCACGGCGAGCACGACCTGTCCCTGTCGCGTCTCGGGCCAGCTAAACGGCCAGACGCGCGGACAGACGGACAGGCCGGGCAGCCGCAGCCAGGTAGTCTGCCGCTGGCACCTGCCACGCCACACACAGACAGGAGTCCGGTTCGGTTCGGTCGGGCGACCTGGACCTCTCCACTCTCCACCGCCGTCGCCACGCCAGCAGACTGATTCCGCACAGTGCGGAGGGGCCCACCCGCATCACTCTGTCTCTCTCGCACTCATGGGTACTGTCGGTCGGCGGGGCCCCTCCGCACTGTGCGGAATCAGTCTGCTGTCGCCAGTCTGGCGTCCGAGAAGGCATTGTCCGCGGTGGCGCCTGGAGGCGGGCTGGAGCAGGCTGGAGCCACCCCGTCGACGCCCACGCCGCGCCCGGCCGGGCAAGAACCCGACAGGACGTTGTCCCCGATTGACGCCACGGCACGCTAGACGCGGCCTAGACGGGCACCGTTTCGTAGAGAGAGCGAGGCCGCCACGCCAACGTAAGGTACCCGACCCGCCGCCCAACTGCCATGTCCTCACAAGTTGGCGAGCAGTCTGCGCCGCACTGTTCCCTCTACTCCTGCGGTTTTCCAGAGGAATCGTGAATTTGGTTGAGTAACGACCGGGCGGAGCGCGGTGCATCGTGATGCAACGACAACGGCCCAGCCATGCAGCAACAATGCCTGCCCTGCCTGCCCTCCGTGCCGCCCCTTCCTGGGGCACGTCGCTTAGGCCCTGCCCTCGGCCCCTCGGCTCGGCGCCCTAGCCCTCAAGCTGTCGCAACGCCAGCACCGCCAGCACTAGCTCGCCATGCAGTCCATGATAGCGCGGTGCTGATCCGACAGGCCGACCGACGAGGAGAAAAAGCAGCTCACCTCAGCAACTCGACACTCCGTTGCACTCCGTCCGGACGAGACGACGACGGGGAGCGCAGTTTAGGTTAGTCGGCCCTCAGCTGACGACACGCTCCTGGAACAGCGCGTATCGATTTTCTCGTCCAACTCGGACGACAACAAAGACTGGGGGCAGGACGATCCTGCGGGAAAGCCACCAAACTCGACGGCGGGGGACTTGAAGGGGCACTGCACACGCACTGCTACTCAGCTGTCAGCGGGGTTACGCTCTAGCAGACGACACTCGCGCTCCGCAACAAACACACTCTGAGTAATTGACGAAAGTGGTGTTTAATTCGCGTGCACGAAGGCGAGCGTAGCGGTCCACAGCGACACGTACACACGCCGCGAGGTTCCGCGCAAGACTGACTGCCTGCTGGCTGTCTGCCTGCTGCCTGCTGGCTGCCAGCACTGCCTGGCGGCCGCATGGTGGAGGTGGAAGGGGGTAGCGCGCAGCCAACCGCGAGCCGCGGGACGCCCCCACCACAACCACTGCCTCAGCGGCAGCAGCAGCAAACGCAGGATCCCAGCGCAACCCTCTCTCACCCTCTCGAGGGGGGAGGGGGCCTCGACATTTGCCTCTACGCCCCCTTAGGACGCTTGCCTCGCACCCCCTAGGAGGATATGTGACATTACATTGCCCACCTACCCGCCTCCTAAAACTCCCCGGAAGTCATCTACGAGTGACTGGGACTTCCCCAGGCGACTCGTCCCACATCCACCCTGCAAACCCTGCAGCAGCCCTTTCCAGCCCCCCTGCTGCCGGGTGGCGCGGTGGCGCCTCCCTCCACCCCTTCCACATTCCAGGCGGAACCAGTGCTAGCTGGTATCCGCCAGTTGTTTATCTCCGGAGAGGCTCTCCACTGCAGGGCCCTGGACCAGGGCAGCAGCTTGGTTCCGAACAGCGGCTTCGTCGCCATCTTTCTCTCTCTCACCCAGCACACCCCCGCAGGAAGCAGCGCGAGCGGTGAGGTCACTGTTCGGAATCAGACCCCTGGTCTCCATGAATGGCGTAGTGCTGGCGTGGGGGTGAGGCGCTGAGGCCAGTGGGAGTGGGTTTACTGCAGCCCAGCCAGACCCAGGGCCGGACCAAGGCCACGCGGGGCTCGGCACGTGGCCACGTGGTCCAAACGGTTGTGCCCCAGCCCTACCCAGCCCCTGTGGTGCCCTCCTACTTCACAATGACAAGCGATGGGCTTTTCTCCCTGCTAAATATTTCCTGAAGCAAATGCAGAGAGACCGTATGCGCCTGTTCGGTACAGTTACGGATTAATGAAGATCTAACTCGCATTTAAGCATTTAGCAGCAATTTGAATACTTTACCATAGAGAGGGAAGAGGAAGAATCAAAATATCTTAGTTAAAGTAATAGACTTAAAAGGATTTATTAAAACTCAGGTTTACAACATGATAATAATATAAAAATTATTAAAAATTATAACAGTTACAAAACTTGAAAAATATAAAAAGTGTATCAATAATATTGGGAATTGTCAAAGACAGTTGAGCCTATGTTGGTCCCTTACATTAATTACTTTGCAGGAAAACAGCTGACCTGAATCACATTCTTCTTCCTAATTATGCAAACTATGCTCCTCCCACTCCCATAGAAGAGAGGATAAAGCCTGACAGTACAGTCATGACAGTAACATTTCAGAAAGCTAGGGGTTAAAAACATTCAGTATATCACAGTATAGGAGAGTTGGCTTTTGTCTGTAAAATGCCATAAACACCTTTCAGCTCTGCTTCTGAATTCGGTACAGTTTTCTGAACCTGGAGTCCAACGTAGTGATGGGATGAAGACCTTTGTCATTATAAAGTTGCTGCAACTGCAAATAGAGAAATCAAAGGTAAACTTTGCAACATGCAAAATCGAATGGGGCTTTAGGTGTTTAATAGAAAATATGTTCCCTTTCTTCTAATTGAGACATATACCTGGAGAAGTTTTTCCTCTAAGTGTGTAGTACGGTCAGATGCAAAGACGGAAATAAAATGAGACACCTCCTCAGAGACAACTGGTGATGAGCCTAGATAGAGAATTACTGAAGCTTAGGTAGATTCTTCAAAGAAAAATTCAGGTTGTACATAATTGTGACATTAAACTATTAAGATAATCTTACCTCTTTTCTTGGCATCTACATAAATTTTTACATGCAGAACATCTTCATAATTCCTTGCAACCATTTTAGCAGTCTCTTCCTTAACTCTTCCATATTTACCCATATTTGTTCTGCAGATTTAATAGAGAATTTACTTGTTTAGTCCTTGTTGTCCAATGGAAAAAAAAATCTGTTGTTTTCAGTTAAAGTCAAAGAAAATACTTACGAGTAAAGAAAACTAATAAGAATCTTTGGCTTTCTGTGAAGGTCAAAGTCATTAAACTTTGAGTGGAGCCAATAATTTTCCATTTGCTGAGAACCATCAAGGTACAAGGAAAATACAATAACCATTAGGGAACTCACATCTTCTAACTTTGCCTGCAAAGAGCGGAAAAAGAGTATTACACATAGCACCTGAATGGGAATAAACATGTGATCAAACAAAGTAAGGCTGTGTTCACACTTGTGTCGCCTTGAATAGCATAGCAGGGGGGATGCAAAAAACCTACATTCTTGTGTTCTGCAAATGAATCAAAGAGGTTTTGTCTTGTCCGCAACGCAAGGCCACCCAACATTACACAAGCTTGAAAGCACCATCAGTAAAATTACCTTTCCTTCCTCGTAAGTCAGAAACCCCTGACCCTGAAAAAGATCCTGGAGAGCTTCTCTATCTTTGTTGCATTCGTCACTTCTCCATTCCTTATTCAGGAAGACATAATGATCTCCCTCATCAGAATAATATTCAAGAGGTACCTCAATGGGCTCCTCAACAATACTGTGAATGAGACAGATGATGAGAGTGTTAATTAATGAAATTGCCAATAACAGTTATCACTAAGTTTCTAAATGGAATTCCCTCATGCTTTGACAACTTTGTATGACACTTTACCTCAAAGTTGGATCCAAAGCCCTTGCCAAGTCTGGGTGGCCGCTGTCCTTCAAACAATTTATCAAAAGTTGGAATGCCTGAGGGCCTCTTCGTTGGATATCCAAGTAAAATTTAAAGCACAGTTCTTTCGGCGTAAAACCTAAATTGGGTCTTTCCTAGATAACAGAAATGGAGAGCAAATATGAAGGAACAAAAATATTTTTATCTGCCAGCAACAGGTTTGTGTTTGCTTTCGCTATGACAAAAGGAAAGGAAACTTTTGAGGGGACCTCCCTATGACCTGTTTTGGGCCAACCAAAAGAAAACTGAGTAGATCATGTGGACAAGTCTTATGGGATGAAAATGCAATTTCAAAGAATATAGTTACACACAAAATATATAACTAACCTTCCACTTTGATAGGAGAGCTTCAGGTATTACATCTCGATTTTCGTCTAGCTTGTCAATAGTACGAACGAGTCGCTCGTAAGAAGTTTCGTTCACTAACTGTTCCAAGTTACCAGTAATTCGCTTCCTGTGAACGAAATCCATAACTGTCTGAACGTCAAAAATAAAAAGCCCAACAAAAACAGAAAAAAAAGAAGACTTTGTTTTTACATTAGACTACTTTTAACTTGTATGCGAAATTCAACACAGCATCAAGGAAAGTTGTTCTTTGCCTCCCAACGCGCTATTTCTTCTGTAACACAGTCTTAAACCTTAAAAAAAAAATCTTTCAATGTATGAAGCAAAACTGATAAAACTGATAAAATTCGAGAGAGGTATATTTCACGTAGGTTTCGTGAAGTTTCGGGCCGCCAAATTTGTCATAGAATGCTGAACTAGTCGGCCGATCGTCCATTTGACACTGCTTGACACCCCTTCCCTTCCACTCGTTTCCGCCGTTTACATTCCAATTTTACGTCGAATAGGTGTGATTAATTGAACCTATTGCTGTTTTATGATCGCTCGAGTGAGTCTTGGCGAGAGCTGTCACCACAATCCGGTAAGCTCTCCTCTGGCATCGGAATCTCACGAACGGAGCGGAGGAACAGCAACGCCACTCCTTGTCAACACAACCTTCTTGTCCTGGCGGTCCAGAGTGTAGATTTCGGAAACTAGAATTTACGTCGAGAAACCTGCCACTTGTCAGCAGTCCCCACAATGTTTCGGTATGAGCAAAATCCAACTTGATGAACGAAACCTGCAGAAACTCTTCAACGGTCGGTGGCGGTCCCACTTGTCTCCTTTTTTTCCATTTTGTAGTTAAGTTTGTCCGCGAATGTCAATCACCTTTCCTTCATTTGTATTCGTTATGTAACCTTAGGAGTTCCCTTGTCTTTAGGTACATGTATTTCGGAAGCTAACCTTTCTCCTGTTAGTTTTGGTGGCGGCGGGGTTATGTTTATGACCGGTCGGTTGTCAGGTTTTGTCTCTCATTTTGGTGCTTCTTCAATATTTCTTAACCAGCTTTCAGAGTGCTTCCATTTCAGCTATATTTTATTTCAAGTAGTTTAGTTTAATGAATTCTGCCCTCCACACATAGAATTGTCCCCATGCTCTGTCGCTTAGTTGTTGACCTAAACTTTCGTTCCTGTACTCATCCATTTTTTTCTAATCCTGTTAGGGTTTGGGACTGTGCTGTGATGCTTTCCTGAATCATGGTGTTGGTTCTATTTTTGAGCATGCGACATAATATTACTGTATGAATAACTTCAACATATCTGTTTTAGGTCTTCAATGATGGCACCTCAAATGTCTCCTCAAGAAGAACAGGAGAAGATGCTCGACGAAGCGTTGGGAATAGTAAAGTCACAAGCATTTCAAATGAAACGCTCCTTGGATAATGGAAAACTTATGGATGGCTTGAAAAATGCATCAACAATGCTTGGAGAACTACGTACTTCATTGTTGTCTCCAAAAAGCTATTATGAACTATGTATCCTTTGCACATGCATCCTCTCTGTTTCTACATTTACTTGATCTTGTGTGTACCTTAACTTCTCTTTTAGATATGGCCATTACAGATGAACTTCGACATCTGGAACTTCATCTATATGATGAGTTTCAAAAAGGACGGAAAGTAACGGATTTGTATGAACTGGTGCAGTATGCAGGAAACATTGTCCCGAGACTGTGAGTCTTATACCACCTATTTAATTACTTCTGGCCATAAGTTACAAAATTTTCTAAACATTTGGAAACTTTCAGATATCTTCTCATCACTGTCGGTTTAGTCTACATTAAAACAAATTCTTGTTTGAAACGGGATCTTCTCCGGGATTTAGTTGAGATGTGCCGAGGAGTGCAACATCCATTAAGAGGCCTTTTCCTTCGCAACTACCTGCTTCAAGTTACAAGGAATATATTACCTGATAACCCCGAAGGGGCAGAAGAATCAGAGGGAACGGTGAGAAATTTGAGAACAGCTATACATCATCTTGACTTCTACCTTCAAATATGATCTATTGAGTTCTTATCATGAATCTCACCTGTTAACTTAGGTACGAGATGCTGTTGATTTTGTCTTGATGAATTTTGCTGAAATGAACAAATTGTGGGTGCGTATGCAGCATCAAGGACATTCACGGGACAAGGAGAGACGTGAAAGGGAGAGAGAAGAGCTTAAGATTTTAGTTGGTACAAACTTGGTTCGGTTGTCACAGCTTGAAAATGTGAATCTAGACTTGTATAAAAAGGTTGGCCAATATGTGTTTATGTAAATTTTAGCAATTGCTTTAATGGGCAAACTTAAACTTAACCATTTGTTATTCTTTTCAGCTTGTCTTACCTGGGATCTTGGAGCAGGTTGTAAGCTGCAGAGATGCAATTGCTCAGGAATATCTTATGGAATGCATCATACAGGTAATAAATGAAATTCGGCATGAATTTTCCTTTGCTATTAATTATCACAATTATCATGTTTGTCAGTATGTGTTTCATGATCGATCATGTTTGTCCATTTTATCCGTAGGTTTTCCCTGACGAATTTCACCTTCAGACTCTCAATGCATTTTTGGAGTCTTGTGCCCAACTACAGCCTGGTGTAAATGTTAAGAATGTTATCATTTCTCTGGTCGACCGACTAGCAACCTTCTCTCAGCGAACGGAATCATCTGGTGGTATTCCTAATGATGTGAAGCTGTTTGACATTTTTTCTGAGCAAGTTGCCTCTGTTATACAGGTAAGTGCAGTCTGTTCTTTCAGAGATAATTATTTCTGACTAGTTTTTCTTTTTTAACTTTAATAATTTTCTTTTTCTGTATTTCAGTCACGACAGGACATGCCTCCAGAAGATATGGTTTCTTTGGAAGTTTCTTTGGTAAACCTGGCTCATAAGTGCTATGCAGACAGAGTGGATTATGTTGACAAGGTTTTAGGCTGTACTTTGCACATCTTTGAGAAGTTGAATGTCGAACGGTATGATTTGACTACATAATCAAGAATGACATTCACTTTTCTGACATCATTTCCTTAACTGACTTTTTGTCCCTCCAGTGTCAGCTATGAGAGTGCAGTCTCACGGGAGCTCATGCGGCTAATGAAAATTCCTGTTGACCAGTATAACAATATTCTGACTGTCTTGAAGCTCCAACAGTATGCACCTCTTCTCGAGTACTTTGACTACAAGGGCCGCAAGTCTTTGGCAGCTTACATAATCATAAACATTCTTGAAAATGACACACTTATTCCAACACCTGAGGAGGTATGAGATAGGTTTCTATCTATCCCTTTACGGTAAACCAGTTTTGGGTGCTAATCTATAATTTGTGGTGACAGGTTGATACTGTGTTGACCATGGTGGCTTCTCTAATCACTGATCAACCAGATCAGCCACATGAGGAGGAAGACCCAGAAGACTTTGCTGAGGAGCAGGGGCTTGTAGGCCGGTTAGTATTAAAATTTTTCTTATAAATTTATCAATTTTCTGCAACTTGTAACTCTACAGCTGCATTCTATCAATCAAACAGGTTAATACACCATCTGAAGTCTGAGGTGCCAGACCAGCAATATCTTATTTTAAGTGCTGCACGGAAACATCTTGGGGCAGGGAAGGCAGAAGGAAACAGAAGAATTAAGTTCACACTTCCTCCAATAGTATTCCAAGCATATCAGTTAGCATACAAATATAAGGCTCTGAAAGATCAGGTAACAATTTTGTATTTTACAAAGATAATTGTGCATGTTGTATAAATTAGTTTTCTCTTAAAAATTCCCTGTTATTTTCAATTATTTTTTTTTTAAAGGATGATATGTGGGAGAAAAAGTGTCAGAAAATTTTCAAGTTCTGTCATCAAACGATTACTGCCTTAATGAAGGCAGAACTTGCTGAACTGCCACTTCGATTGTTCCTCCAAGGAGCTCTAGCTGTTGGTAGGATTCAGTTTGAAGACTATGAAACAGTTGCTTATGAATTCATTTCTCAAGCATTCTCTATCTATGAGGATGAAATCTCAGACAGTAAGGCACAGTTAGCTGCTATGACTTTGATGGTTGGAACATTTGAGCAGTTGGCATGTCTTAGTGAAGAGAATGCTGAGCCTGTGCGCACTCAGTGCACCCTAGCTGCTTCTAAACTACTGAAGAAGCCGGATCAGTGTCGTGGAGTAGCAACATGCTGTCATCTCTTCTGGTCAGGGAAAAAGATAAGTGGAGAGGAGGTGAGTGGGAAGATCAATGTAAGAATCTCTTTGGTGTTTTGAAATTCTTATCTCAGTATGTCAAAATTGTGTCTTTCCCCAGCAACATGATGGAAAACGAGTTTTAGATTGCCTCAAGAAAGGAGTACGCATTGCAAACCAGTGCATGGATTCCTCAGTTCAAGTGCAACTCTTTGTTGAATTGCTCAACCATTACCTCTATTTCTATGAGAAAGGAGACGATCAGGTATGTGTTTAGGTTTTTGAAGTGTTGTGATTAGTCTTAAGTTAAAAGGAATCAACTATTTGGGGTCAAGATGAGAAAAAGTCTTATACTTCCTTTTTGTTGTTGTTCTGTGCAGGTTACAGTTCAAATGTTAAATCATCTGATTAGCAAAATTCATGAAGAGTTGCCCAATTTAGAAACAAATGAGGAAACTGAGCAAATCAGCAAACACTTTAGTAATACTTTAGATCATCTTCGTAATAGAATGGAATCTCCTGAGGCAGATGGCGTGAGCTATGAAGGACTTGTTCTCTGAGGTGAGTAAAACTTGTTTTGGTATATCTTGTAACTTTATTTGATTGATAGTTGAATTAAAATGGAAGGACATTTTTCAGGTTCAGATGATTTTCTCCAAACGTGCATCTTGATGACCAGTAATAACTGAATTACTCTTGTTTTCAGAATGCACAAGTGAAGACGTAAACTCAGTGACCCTCTATGATAAGATGTATTACAGGGTACACCTAACGATATCTTGTTTTTAAGTTTAGTAAAACCTGGTTTGTTTTACTGACATTTCTACTTTCAATGTTCCCCATACACTACTGGGTTAGTTAAAGTTTATCTAATCAAAGTTTGTTCATTATCCCATTTTTACTTATTGAACTCATGGTTCATACAATACAATCTCCACCTAATTCAGCATGCTTAATAGTTTCAAGAACTATTTTCTAGAGATTTGTTTGCTTGTGATTTAGTTTTGTGATTTTTGCTCTCAAAAGATGAAATAGTAAATTGTAATCGATGATCTGTTAACTGCTTTGATGAGCCTCTGAAATGTACTAGGATTGGTTTATTTTTCTAAAGTTCATTCTCATGTTGAGCTGAAAGCAGGCAGGGAGAAAACTAGTAGATTTACACAAAATAATGTGAAACGGGAGAGATGGTTCTCAAATATATGGTAGTTAATTGAATGTGTCTACACAGTCCTCCCATTGATCAATGCTGATGTGTACTATTCACCTTATTGACTGTGATTTTTCAGGCTGAGTTAATTCTGTTTGTTAAGACTTGTCAATCGTATGACGATAATCAGCCTGTTTATGGTTTTGCGTTGTTATAGTTAAAGAAGGTGGCATCCTTAATGTGTCTGTTCTTCCTAACATACAAACTTGCATCTCAAAATTGTTTTCAAATTTTCTGAAATAATTTGTTGTAAGAATGTGGCCATTCTTCAATTATTTTAAAATAGCTTTAGTATAAATGGTTGTTGCAAGCACCCAGATTTTTAATAGAAGAGATTATTGATATATTTTGGAATGAAATAAGTTTGTATCATTTTTAAGAATGAATCTTTTTACTTGTATTATGAGGGTTAAGTGAAATTGAATTCAGTTTCAGAATGTGTTGCAACATATGAAGTGTTCTGCTGGTCAGTCAAACCCGTGTTACTCATTTAATCCATTATCATATACGATTGTTTGTATTATATTTCATGGCCAAGTGCAATCTTTTATAGTTGTTGTTTTTTTTCCCCTTTTAGATGTGTGTATCCCTTTTCATGATCTGTAGATTGCATGTTTTGTTTAGTGCAGAAATGTTATATCAGTATACCATGTATACTCCCATGAACTTGCATTTCTGTTTGTTATATTGGCCTAGTGACATTTGCCCCCTTTTTTTACTGGTTGTATTTGTTTCCATGCACTGGCTACATACTTTTTAAATACAAACATGTAAAGTAATAGAGGAATAAAGAAGAAATCTGTATCACTTTGCAAAGTCTTTTACTGTCCCTCCCTCTCGCTTCCATCTAAGAATTTACTTTTGCTTTGTTCTCACCTTTCAAGCACCAATCAAGGATGTTATCAAACTCATTTTCTGCTGTGTGTAAAAAGTTGTTGGCTTCTAAATGAGCCTGAAACAATCAAGTAATACAAGAAAAATAATTTTGAGCCCAGACGAAGCTTTGTATTTTCAATTTCTTTCCAGCTCTACCTTTTGTCTCTGGAGATTGTCTATTAAGTGTGACTGCTTGGTGCAGATGCTGGTGAACTCCATGCGTTGGCGTTCTAGTGTTTTGAGTTTACACTGAAGTTGATCTATTATTTTTCTTTGATTTTCTCGATCATCCTATAGACAATTTTTGTCCTATAGTAAAAACACACACACAAAAAGAGAAATTACAATGAATTAGGTGTTAAACAAACCTTGACCTGAAGTTGAGTTTGTTTCATGCTGTTGCGAAGTTTCTCATTATCCTCCAGAGCTCTGTTTAAACGTAATTCTACAGCAGAAGTCTGTTGCTTCTGGAGTTTCAGGTCCTTTTTAGCAGATGCCAATTCCTTTAACAAAATGGACATGGTGGTCGTTACCTAACATTACAGCATTTCAAAATAATTTCTGATTTGTACTTCTATACCTTGTTCAATGAAGAGTTTTCAGCTTGTGCTCTTGTCAGGTTTTGCGATGTTAATTCAAGTTTATTTTGAAGATTTGCTGCAGCGTCTCTTGCACTTGAAAGAGAGGAGTCAAGACGGGCACCTTCTTCGTCAGACCTAGCTAGTTCTGCGCTAAGTTTTCTGCATTCTTCTGACTGAAACACAATAAGAACTTTGATAAAAATAATGATGAGAAAAATACAATATTGCTTTTGAATACCTTGCTTTTGTAGTCTTGTCTCAGGGTGTCGACTTCCTTGTTCAGGATAGTTAATTTAGCTCTTAGCAGTCGGTTCGTTGCCTCATATCCCAAACCATTGCTCCGAATGGCAAGGGGGTCCTCAGCCCTGAAATATTTAATTTTACTTGTGGAAAAAGAAACACAGAGGCACACTCGGGCACACTTAAGTATCTGGTTTGTATTCTAATTACTCACATTTCTTTCTTGTTTGAAGAGCTAGGGAATCTTTCTTCTTTGACAGAGAATGACTGCATCGATGTCGAATCATTTTTTTGAGAAAGTGATCGTGAACGATTGAGTGCTGAACTAGAGGTGCAGTAATCAATAAACAACAGTTGTTTACACTAACTAAAATTTAATTGGAAAGTGAATGGGTACCCTACCTAATCACTGGACGTGCAATATCATTAAGCCCATTTTTACTCTGTAAGCAGAAGTAGGGTGAGTACAAGAACAACACTTTCGTTATTGTGTGATTCCCCCGGATTCCCCCCGCCCCCCTTCTTTCTTGTTTGTCATCCTTGTCACCTTGGCTGCGTCAATCTCCTGCAATAGTCGGTTTGTCCGCTCCTCAAGCTCGGAGTTTATTTTGTGAAACTCCTGTTCCCTTCGAAGCAGCTCGCTCTCCATCGCCAGTGAAATAGACACAAGCTACTGGAGCAAAATAAGCAAGCGATATAGCCAGCGCGAGGCGTCACCCGAGCCGAGCAGCCGAGCCGAGCCGAGCCGGTTGGCCGTAACGTTGGATACGGTAGCACCACCACCCCACACCCCAGGGACGGGTGCGTAGTTGGGGGTGGGACTGTCTTGTAGAGCGTGACCGGCCGGCCAGCTGCTCGTCAAGCTGGCAGCACTTCATTCTGCCATTTCGAAACTGCTCAAACGCGGGACATTGGTTTAGTAAGTCCTCCTTCATCCGCATAGCGCAGCGCGACCCGCGGCCCGGGGAAGACATTGGTAACGCCCTCGAGACAGCGGATTTGAACTGCTTCGCGCGAAAGGTGCTGCCAACTTGTGTGCCTCCGACAATCCATCTTCGAGAAGTGACGATAATGATGCGATTGAAGAGAGGTAAGTTAATAAACTCACCAAATAATTTTAGAGGGTTTTTAATTTGCATGTGGTGTTACTTGGTTTAAGAATATCTTATAAATTGAACTCGTGACGAACTCGTGACACGATGTATTATGCACAGTTGGTGAAAAAGGGTTGAGTCCTGTGTGAGTGTGTTTGTGTGTGTGTGGCCGAGAGGGTGCACTTTGACAAGAGTTATGAACTTTGCTCAGTGATCTGTGAATTGTTCGAAGACCAACAACCTCTTCTTCTCCGCACATTCTGTCTTCTAGTTCAACAAATTTCGTGAATCATGTCTGACTCGGCGGAATCTTCAGGCCAGGGCAAGACCAGCCCGGTCAAGTATTTTATTTCGGGCGGCTTTGGTGGTGTGTGCACAGTACTGAGTGGACACCCTTTAGACACTATCAAGGTTCGGCTTCAAACTATGCCCAAACCTGCTCCCGGACAACTACCTATGTACGCCGGGACGTTTGACTGTCTGACGAAAACAGTCAAGCAGGAGGGAGTTCGTGGGCTGTACAAAGGAATGGCCGCACCCCTAACCGGCGTTGCCCCTATTTTCGCCCTCAGTTTCTTTGGATTCGGTCTGGGAAAGAGGCTGCAACAGTCTGCCGAAGGGGAAGAATTGTCCTTGGTCCAATTATTCAATGCCGGTGCTTTCTCTGGCGTTCTAACAACTGTCATCATGGCTCCTGGTGAGCGCATCAAATGCTTGTTACAAGTACAACAAGCTGGTACAGGACCTGCCAAGTACGCTGGGCCAAAAGACTGTGTGAAGCAGCTGTACAGGGAAGGCGGTCTTCGTAGTATTTACAAGGGTTCAGTGGCGACCCTCTTGCGAGATGTTCCAGCAAGCGGCATGTACTTTATGTCGTATGATGTTATTCAGCGCAGCTTGAAGAAAGAGGGACAGGAGATCGGTCTTCTATCAACAATATTTGCTGGTGGTATGGCTGGCATTGCCAACTGGGCAGTCGGCATGCCTGCAGATGTGATCAAAAGCCGTCTGCAGACTGCTCCTGAGGGTACTTATCCTAATGGAATTAAGGATGTCTTCCGCAGTCTCCTGAAAGAAGACGGACCTCGAGCATTCTATAAGGGTGTCGTTCCAGTAATGCTGCGTGCCTTCCCTGCTAATGCTGCTTGTTTCATTGGATTTGAAGTTGCTATGAATGCCCTCAATTTACTTGCCCCTAACTTGTGATGAACAAAAAGTATATTTACCGATAGTATGCAACCGATGCCATAATTAAGTTAAAGACGATAAAAATTTCGTTTTTGTCAACCATTTAGAGAATTGTGTTTTAAGACATAAGTTTTTCTAATGCATATGATGGCAGAAATGTCTGTAGCTGTGTGCAGGGTATTTTTCATTCTTAATTTGGTCCAAATCACAAAAACATCACATCTGCTTTGTCCAGGATGTATGAAAAGACTGTCAATGCCTTCACATTGTTTTTATTTTTTGATTAATTAAGGAGCCTATGTAATTCTTTTGAATTTCAGTATTGCAGTGTGCTTTATGCATACTGTATTGTTATGGCACTCAAAATGAGTTGTCAGTTGTGATAACATGTAAATTAATTATATTTTTCTAAAATTTCATGTTAAAGATTGTACTGTAACTCTCTTTTTTTATTTCTGTTTTGGTCCATGCGGGGTATTCTTTGTTTCTAAAATATTGAGGCAGGTCGTGAACAAGTTTGATCCTTCAACTGTTCTTAATTTCAAATGTAACTTTTATATAAGTGCTTTTAATAACCTTGTGTTCTTGTTTTCTTAAATTTATCGATGTGTGGATTGTTTGGTCTTGCTTTATTTATTATGGTGCTTTAAAGAGTGGGATAGATGTTTCATACTTAATTGAAAATGTCTGTTACGGGTCTATATAGAACTTTTTGTAACTTGCCTGAAAACGTACTGTCTTGTCTGTCTATTAATGTTCTAATGAAATTTGCTTTGTATTTTATCATGTTGTTATATTTGAACAATGAAAGTGTAAAGCTCTGAATATTTTCATTCAGTATGCCTTATGACGTCAATGAATTCACTTTAGTGAGGCATTCATCCAACCATAGCAACAATTACCATGCTAGGCAAACACTTGAATGAAAACACATCATCCTTTGTGACAATCACATTTATTCACAAACAAAGGAACAGATAACATCTCTCCCAGGTATATAAAATTCGTAAATTGCGCGTTTGAAAAATGTTACATTTTGCATGTCAATTCTGGTTCCCACATAGTCATATTATAAAAATATTATTGAGGTCGACCAACAAACAGCACTAGCACATGATGAGGTGCATATTCTTATACTTAGCTTCGATTCTATGAGATATTCAGTTCAGCATTTGAGAAAACCACTGTGGAATGCTGGGGACAACCCAGAAAACATACAGATAGAGAGCAATTATTATCATTATGGGAAATGGAGGTGACCACAGTTCTGCTGCTGCTGACTATGGAACTAAGGAACACTTTAAAACAGTATTTTAAGATGAGAATCTTCCTGTTGCAAACAATAAATGATATGGGTATTCCATTTCACTGATAACACGCAGCAAGCTGGAACCAGTGACGGGACCTAAAATACTAGCAGCTTTTTGACAACCATGAATGAAATGCAAATTTCTTAAATAACTTACTTAGCAAGAGAAATTTTGTACAAGAGGGCAAGACTGACTAGCTTGACGCAACCACTCATTTTCTTTACACCTAGTTTCTGAGCACAACAAACCCAGCACAAGCATGGATACTTTTTCAATGTCAGGAAACAAAATCAGAAAGAAGACCAGCATCTTAGGATGCAAATCAATTTAAACTTCCCACAACACAGAGTGGAATGCAGAGTTACAAACTTCTGTTTCAGTTCACGAAAGGAAACTAACTAAAAATATGCATTGTCTTATTTCACAAGCATAAAATAAGAGTAAAACTTAACTAAAATATTGCATATATAATAAGCTACCAACAATTAGCCATCATACATTTCTCCTTGATAATTAAATGAATGCTCAATATAAACTTAATAGCTACATGAAGTTCAAAAACATGGCAGAACTGAACAGATACATTTTAAAAGGAGATGAACATGAAAAGGTCAAACTGTTAGGGGAGGGCCTTCAAAGAGGCAAAGGCAAGAAAATAATATCATAATAACTAACTACAAAGTTCCATCAGGAGCATAGAGAGATTGGAATGTAGCAATGCCTGACATTAGAAGTGACTCGATATGTATTTGTTGATGCAACAACTGAACAAAGATTCTAAGAGTAAATCAATTTGAGGGAGGAAGCAAAGTACTGTAATAAAAATAATAAAAGAACAGCTTTGTGCAGTTTCAAATTAACACAAAAAAACACAAGTCAAGTAAATCACAAGACAATCACAATATAATAAATATTGACTAAAAAGAAGCACATGATAGCTCAATACGGAAATAAAGTCTTTATGGAAGAACTATCAAACTACATTCTAAAATGAATGCCAAATTATCAGACTAAAGTGCAGAGGACGTCATGAACTGATAAAACAGGACTTTTCTTGTCTGTCTTGTAATGACAACAAGAGTATTTTCCACGAAAATTTGATGGAGGACGGTTTGAGAAAATGGATGGATTTCGAAAGGCATGAGCAGCACTCTCGCCACCATGAACATGTCCATAATATGATTCAATACAACTCTCTACTTAAAAATCAAAATAGCACACAGGCAAAGTGATTGAACTATTGCCACATGCACACGCTTTTATATTGAAAGCAGTCTATACAGCCTTCATAATGGGAAGACTCAAATTTGAAAGCTGAGCTACTTCTGCAGGGTACAAAATATTCAGGACGGTGAGAATGCAAAGTTTTAAAAGAAAATTCACAACAATTAACTTTGCATGGGTAACACTAGTTCAGACACAACCAATAAAAACTCACAAACGGGTAACAGGGTAAAACTAAAATGCTTCTTAATATTTGTCAAGTCCCCACTGTAACCGGATGGATTTCTGGACCAATATAAATGGAAACTGCTTCTTTGTCTATTTAAAATTACAATAGAAATAAAAATTATAACAGAGAGCATATATTGCTGTTAATATGGGTGTAAAGTTCCCATAAAATATGAGGAAGAACGTTAAGATGAGTATTACTGACAAATAAATATGATATTCTGCGTGTGAGTAGGAACAAAAACTCTGAACACATCTTTTTGCCAGTCGCAAGTACCATAAACAGAATCAAAAACCTCAAAAATGTGAGCAAAATCCTGTATAAGATTCTAACATAAACAACAAGATAAGGTAATACACTTCTCTGAGTAACCACATAAAAGTTATTACAAAGCTTGGCACAGAGGCAATTAAAAAAAAGCACTAAGAGATAAGAAAATGATTTAAAAACCGACTTGCACTTCTTCAACAGTTGAAAATAAGAAAAGGGCAAGAAAGTGCGTCTCAAGTGGCAATAATACCACAAAACTGTTTAACAGCCAGTCATTTGCTAAGAAACAATAACAGATAGTTTCTTGAAAGATTAAAATCAGTACCTACACTCACATTGGCACAGAAAAAAATTAATGACTAATAGCTTAACACCAATAAATATTGATTCATGCATATCCTTTTACCACAAGGAAAACTAATATAACTACCCACATTATCACCCGTCAAAATCCACTTCCCATCTGGCAACACATAAGTGCTACCCAGGCCCTGTTATCACATTGAGTATGATGCGATCCAGCATGCCAAATATAATTTAAAGTAGCACCCTCTGGCTCAGCACAGATCAACAGCACACTGTTTAAGAGGTTCTGATTCATAAAAAAGAATTCCAACAAATCTGCACTAAAACATGGAACACCAAAAAATTGGGATTGGGGGGGAGGGGAATACAGTATTGAAATAATTTTTTTTTAAAAAGTAAATTGAAAATATTAGAAAATTATTGTAACTTTTGACCTTTTAGTTGATTAAAAACAAAAAGAACAATACCAAAACCTACATTGTCTCCTAATTAGTGGTTTTGATACAGAACCTCTCGTATATGCAAAAGAATTCCAATGCCTCATAGCCATAACAGAAAATAAACGCTACCTCAAGTATGAGCACAAGTGGGTAACAAGTGCTTCTTGACTCACACTTCACTGTCCAACCTTATAAAAATACTTCTTCATACAGGCCATAATTAGCTCCATTTGACTTTTTTCACATATAGGATAACTCTACTCACTAACAGAACACCCATCACAATTCTTCCCTTCCAGCAAGTGGGTGAGGCTGTGAGGGGACATCATCTCCACGAAGGAGACCCTTCTTCTCCTCACTAGTTGTGCCACTTGCAGTAGATGCACCAGAATTATACATTGACTCGTACATAGGATTGGAGAAATTACCCTGTAAATAAGAAAAAATGAAATTGACTGACAGGCCAACTTTCATAAGAATATTTTCCATGAATGTAGAAACTTGCCTTAACAATAGAGTCTAGAGTAAAATTATCACCATCATCATCAAGGTCTTCCCTTAGATACATAGGATTGCTGATTTCAACATTTTCAGTCATGCGCTGATGCAGGAAAGATTTACCTCTGAAATGGACAAGATGATTATTACTGTACAAGATAATGAAACTTAAAAATGACCTCAGTAAAAGCACGTCTTTTGCCTTACCCTCGACGAATCCGTTTTGTTACGTAATAAGCAATAGCTACTCCAAGCAGCAAAATTATTAGTATTGTTACAGAAATAATGACACCAGCAGAGGTTCCACTGCCTTCACTGGATGATGGGGAGCTTCCCGTCACTGCAATCTCACAACGTTTGCCAGTGAAGTCCACAGGACATCTGTAAAGAGAACAATTTTAGAAAAATCTGCAAAAGAAACACAGGTGTCGATGCAAAATGAACCTAACCAATAACTGAACAGTTTCTTACATGCAGGTTGGTTGAGGACTGCCATCTGTTTCAGGGCAATGGCCAGAGTTCAAGCAATACCCTGGTTTGCAATGTGAAGTTTGATCACACTTTGATCCAAACCAACCATCCAGGCAAGAACAGGAAGCATTTCCTTTGCCATCGAGATGACATGCTCCTCCATTTTTGCAATAGTTAATACATGCATGATTAGTTCCATAGTATGTTCCGCATTCAGGACCGTTATACTCATCAAGGCATCTGAAGGAAAGAGAAACATCAATATTTAAAAACTTGTAGTAGGAAAAGGGAAGAGCAAAGGATAGATTGATATACAGACCGGCAAACAGGATTCCCGCGGCTCTCAACGCAAGTGCCGCCATTTTTGCACGCCCCTGGACGGCACTTCTGAACAGAATTAGACTGGCACTCCTCTGGTGGGGGGAACACACAAAGGCAATGCTGATCCCTGTCGTCACAAGAACAGTTGCATAGATCTATTTCACACAAAGGACCAGCAAACTTCGGTCCACACTGACAAAACTGTTTCTTGTTTCCCGCTATGCATTTGCCTGTTCACAGATAAACATAAAACCGTGCTTAATGATAAATTATGAATCAGTCATAGGTAATGACAACCATAGACCTCATACATACCCTCATTTTTACAGAAGTCTTTACACTTATCCTTTTCACATTTGTCTCCAGTAAAGCCAGGAGCACAAACACACTTAGGACCACCGCTTGTCATTCTACATGTACTCTAAACACCAAACACAAAATCAGACAATGGACAAATTTGCCTTATTATGAATTATATAATTGTAGACCTACTCACATTTCCTTTACAGAAGCCAACACATTTTGAAATCTCACAGTTTTTCCCTGTGTATCCATTGGAACAGTTACATTTAGGCTCATCACTTTGAAGATAACACGCTCCATTGGGACCACATTTTAAAGTTAGACAATCTTTACAGCGAGGACCTACAGCACACAGGTAAAACACATTTTATAAATTATCATGTAAAAAAAAAACTATCCCCACCTGATATAAAGCTCTAAAATATCATTGGTCATCACTTAAAATACCTGTGAACTGTGGTTGACAAGCACAATAGACCGCTCCATGGCCAGCAGGGATACAAGTGCCGCCATTTTCACAACCACAGTTAGCTAGTGGAATTTCACAACGCTCTCCAGTCCACTGTGGTGGGCAGGTACACTGAAAACATAAAAGAATTGTTGTTATCATGAAACTAAGACATATCTACATTTCAAAAGAAAAATTATAAGAATAAAAGTATGATGAGGCTCACTTTAGGTACTGCTTTTCCTAGCTTTGACTCAACCACAGCATCACAGCGGCCTTGATTTTTACAGAATTCAGAGCACAGATACCTATTGCAATGCTCTCCACCATACATGGGTTCACACACACAACGAGGACCCTCAGCAAATATTTGACATTTACCCATGATACACTTCACATCACATTTTTCTGCTGCTTTTGGTTTGAGGTTGCATTCAACCTGAAATAAGCATATGACATATTATAACAAATCAACTCATTTATAACATCAAGAAGAACTTAAACAGGAAACAAATTAAAAATTTCAATGACTAGTTGCTTGTTTTTAGTTCTCACCATCAGAGCACTGGAAACAGTTGCTAAATAGCCATCGGGGCATAAGCATGTTCTGTTAGTGGTACCTGGGCGGTTGCCTTGTGGAACACAAAGAGCAGAGGGGTGGCAAGGATTTTTCTGACATACATTTAGTGCTGAAAAGGAAGAACTGGTTTAGGAACTTTTCAGAATATTCTTGTCATTACTATGAACATTTATTTTTATGATGGATTTGAAACAAAACATCAAATTAACTTTTCCAGGATATTCTTAAAAATTATAAAAATAAAAAATAAGATTCATTGATATATTTTAAATAAAATTCAAAATGACCAAGTAAATTTACAATTGAGATACTTACATGTCCGAGGGTGCTTGTTCTCCTGTAGCACAACAATATCTGGAGCTCGTTGCTGCTCTCCCTGGTAAAGTACAGTACCATTCACGCCAAAACGACCAAACTTGTCCAATCGTTTCACCATGACTGTCTTCTGGGCACTTAAGCTGACAAATAACTTATCTTCAAAGACGTCAATTTTGTATGGTCTTGTACCTAAAATGTAAAATTTGCCAACATGAAAACAGAACAAAAGGATGAAATGAAAACTAACAGAAGTGAAAAAAATTGCCGAATACCAACCTCTAGGGAACGTTATGACATTCTTCCTAAATTTACCATCAAGGTCTACAGCTTCTATTGTAAGTTTCTTAGCATCCACCCAATAAAGGCGACGGGCCTGATAATCCATTGCTAGGCCAGTAGGCCACAATACATGGTCTCCGACTAATGTATGTCGTCCATGTCCATCCATTTGTGCGCTTTCAATGCGGGCCTTTTTGCCCCAGTCTGTCCAGAATATTTTCCTGCAATTAAAAATGATCAAGGAGTAATCAGAATGGGCTAAGAGGATGGGAAATGTAAATCTTGGTAAGGATGAGTTGACTGTTATTACCCTTCTTGAGGGTCCACCACAATGCTATGAGGTTCCTCTAAATCTGTTTCAATTAGCGTAGCACGTCGAGTCCCATCCAAATTTGCAACCATTACGGCTGGAGTTCCAGAGTCAACCCAAAACAATAGCTTGTGTATCCAATCAATAGACACACCACGAGGATTATCCAACTGTGAGATCTGAAAGTCAAAGAAAAATGGTTTCAAGGAAAGTCTTTCTTTGTCTTTCGAGTTTATGGTAAGAACTTGGTTAAAATATCTTTCTGATTCTAAAAGAGCATCTCCAAATTGAGGCAGGCATCTTGATTCATATGATACAGCGCATTGAAACTCAAAAAGCCTACCGGCGAAAAGTCTCTTACTTAGAATCCAAGAACTACCAGTGTTTGATTTGAAGACTATCAGCTTACCAGAGTACGATTATCATGTTTTATGCTGCGATAATGATGGTCAGAGAAGATAATAGTGTGCTTAGGAGGATTCCAAAATGCATCAATGGATTCAATTTTGTTTGCAGATACAAGTTTTCCTGAGCTAGTCATAAGATCAAGAGCTACGTGTGGTTTATCAAAAATTCTTAACCCTGTGTCTGTTGCAACAATTATCTGAGCAGGAAGACCTAAAACACAATAAAAAGCAGAGGGTTGGCCATCAAAAAAAAAATTATCAATTCAAAAGAAATTTTATGTAACCGACAATGCTTTACCTTTGGCTACACAAGTTTTATTGGCATTGTCGCATGTTTTGTTCCCATTAGAGCATGCAAGAGTATAACCTGAGTGACAATTGCAGGCAGCGAAGGTACTATTACCACGCTTTTTAATGACACACAGTTGAGAACATGTGCCAAACTTGCATGGTGAAGGTGAACAATCACTTTCATCAGAGTTGTCACCACAATCATTCTTTCCATTGCAAATTAAGCTGCTTGGAATGCAATTTTTATTGAGGCAAATAAAATTATTGCCTTGACTACAGTCACCCTTTATGGAGTGACTTTGATTGCCTGTGGACACAAACATCAAGAGTTACTTTCAACACAACCAGTGATTTGTTTAAAAAAAACAAACTACAATGCACAGCTACTCACAAAATCTCTCATCTGAGTGATCTTCACAATCAAAAACTCCATTACACACACTGAATCCAGGGAGGCAAATAACTGATTCATTTCTCCAACATCTGAAAAAGATAAATGAGATACAGAGTCAAATATTTTAAAAGTTTAGTTTAACACATGTTTACCAAAACTCATTTTTACCTGTGGCGCCCTGGTTCACATGCCCACTTTGTACAATTTGTTTCATCCGTGCCATCACCGCAGTCATCATCACCATCACATACCCATGAAGCAGAAACACATTGTTTGTTCAAGCAATGCAACTTGTTCTCTGGACATTGGTTGGGGCAGTCAGTTTCATCAGAACCGTCACTACAATCCACATCACCATCACATTTCCAAGTACTGTGGCAGAAAAATAAATCACAGTTTTATCATGACAAATTCATTTGATGGTAATGAATGAATGATTAGTAATAAGATATGAACCTTGAAATACAATACTGTGGAGATGTGCACTGAAACTCATTGGAACTACAGGTGCGATTGCAATTCATCTCATCTGTGTGGTCATCACAGTTATATTCACCATCACACCTCTGCATACCTGCTATGCATCTACCATCGGAACACCTAAAGAGATAAAAGAAATTGGTGGTGAAAATTGAAAAAAAAGAATCAAAGCGTTTTTAGCAAAACCGACACTTTTACAATTATGGTTACTTCCTCACCTGAATTCTGACTCACTGCAATTACGGGGTTCACAACCAACTTCGTCTGAATTGTCTGCACAATCATTGTCATAGTCACACTTCCAACGCCCCGGGATGCATCTAGGACATGACAGAGACAGATAAGCAACAATGAAAGCAAATAAATTGCAATTTTTTTTAAAAAGATGGCAACTACTAGAGGACGTACTTGTTATTTTTGCATTTGAAGTAGGTGGGATCACAAGTGTGATACTCAGGATTCGAACAATTGGCGGGCTCGTCCTCTCCATTCCGGCAATCACGGTCTCCATCGCAGCGCCACGCCTTCGGGATGCACCGACCAGTGCTGCACCGAAGCTGGTCTGCGGAACAGGTGCGAGATTCGCAGTCCCTTTCGTCAGAACCGTCGGCACACTCTTCATCGCCATCACACACCCAAACATGAGGTATGCATTTTCCATCAGCTTGGCAAGAAAACTGAAAACAGATAGGTAGAGCATTATTAATAAGAAGTAGAGTGAAAAGAAAGTCAGTGTGTTGAAAAGGCAAAGAACTCTGAAAATTAAACGGATTCGCGGGGTAGTCGGTGACCAACTTTTCGACCCATCTGACTGAGCAATTTTGAGGAGGGACTCATCCTCCGAGGGCAAGTCCAGGACAACCTGGAGAAATTTATCAAGAGGGACGGCTCCTTCCATCTGGGTGACAAAAAGAGATCATCAACTTTGGTAATTTACTTGATCTTGTTGGCATGTTTTTGGAGGACAATCCTTCTCATCTTCCCCCAAAGGGCAATCTATCTTGCCATTGCAGCGTAATGAACCAGCTATGCAATGGTCAGATATAGTTCCATTACTATGGCACTTAAATTGGGTGTTCAAACATGTGTACTGTAATAAAACAAACCACAGAGAGATTAAAATAAAATATAACTAACAAGGAAAGTGATATGATGTATCACACATCTGCCTGACAGTTAATACCTTGTCACAATCTTCTTCATCAGAATTGTCTCCACAGTCAGAAGTCCCATCACAAAGATAAGATGGATGGATGCATTTGGTATTACGACACTGGAATTGTCCTGGAGTGCACTCAAACTTGGGACAGTTTGGTGGTTCATCTGAACCATCACCACAGTCATCTTGGCCATCACATTTCCACCAAAACGGAATGCATTTGTAGGTATTTTTGCAAACAATATTGGCAGATGTACAGTTTGCAATACAACTGCGGTTGTCGGGACCAAGTACAAAATTTCCTGGACAAGCACATTGATGCTCGCCATTGGGTCGAAGTAAACAGAGAGTGGAACAGCCTCCATTATTGGCACATGGGTTTTTGGTAACTGGAAGTTGTCGATAGGGATGATAAACATGTATATCCATTGGACGATGTACCATAATGGCAAGACGTTTACAGTCTTGGCCACTGTACTTATGACATCTTTCAACAGCTTTGGTCTCCCAATCTGTCCAATATAAGTAATCTTCAAAAACTGCAAGGGCAAATATGTGGTGTAGCATGAGTCTTGGATTCTTGGCACGACTCATCACAACTCTTCTGTTTTTGCCATCTAAGTCCGAGACTGCTATGTAATCTTCACGTGCGTCTCCCCAAAACAGTTCATTAGTCTCATATGATAGAGTCAACGCATTGGGCCATCCAAGGGAATCATTCACAAGGACGGTGAAACTCGAACCATCCATGCCTGCTTTCCCTATGTACGGGCGATCTCCCCAGTCTGTCCAGTACATATAGCCTTGATGAGGGTCCAGAGTAATAGCTCGTGGTTCTTGAAGGCCAGAGTTAATAAGAATATGCCGATATCGACCATCCAGTTTGGATACTTCAATAGTGTCCAAACCCTTATCACACCAATAAAGATTTTGGCCAACCCAATCAACAGCTAATCCATCAGGGTTCTGAAGTGTAGCCGAATGTAGAACCTGGAAAATATAAGCAGGTGCTTCAGATTTGAAGTTTCTTTTCAGATGAAAGAAATGAGGATTCATGCAGTTATCACAAGTAAGGATTAAACAGAAACATAAACAAAGTAATACCTCATGAGTTGCATTTCCTCCACATTGTCGTTTTATGGTGCTTCCACTTGCTGTTACATCAGACCAATACAAGCATTTTCCTTCCCAATCAAAGTCTAATGCAACTGCATTTGTAAGATTGTGAACTTTAAGGCTTGTTCTACCAGCTAAATCCATTTCCCTGATATAATAACGGTTAGAGAACAGGAGCTTTGCTTCATCACCTACATGGCAGAACACAGGGGAAAAATGTAACATCAAGCAAAACAAAAAAAATGAGTAAAATCATAATGCCAAAAATGAAACAGTGATGAAATATCTCACCAGAGTTTGCTTTGCAGGAATGTTTATCAGGTCTCAGAATATAACGATTGTTACAAGAGCAGACATACGAGCCTACAGTATTGCGGCATTTCTGGCTACAAGGTGACTCCAAACACTCATCAACATCCAGGCATAGTCTGTGATCTCTAGGACTGACTTTATATCCTGGATGACACTGACATTCGTATCCTATTTTTTTGTCGATACATGTATGAGCACAAGTACTATTTTGCTCACATTCATTAATGTCTAAAGAGAAAAAAGAAGACAAGAGTGTAAGAAAGTGATTCAGAATGAATAAAAAAAAAGTCTAAAGTAAAAATAAAAGACCCAAAACAAACTTACTGCAAAGGCGCTCATCACTGAAATCTCCACAATCATCCTGCCCATTGCACAGGAGCGTTTCATTCACACAAAGACCATTATCACAGTGGAACACTTGAGGTCCTTCGCACAACCTATTTGTTGCATTAAGGCATGATGTCCCCTCTTCGTCTGAATTATCTCCACAATCATCCACACCATTACAGGTCCAAGCGGCTAGTACACACTTGGCTCCATTGCGACAGGCAAATTCATTATCTCTACAGCCTTGAAGGCCGCAGAGTTTTGGTTCATCGCTATTATCGCCACAGTCATTTTGCCCGTCACAGTAGTACTCCTAATGAACATACCATAATCCCATTATGTAATGGTATAAATAAATAATAAAAATACAGGTCAGTCAAAATCAGTAAAAAATTAGTAAACCCTACCTGAGGAATACATTTGGCATTGGCACATTGGAAGTGCGTGTCGGCACAAGCGGGCGGTCTGCGCAGGCACTGGTCATTTGAAGTTTCATCTGAGCCATCACCACAGTCGTCCTCACCATCACACACCCATATCGCAGGGATACATTTGACAGTAGAGTTACATTTGAAATTTGGTAGGGTACATGGTCGAGCATTACACTTGAGGTCCTCATCTGAGCCATCTGGACAGTCTGGAGTGCCATCACACTGCCACGAAAGTGGGATGCAATCTTTACTCGTACACTCATACTGGTCATCTCTACACATACTCCCACAATCAGTCTCATCCGAGCTTGGTCCAGTTGAGCTGCTATCACCACAGTCGTCATCACCATCACAGCGCCAGTTATTTGGAATGCAGTTACCATTCTTACACTGGAAGTGAGGGCTTAGACATGGAGCAGGTGAACTAGGACTGGTTGATGGACAATCTTTTTCATCTGAGTTGTCCCAACAGTCATTTTCAGAGTCACAAATCCATGAGGGATTGATGCAAGCTGTTGTTGTGTTGCAATTAATCAATCCTGGGTGCTCAGTACAATTTGGTTTAGGGCAGTTCATTTCATCACTAGCGTCAGGGCAGTCTGCACTCCGATCACAAACATATGAAGCATTGATACAAGCAGCACCATGAGTACATTGGAAATGAGTTTTATCGGAGCACGAACAATTCACTTCATCACTTCCATCCCCACAATCATTATTGTGGTTACATGTTTGATTCATTGGAATACAACGCTTATTGATGCATGTAAAATAGCCCGCACGACACTTTCTCTGGCCACAGTACTGGGGTGCTTCGTCCGAGTTGTCACCACACTGATCAATACCGTCACAAGTCAGATAGTAAGGAATACATCTACCATTGGAACAAGTGAAGGAAGATGATGTACACTCTCCAGAGATTTTGGAGCATAATTTGCCATCAGGGAGAAGTGCAGACCCTGGGAAACAGCTGCATACAACATTACCAGTCACATTTAACCTGCATTTGTGTGCACATCCACCATTAAGGACCTTGCAAGGATTCGCTGCACCTGCAAAGGAAAGCATAAAAAATAGATCGTATAGCAATCAACATGGAAAAAAAAAGAAAAATAAAAGACAACAGTACATACAGTCATTTGTGTCATTTGTCACGGCAACAATAGCCATTGGTCTCTGCACATCTTTTCGAAGAACAACTACATCATCACCAGAAAACTTGTTAACTCGGAGGACTGCATGAAGCACCCAATCCGTCCAAAACAGATAATTGCCATAGACCGCAATATCAAACGGGTGATGTGTGATTATTTCTACTAACACCTGGTCATTGGAAAAGAAAGGTTCCAGTCAATGCAACAGTTAAAACCGGAAGCATGATTCAAAAAAAAAATTTCTTCTTGAATACTCACAACTCTGTTGCTGCCATCATATTCTGCACGTTCAATTTTATCCAAACGAGCATCACACCAATACAACTTTTGAGTGCTGTGCTCTAAAACTAAACCATTAGGCATCCGTATGTCAGTTGAAATAATTGTTTCTACATCAAAACCATTGGTGTATGCTCTTTGAATGCAAGGGTGTACTGAATTCCAGTTTGTCCAGTAAACGCGCCTGAGGAACATTGAAGAAAGATGGTCAAAAGAAGTAGAACCAGGTTTTTCGCACTTTGCCATAATCAATTAATCAAACTTACGCTTCACACGAATCTACAGCTATGCCACGTGGTTTGTCATTTTCTTTGAGCTTGACGATTTGTTCTACCTTAGAGCTATTCGTTGTAAGATTAATTTTGTTAATAGTCAAATCATTGTTGCAAGTCCAATATAAAGTGTTAGTTGATGCATCATAGTCCAACCCCTCTGCAGCACCATGCCCTAAAGTACAACAAATTTATCCATAACAATACCAAAAAGGAAAATCACAGGCCTATACACATTAGTGACATTGTTTGAAACAAGTTTGCTGATAACATCAGACAACATACAAGTAATTGTAATTCACATTATAAAACAGTGACTTACTCTCAATAATGACAGTGTGGTTGGTGCCATTAAAGAAAACACTGTTGATGCTTCCTCTTTGAATATCAGAGTAGAAAATGAGCTTCCGCTTGTAGTCATATGCAAGAGCAATGCTATTTCGCATATATTCTTTGGATTGGATGCTTGGGAATGGAGCATTTAAATTATTTTCATTGGTCATATGGATGCTGTCCAACCGCAGAACGCGGGAGTAGAGCAGGAAGCTGTCATAGTCTATAAGCAACAACAAAAGTTAAATAAATTAAAACAATTTCTAAGATTTTAAAATTAAAGACTTTTGAGTATTTGGATAAGCAAAATTAGTTGTGTCTACCTTCACATGAATGACCATCGCTTGCAACTTTCCCATGAGCACAAGCGCAAACTGGATGTGTTCCATTGTACAAACAAAGCTCTGCACATCCACCATTTTTAATAGCACAAGGATTTGTGCCTTTCTGCTTCAACTTGGAGAAAACCTGCATGCAAGATACAATAGGTAAAATTAAAAACACTCATGCAACAAAAAATTAAATCAAGAGGTAAAATATAGCTTGCACCGCCACAAGGTATTACCTGAATGTCCTTAAGAGAATCACCAATGTCCTTCAGCATGACTGAAAAGTTTGAGAGGTTGGCCAAAGGAGCTGACAAAATACTCCCTCTCTCATAAGTTCTGAAATCAGGAATAAACAATGCTAGACTTTCAAACAATTCAATAAAGATAAGCGCATTTATGATAAGTCTTACGTGTCAATCCAATAGAGAGAGTTGTTGAATACAGTCAGAGCATACGGAGAATCTAGTGAGCGCTCCAGGAGAGCTTCACGGTCCGTGCCATCATAATTTACTCTTTCGATTTTGTGGGTACTTGAGTCACACCAATAAATTTTCTTCCCCTAGAAAAAATCAATTTATAGATGCTTAAGAAAATGATTTTTTAAAAATTAACAACTTTTCCGCTTTTAAATTTATATGAACTTACATCGAAGTCCAAAGTTATGTCATTGATGGCTGCAATGCCCATGTTAACAAGGACTTTCCGGTTGGAACCATCTAAGGCAGCTCGTTCAATACGAGGTTGTTTACCAGCATCACTCCAGAACAAAAGTCCTTGCACTGGATCAACAACTACCGAAGTAGGCTTGTCCAACCCACCAGTGACTACTACATAGCGGAATGATCCATCTAACCTGGACATTTCAATCACATGAACCTTTGGGTCTGTCCAATATAGGTTACCTGTGGAATAAAGAGAAGAAAAGATAACAACTTGCCAAAAAAGATACAAAAAATATTGTTTTCTTTAAAAATTTGCCTCACTCACCTGCTATCCAGTCAACAGCCAATCCTTAGGAAGAAGATAAAAAGATTCACAGAATTATGCTAGATAATGAAAGGTTTATAACAGTAACACAAAGTTTTGAAATAAAGAGTTTGCTCACCAGTCAACCAGTCCATAGGAATAATTTCCATGGATTCAAAATGCTCTACTACCACTTTGCGCCCTGTTCCATCACGACGAATACGTGTAACTGATCCATGATCACTGTCAGCCCAATACAAGTATTCAGATTCTGTAAGTTAGCCACAAGGTAACTTCGTTTATTCAAAGGTTCCAAAACCACAACTTATTTTAACAAAAGGGTAGAACATTATCCTTTTACCTGCGTGAAAGTCTACACTTGCAGCCATTGAAACTCGGGATATAGGACCCAATACCTGAGTTGTGTTGTCTCCTGCTTTCAGGGAAAGTCCTTTGATTTCCCAGTTAATTGAGTAAAGGAGGAAAGATTCAATGCCTGAAGGGAATTGAGAAGAAATTGTGAAACAACAACCAAATTAATAACCAATACATCAAGGGAATGTAAGATATCAAGACTTACCGATACACTTTGTGAGATCAGTTGGGTCAACTATATAACCAGTTCCACAACGGCACACATGTTCAGTAGGTGAGATAGGGAGGCATAAGTGTGAACAATTTCCTTTGTTAACCTTACAAGTATTGCTGCCTTGCTGAATCTCAGGATCATATATACGGAGAGACATGACTTGAACTAAAGAGATATGAGGATGCAACAAAACTAATTTAGTAACAGCGCAAGACAGATTTAAGTGACATAATATTTCCTGCGTACTTAATTTGCTTTAGAAAGCCAAAACAGTCCTGAGTATCAATTATAAATACATGAACTCACTTGTATTAGCTCGAAGAACAGTGTCATTCTTAAGTCCAGAGGTTTTGTTTGCCATATGGATAGCCATGTCATGCAAGTCAGCATAATACAAAAACCCATGATAAACAACAGCAGCAGTAGGAACAGCTTCTTGCTTCAACGGGACATCCAGAGTCTGCTTGCTTTTGAAGTCATAGTACTGTATGGTTTTTCTCCAAACATTGACCCAATATAAACGCCAATCATCCAAATCCATAGACAAGCCTTAAACAGAAAAGAAAGTTATTAATACGTATGTTTTTTTTTTTAAATACTTAAATGATGACATAATCAGGTGCAAAAAGAAGGCATTGGCATTGACCACCATTAAGACACGTCAATCAAAGTGAAGTTTATGAACAAGAATACAAATGCAAAACTCAAAAATTAGGCCAAACAGGGACTTTTGAGCATGCTAAAATCTATCCCCATGAAAATTGATAATTAACAAAAATGTTTGAAGGGAACAGACCTTCATAGTGTAATAAAAAATTTGCTCCAAGATGCTCAACAAATGCTTTGGAAGCAGACATTTGAACAAAATGAGGGTTAAATATGATACATTAGAGGAACATGCCATTCAAAAAGCTCATGTTCAACAGGCCATCTTCACCAACGTGCCAACCATGCAATTGTACTGGAAGGCTTTGCTTACAAATCCAACTGTTTAATTGTTCCATCACACTTTCTTGACCCATAATCAGCGGCAAGATCCCATGATAAACTGCTCTCACCTTTTTTCCTACAGCAAGTACACAAACATTGATGCTAATTTTTAAATCTTAATGCAGCAAATAAAATGTAAAGCAGCCAAGTAAACTAGTGTGTATTGAAAAATAATTCCTAACTTTTAACTCAAGCTAACTATAGTTAATCATGTAAATCTCCTAAAGTAATTTAACTGTGCTGAAAGAATTAATAACAGTAATAGGGGTAGTATTGAGTATACTTACTTCTAAGAGCAACACTTGCCACATCCTCTACTTTAGAGACCAAAGTATGACGACCACTTCCATCCATATTGGCTTCTTCAATAATGTAGGTTGTTCCCCGAACATGACTGAAGTACAATTTTCCTCTTGTAGGATCTAGAGCTAATGACTTAATTTGAGCATGCTCAGATTTTGTCAATTTTCCATCAGACTCCGTGCTATCATGATTCTCTCCGTAATCTGAAGGTGGCAAAGTTGTTATTGAAGGTGTGGGTTGTGTTGTTACAGGATGAGATGAAGCTGTTTCGTTTTCTGGTACTTTATTTGGAATAGTTATTATTCCAGTAATTATGTATTCTCCTTCCAAATTGCAAACCAATATCTGATTGTATGAGGGACCAGCAGAAGTCACATACATGTTCCCCGATATCCAATCAATCGCAAAACCAGTAGGGGAATCAATGCCTGATAAAAGAAACAGTAAGATATTAAGAAAGAAAAAAAAAACAGAGAAAGGAAAACCGACTAAGATAACAGTTCAAGGTAGATATAAAAAAATTGATAGGACATACCTGTATCAATAATACTCTCTGCACCCCCACCAGTAAGGCCTGTGCGCTTTACTTCATTGACTTGCACATCAGTCCAATATATTTTTTTAGTGCTTGCTACAAAATCGAGCTGTGATGGTGAAAGCACTTGAGGGAGGCTTATAGTGGGTATTGTGTGGAAATAAGGCATTTTTAAATCGACACCTCTGATTTCATTGGCTCGAGAGAATAGGAGAACCTGCTCATTCACTGCAACATTCGCAAAACAAAGAAGGACAGACATCACCACTTTCACATAGATCATGCACACAAACCCTTACAACTTCCAAACATCTAAAGAGAGTTAATATTAAAACACAGTATGTGATTAACTCAAGGGTGCAGCTTACCGACACATGTATGGTTATCTTTATCTAATCTCATAACATGAGGGCAGTCACATTTGTAGGTGTTGTTAACACTTAGCAAGCAAAGATGTGAGCAATTTCCGTTATTGGTGCCACATGGGTTGAAATTTCCTGTAGAACATAAATATTAAATGAAACCGATAAATTAGAAAGATTCTTAAGTTTAAACATGTAACTTTTCTCCCCACCTTTAGGTTGCCTACTAGGATGAAGAATTTGGATATCAAATGGTTGTGTCAGAGTTCTTTGAATCACTGTTAAATCAGTGCCATTCCATTTGTTAGCACGGTTTACTGAATTTGTTCTCCAGTCCGTCCAGTAGACATAGTTGTCAAACAATGCTATAGCAAATGGATGTGACAAAGTTTCATGATTTCGAATGACAGTCCGAATATCCTGACCCTCATAAGTGGCTGTATGTATTGAGTCTGAGCGAGCATCAATCCAGTATATACGTTGTAATTGGTAGTCTAATGTCAGCCCGTTAGGCCAAGCACCATCAGCAATTTGATCCACAGCAACCACCTTTTTTCTCAGATCTCCACTCATGCTGCACCTCTCAATGCGTGGGTTATTTGCATCCCAATCAGTCCAAAACAATAAGCTAGTTGAAGAGGAAAAAATTAGTTAGAACTGGAACTAAATGACACAAGTTTATCAAAGAAATTGAAATTTGGCTTACCCATAGCGAGGGTCCAAAGCAATGGCTCTTGGTGACTCCATGTCTCCAGCAACTAGAGTGCGACGAAAGCTTCCATTTAATTTTGCAACTTCAATTTGGTCCAAATTGCTTTCTACCCAATACAGATTCTGACCAATCCAGTCAACAGCAAGTCCCTCAGCAGTTGAGAGGCCAGTTTGAACAACGACTTCTATGTTACTCAAGGAACCTCCAACTAGCGTTCCACGATAAATTTTATCATCAATTACATCTGTCCAGAAGATTTTGTCTTCAGTCTCTGAATGATAGAAATCCAGAGCAATCGTATTTTTGAGGCTGGAAATGAGAGCCTTCGGGCTTTGCGAATGTAAGTCAACACCACGCAGTTCATGACGGTTGCTAAATATGACAAAGGGAGTGGCTTTATCTGTAAAAGAAAACATCAGTAGTCACACTCAAGATACAATAATATTAGGTCACCAAATTAAGAATATACTGACCAGTGCTTTTGCAAGAAAACCCATCAGCTTGCAAAGCGTAACCAGGGTTGCACTTGCACTTATGTTTGGATTTAATTGGTTCACAACTATGTGCACAAACACCCCAAGTTTCACATGGGTGAGAAAAACTGCATGTGAATCCATCTGGTTGCAAATGCAGGGATGGAGGACAATAACATAAAATACCCTCAGGAGTATTTTGACACAAGTGAGAACATTCAGAAGAAGATCCACACAATTCAAGGTCTGAAAAATTAATCAAAATTAATACCAGATGTGTTTTTACTATAAATAAAATCACAGTTTATAAAAAAAAGTGTACAAAAAGGAAAGGAGAGAAAGAGATAGAAAGAAAACAGAGAAAACTCACCACACTGGCCTCCTTCATCTGATAAATCAGTACACTTAGCCTCTCCATCACAGAATTCGTCAATTTGAATACATTTGGTGCGGTTGTCACAATACTGGGCAGGAGGTTCACACTCCAGAGAACCATTTTGAGAATGGTGCTTGTGGCAATCATGGCCATGACAATTTACTAAAGGATCCCCCAAAAATAATGCAAATTTTTAGAAACCAAATAAACAAGTTTACTAAGCGAAGAGAGGGAAGAACATTGAAAGCTTACCACACGACCATTCATCAGATCCATCTAGACAGTCTCTTTGGCCGTCACATTGCAGCTTTGCCGGAATACAGAAGCTGTCATTACAAGCGAACTCAGAGGGCTCACAATGAGAAGTGTGTGTGGGTACCAAAGAAGTTGGACAGTTAGCCTCATCACTACCATCCCCACAATCATTTGTTCCATCACATTTGAAGCTCAGTGGCAAGCATTGATTGTTGTGAGCACAGTACAACTTAAAAGAAAACAACAACAAAAACAGATGTTTGAACAGAACATGGATAAACACTGCAATTGGTCACCAATAATGCAAATAATTATTTAAAATTCAAGTAACATACCATTGTTGAATTATTACATGCTTGAGGGCAATCGAGTTCATCACTCTGATCTTGGCAATCATCATCCCCATCACAGTAATGATCATAAGGGATACACTTTTTATTAGCACATGTGAATTGTGATGGATGACATTCTATAACAAAGAGTACTTGTAGAACAATCACTTTATTTTTATAATGCCAGAACAATTATTAATAGAAATACATACGGCAATTGCTATGTTCATCTGAAGGGTCATTTTCTCCACAATCTAACTCAGTGTCACATGTCCAAGTCATTGGAATGCAGCGTCCAGATATTTTACAAGTGAACTGTTCAGGTGGACATGTTATATTTCCACATCGAGAAACATCTTCATCTGTACCATCTCGGCAGTCTTTGTCACCATCACAAACCCATGCATTTCTGATGCAGGAATTTCCATCACACTTAAAGTTAGTTTCACAATCCAGCTCATCTGCAGATAATTAAAATTTTAGTTCATGACATTAAGGCATCAGACAATGAGGATAACACACACATGACATTACTTACAATGAGCAGGGACTAGAGGTGGAGCCTCCCCACAAATACCACCTATGGCAGTATCTTCATCAGAACCATCTGGGCAATCTTTGCGCTTATCACAGACAGAGTGGCGGTCAATACATGTTACATTATCAGCGCACATAAATTGGCCAGCATGGCAATGAAATGGAGCAGTATAGTTCTGATTGTGGACACATTTTTTCCCCATTAAGTCAAATCCATCTTGACAAGCACAGACCAATCCAGAGGGAGATATGAGGCAAAGGTGATCACATCCATTGTTGTCCTTTGTTGCGCAGTCATTGGCGCCTGTGAACAGGGAAAAAAAGGTGAAATAAAACTTAACCAAAACATTGTTAACTCCTTTAAAATGTACCCCTCACCCTCTTGAGTGCTATTATCAAACACTCGTAGCTCATAAAGAGGATGGTTTTCAACACTCAGTGTGGTAACTGTGAGGTTGTTAAGATCAGTCATGTTCAAACGTTGTACAGTTCCATTCTGAAACTCAGTCCAGTAAAGGAAATTGTCACTATGAGCCAAACCATAAGGGTGTTCCATTGGGGCTTTATCAAAGATCACCTACAACATTAAACATCCATAAGTTTGATAAGATTCAAAGAACAAAACACAGAAGAAAATAATGACAGCAGTATGAGGTACCTTGCGATCCTTCCCATTAGTTCGAATGCGTTCAATCCTGTCATGGTATGCATCACACCAATATAGCCATTTGCCACCGTAGTCAATGCTTAAGCCATTGGGCCAGTGTACATTCTCAACAACAAAAGCTTCTCGTTTACTACCATCCATTCCTGCACGCTCAATCTTCCCCTTTTGGGTCTGCACTGTAGCCCAATCTGACCAATACATAAAGCTGAACAAGGAACGTCAGAAATTATATAATCTGTTGAGTTAAATATGTTTAAAAGTAGAAACTTATTCAACATAATATAATAACTTACCCCGCTCTTGGGTCCAAAACAATAGCACGAGGGTGATGCATCTGCCCTTGTATGAGAACTTTTCTCTGAGACGGGTCTGCTATTCGGGCAACACTGATTGCTTGAAGGCCTTCATCACTCCAATAGATATTACCACTAAGCCAATCGACAGCAAGACCTTCACAGTTGTCAATCCCTTGGTCTAGAAGAACCTCTTTTTTCCCACCCGAGACCTTGCGACGCATAATTGCATAGCTATTATTTGGTCTGTAATGAAACACAATGAAACAATAAAATTCACCTTAAAATTGTAATAAGCTTGTTGCCCACATACACTCTAGAATTTACTTACGTTGCGTGTGTGAAATAGATGTACTGAGTTTTCACATCATAATCTAATGCTTTAGATCTATTGACATCTAAAATTGGGTATGTTACTTCTGATTTTTTAGTGCTTGGTTTAAGAGATATTCCCTTTACCATACCAGGCCGCCCAGCTCCATAAATGAGAAACTTTGTCTGATTGGCAACTGCACATGACTTCTGATCAGGTCCTAACTTGAAACCAGGTTGACACAAGCATTGATTTTGAGCATTGCCTTTCTTCCATGCAGAAATACACAAGTGCTGGCAGCCTCCATTATTGTCTTTGCAAGGATGGGGAACATCAGGTTGTTTTTGACGATGATACACATTGATGGAAAATGGTCGGCTGGTGTTGCTGATAATAGTATGTTCAGAAGTGAATTTGTGCAGACGTATCACACTGTAGCTCCTCCAACTTGTCAAGTAAAGATAGTTTTCAAAAATAGCAACATCAAAAGAGTTCTGAACTGGAACACCTCTTCGCAACATTTTCCTGTTGTTGCCATCATAATCCACTCTTTCAACACAATCTAAGAATGTATCCACCCAATAAACATGCTGGTTGGGAAAATCAACAGTGACTCCATAGGGATACACAATACGTCGATCAACCAAAGTTTTCCTTTCAGTTCCATCCATCAATGATCTCTCAAGGCTTGGGTGAGCAGTGCCCCATTTTGTGAAAAACATATAACCTCTTGTCGGGTCAAGTGCAATGCCTCGAGGTTTGCCAATGTTGACATCCACAATGATGGTGCAGGCTTGCAGTGTACCATTGCACAAAAAAATCACCTCATGAGTATCATCCAGGAAATACCAATTTCCAGACACCCAATCCAAAGCAAATTGAGTTACAGTCTCATATGAGTACATAGACGGATTTGGCATATCCCATGGCTGATCTAAGTGATCAATATTGGCACACTGAAGACGCTTGTAATCTTTTATGAAACACATTGTTTGGTTGCGGTGATCGAATGACAAGGCTTGAGTCTGATGCCGGGTAATGAGGTGGCTATTTGGCCAAATTGATCCATTGAGAGAAATGCGCCGAATATCATCAGCAGAGGTGAGCAGTATGCTTGCATTTTCACTTTCTGGAGCTGAAATTTAGAATTAAAACTTTAACATTGCAACAGCTGAATAAGAAATTTAAATGAATCACAGCAAATGTAAAAAAATTACTCACTGTTGATAGCAAAACATGAATTTCCGTCTTTTCTATAACCTGGGACACAGCTGCATTCAAAGGAGCCTATAAGGTTTTTGCAGCGTTGATCACAAGAACCATCTAGTTCACACTCATTAAGATCTACAGAGGCAAAAATTTTATTCGTATGATTAAAGTAACAAAGATAATTAAAAATATATATTGAATCCAAATGACATGCAGAGCACTTACCAACACAAACAGTTCCATTTGCCTGTTTTCCTTTACCACAGTAGCACAATGGGCCTTGAGAGCTTGGCTTGCATTTATCTTCACATTTGATACTGTCACACATAGTAGTGTTTTCTGAAAAATAAACAATGGTGTGGATAGTAGTATGACTGCAGTAAAGCTGCAATAAAAGGTCATGACATCAACTGAGCACTTACTGCAAAATTCTCCTTCATCTTCACCATTTGGGCAGTCATGTGTACCATCACACATTAACTGAATCTGCTTGCACGTATCAGTTGATCCACACCTAATAAAGTTAGCTGGGCAGTTGTTTTCTGGAAAGCCTAAAGTGAGGGGAAAATGAATGAAGAATAAATAATTTGATAGAGAAATGTATGAGGAAGTGAAAATTGAAAATCAAATCGTTGAAAAGATGCATACATGTGTCTAAAGGATCTTCATCTGAATTGTCATTGGGACCACAATCTGGTTCACCATCACAGGTCCAGCCTTGTGGAATACATTTCCTTGTTACAGCACACATGAACTGAAGGGAGCGGCATGTCACAGGAGCTAGAAGGCACAACAGTGAAATTAACACAAACTGCCTTTTCCAAATACTACTAATGTATCAGAATAATCCACGTACGACAATCAGAAGGCTCATCGGATCCATCAAAACAATCTGGGCGTCCATTGCACTTTCGACGCCGAGGAATACATCTGCCATCACCACATTGAAATTGCTCTTGGGAACAGTTTTCTTGAACTACAGCTAGAAAAAAAATTTTCTTTGAGTTTGGGATCATTGGAAATTATAAGTAAAATGGTATACTTCACAGTTGAATAACAAGCATGTGTTTGTTGTCAGCTAATGAACTACATTTATTAGCAAAGAGAAAGAGAAAACTGGCAAAGGGGTAATCTAATCAAGGGAAATTTGAGAGTGATAAAATTAGTAAATACAATATCAGGGATAGTGTGGCAAAAGTTATGAATGAACATTTATTTTATATTTTCAAAAGTAACAGAGCAATGGTTTGGTTTCTATTGAAAACCAACCATTTTTAATATACATGAAAACTTATATGTCCATAAAATTTAAGTAACAAATAATGAAATGGCCTTAGGCATGAGGCAAACTATGAAATAGGAGGTCCACATGTAACACAGTGTGTGTATTGAAACTCGTGTAAACTAAGTATCTTTTTTATTTGCAATGTTTCGGTTGTAAATGAAAAATAACAAACCAACAGGAAATGGTACATAAAAACAAGTACTCTTCTTACCCTTTGTCGGCCCATCTTGTGTCTCTTGAGTACATACTAGCTGTAGGCAGACCAGGAAGTAACTGATCCAGAACAGTCTAAGTATCATTTTACCACACCGGCAATTCGCCGAATAAGATACTCATAAAGCGATATTGTTGGTCGTCATCCTTCACTTAATCAGTTCAATTGATAAGAGAAGAAGCTAAGCCTAAACAAATCAACAAATCACAGTAAACAGCCCGCTAGTGGCGCTCGAGTCACGGTCAACACGATCGCGATTTGGGTTTGTTTTTCAAACGGACCTAACCTCTCCGTAACCGGGATTTCATGAATGCACACCGTGCCACCTATCGGCCGCTCGGGGAAGCCCAGGGCGCGCGCGAGGGAGCGCGGTGCGGCTCGCTGTTGGTGCAAGAGAGATGGAGCGTGTGGAGGTTGGGCGGATCTCCAGGAGGTGGCAGCACTAAGCAGTTGCCCGGTAAGCTGCAGTTAGACCAGATAGATACGATATTTTTATTTGCGGGCGGGTTTTCTGGCCATTTTCGATGACGTGCCGTCCAAATAATCTGCTGCCGACGCACTCGCGCTCTGATTTATGCAAGAACCTGAAATGGCGACTTCCTTCATAACATCATTTCTGACCAATCACAACGCTTTCTCGAAGGCGGATATGCCTTCCAGAACGAGCATGTTTTATTTGTGATTCGTGCAGTGTGAACTTCCGGTGTGATCTTCATGGAGGATTAAATGGCGGCTGATGAAAAGTGGTATTTTACCAAAGAACAGTTAGCAAATACACCGAGCACAAAATGTGGTTACAATGTGGACGGGGAATTATCAAGTCGCCAACAAGCTGCTCATCTCATCCAGGACATGGGGCAGCGCCTACAAGTGTATCCTTGCCATTTGTTGTGAGGCTATGTGACTGGCGCCGTTCGGCACTTGCCCTGCTCAGTCGAATATGAAGCGTCCTCTCTTTCCAAAAGTGGGCTGCTTGCTTGTATTTGATGCTCTCTGATGGTTGTCTTCGCAGCTTCTACCGATTAAATTTGAACCCTGTCCGCTGGACCTCAGGTGATGCAACCTCGACCTGGTCCTTGAAAGATCTCTCTCTCTCCACCCTAGTCTAGTGCCACGCCATTCTGACGATAACAGAGCTTACACGGGGTTACAAATTGCGTTTTCGGTACACTTTCAAGTAGCACACACGTTATAGATGCTAATCCCCACATAGGGGAATGTCTCGAACGGGATATTGTGGTTTTTAGATGTGATAGGTTATGTTACTCAGTTTGGCTATTGAGCTGTGTTGTGATTGGCCTAACCTCAATTTAAGGCTTGCAGTACGAATTGCGCAACTGCCACAATTTGACCGCCCCTCTTTATCAGAGTTCCGATTGGTGTCTGAAATTTGACACCTTTGCGACTGTTTACATTTCTCTAGATGAAGCATGTGCAACCTGTTTTCTTCCTTAACCAAATCTTCAGGACCCAGCTCTGCATCAACACAGCCATGGTCTACATGCACCGATTTTATGTTTTTCACTCGTTCTCACAATTCAACCTGGATTCTATGGCGGCTGCAGCTCTGTTCCTTGCTGCCAAGGTCGAGGAACAGCCTCGGAAATTAGAACATATTATTAGAGTAAAACAAATTTGTCAGCATAGGACGCAGGAAGCTTTAGACACAAGATCAGAGGTAAGTGCTTTTGGATCTGATGTCTCCTTTATCTCTTAATTTATTCTGATAAGTGTGGTAGCTTTTTTAGTGAGCTAATTTTTGGAACATCTTTAGATAATAGAGTTTGCTCTTTTTCAACATATGCAGCAGGTCCTTGAGATGTGTTGGCTACATTCGTGATCATTACACAGTCTCCTGATAGTTTAAAATATGTTTATTGCTGTGCTACCCACTCAAGAAATGATGATCTAATGATTCATTCTTAATTTTTAGTGGAATTATATAGTTTGTGCTCACGGCATTTTGTTTTTGTCCTTTTTCCAGCAATATCTAGAACAGGCCCAGGATTTAGTTTTTAATGAAAATGTCCTACTTCAGACATTGGGATTTGATGTAGCTATAGATCATCCTCACACCCATGTTGTCCGATGTTGCCACTTAGTGCGTGGTAAGTGCGGACCTGATCCATTATTTTATGCTGCAGAAGCATAAGTGGACTTGTCAAGTTGCTATGACATTCTGTTGAATGAGGCTTAGTTATTGGAGGAGCCCATATCATTCCCTCAGAAGTGCATTTAAAATTTATTGACAAATTTTTATGCAATTCTGATATTTTAAATTATGTCTATGGCACTTTGATGGTCTTACTTTACCCTTCATTGCTATACACTGTGCATTTCACTTTGTTTATGCAATGTTTACTGTCCACTCACAGCCAGTAAAGACCTCGCCCAAACGTCGTACTTTATGGCCTCAAACAGGTATGCCAAAACTGACAGAAAATTGTCAGTTTGAAACTGCTCTGTTTTGAAATAGCGTATCATTTATTTTTCATCCTACTCAATTTTTCAGTTTGCATTTAACCACCATGTGCCTTCAATACAAACCCACAGTAGTGGCGTGCTTTTGTATCCACTTAGCATGCAAGTGGTCTAATTGGGAGGTTGGTATCTCAACATTTTTTATAAGTCCAATTCCCTGGGAGAAAGTCACATGTAATCTTTGACACCTCTGCATTTTCATTTTCTAGATTCCTCAATCAAATGAAGGAAAATATTGGTTTTACTATGTTGATAAAACTGTTACTCAAGACTTATTAGAACAATTAACTGATGAATTCCTTGTTATATTTGAAAAATGCCCCTCAAGGCTCAAGAAGAAAATTAAATCAGCAAATCAGAATACAACATACCAATTTGTAAGTATTTTTTTTTTGTCTTGTGCAGCCTCTTTTTAATGTTCAATTTTGTATTTTACATCAAGCCAGTAATAATTTTTTTTCTAAACATGTGGCCATATCACTTTTTTTTTTTAAAGAAAAAAAACTCATTAGTGTGTAGTGCTTTTTTTTTTTTTTTTTTTTTTTTTAAATCTCTGTTTTCATTCTGTTATAATTGTCTTGTGTTTTAACATTGGACATGTGAAAAGTTATTGTTTATCAGCCCATGGGCTTTGTTACAGTTAATGTTTTCCCTTTGTTTCCCCTTAGGACAAAATGATTCCAGGTAGAGATTCAGTGATTGAAGGTGTTAGCTTTCAGTCTCAGCACAGACCAGATCCGAATAAACCCTGTAAGTGTTCATATTACCATGCATTCTAGGCTTCCTTATATCTTTTACTTTTCTGTTCTTTTTTCACTGGTCTTGCACTGCCAGAAAACCCTGTCGTAAACATGTGGATTTTTGATAGATTGTTATATTAACTAACTTAACTATGATTTTCAGCTTCCTCTCAAGCTTCTCAGAGTTCCGCTCAGCGTGCTGATTCTCGAGAGTATCAAGAGAAGCGCGAGCGTCCAGTGGCTCCACAGGGCTCCCACTCTCAACACAGGTGAGTTCAGTTTTGGATTCAGCCAAGAATTTATATGCTTGTAGGAATTCAATAAAAAAGAGATGACCTAACAACTTGATTTGCTTCAGGGATGGTCACCACCGGAGTCATCATGCCGGTCATCCTCACCCTTCATCTTCCTCTGCTTTGCTCAAGCCTCATGCTGGTATGCCTGTGCACAACAAAATGCCACACCCCACCCAGCATCGCTCGTCAATGCCCCACCACCCTCGACCAGATCACCATGGGAGGCCAGAGCATCCACAAAGGCCTGACCACCAGCAGAGGCCTGACCATCCACCAAGGCCAGACCACCAACAGAGGCCTGACCATCCACCAAGGCCAGATCACCCACAGAGGCTGGATCATCAAACAAGGTCAGACTACCAACAGAGACCTGATCGCCAGGCAAGGCCAGATCATGGTGTGAGGCCAGATCACCATTCCCGAAGCGATCATCAAGTGAGGCCTGATCAAGTGAGGCCAGATCACCATCAAGTTCGTCCCGATCACCCAAACAGACCAGATCATCAGCAACGCGCTGAGCATCATGCAAGGCCAGACCACCAAACTCGGCCTGACCATCAAGTCAGATCAGATCATCAGATGAGGCCGGACCATTCAGGAAATCAGGTCACTGCTGCTAGAGATCAGCTCAGAAGAGAAGCGGCTCAACAGAGAGAAGCTTCTCGCAGGGAAGTTTCCTCAATCCACCATATTCAGTCATCTCTCATGACTCATTCACCTGCCCAAAGGACAACTAGTGGTGATAGTGCAATCAGTTCGAGTAGTTCAACTTCATTAACCCCTTCAAGTCAAGATTGGTCTGGATTTGGTGTGACTACAGCTGCTGCAGGTGGTCCGTCACCTTTACCCCAGAAGCAACCTGGTCCCTCTGATCCAAGCCATAGACATTCTTCTGGAAGTCATGATAAGCTCAAAGCTTCTAATACAAATATGGACTCTTATTCAAGACATAAAGGTAGCTTATCAGCTACTGATCGTAGGGCAACTAATACTCCTATGTCATTAGACAGAAAAATGATGCAGGAAATATCTGAGAGACGTCAACTTGAGTCATTCTTTGGAAAATCTGAGGCAGTGGAGAGGATCAATGAAAAGCATCAAGTTAAACATATGCCCTTTAAAGATGTAAAGAAGGAATCTGACACCGTCCAATTACAACCTCAACCTTCCATGGTACCTTCCTTACACATCAAGAAAGAAAAAGTATCTCCCTCTAGGCAATTAATTAATGCTGTTCCTTCTGGAAGAATGGAATCAGATATGACTGCACCCTCAATGTCAATGAGACAAAATAGTTACAAGCCCTCATCAAGTGAGTACCTTCTTGTGAAGAATATCAAAACTGAACCTAATGCAGAATCTCTTTCTGGTACAAGAAATGGGACCACTGTTCCTGCCCTCTTGACACCTAAAGTTGAGAAGGTAGAAACAGATATAAGGACTGAAGGATCTTCAATGACAAGTAGACTTCCCCCTGTGAAAAGTAGTATCTTTAGTCCAGAGAAAACTTTACCTAAAGAAAGAGAATCGCCTATCCTCCAGCGACCTGTTAAAACCAATTGTCCATCGCCTGGTATAGCTTTTGGCTCCCCTCCAGTTACACCTGGCAAATCTCAAAGCCTTAGTCTCCTCACTAGAATTGGTCCTGCAATTGAAAATGAACCAATGATGGACGTTTTTAAAATGGAGAAGGATGCTGGGTATGATAGCCAGGTCAGAGATAGCCGAGTAGAAATGAAGAATGTACATCAAAATGACAATTCCTCTTTTGTGTCATCTAATAGAGGCATGCATGCAATGTCCATGCCTCCTTCATTAGCTAAAGTGGAACCCAAGCCGGCGCACCATTTGCTCAATAAAACCTCAACTTATCCTAATAATGAGATTAAGGCCGTGCTTCATCCACCTCTTATGCCCAATTTACTTCAAGCTAGGAGTAATGCCGTTGTGCCTGATGAGAGGCAGTCGTCTCCTGCTGCTGTTATGCCAGATGTGCGCTCCATGGTGCCTGTAAAGATGCCAGATGTAAGGTCAGCAATGCCCCTTGTTCCAGTTGAAGCGGACTTGGGTGCTGTGGCTTTCCCTGCATCAGAGGTCAAGGACGTGGCATCTAGCACCCCATCAGCTGAAGGAGCGGACCACCACCATCACAAAGCCAAGAAGAAAAAAGAAAAGAAAGAAAAGCATAGACACAAAGATAAAGATAAGGAGAAGCATAAAGAAGAGAAAAAACATAAAAACAAACATAAAGAAAAGGACAAAGAAAGGCGGAAAGGTGAACCTGACAACATGGATCCAGCCCAGACTCCGAATCTGTCTCGTCAACCAGCAATCACTTTGAAAATTCCGAAGGCAAATATCACACCGCCTCCAGTTCCAGCAGTTGCTGCCCCCTCCTCTGGTGGTAGCTTGAAGCTCAAGATTAATCTTGCCCAATTATCATCGGCATCAAGTAGCTCCTCGTCTTCCAAGGAATCCCGTAAGAGAGAGCGGGATAGGACCAGTCCTGGCTTGGATGTGTTACATTCGAAAGCTCCAAAGTTGAGTTCAGATGCCGACACCCCAAAGCGTGGTGCCAGCATTGGCAACGCCCCCCATAGTGGCTCAAGCAAGAGTAATTATGCCAGGCAAAACGGTTTGGATTCTCGGGGAGGGGGCCGACATCATATGCCGCAGCCACAACACTACAGTGGAAACAAGGTACGTAGGCAGGGTGGTATGCATGGGAGCCAGTTCAGGTATGAGCCTCCCCTGTTAAATGAAATTTCCGTATCTTATAACCATGATCTGCCACCTTCTTGTATGCATCCTGGTCCTGTTACCTTGCCTGATACTAGCATTCCTCCCCCTCCCGTAATGCAGCCCATGATGTTCTACCCTCAGTACCAGTACCCTTATTCTTTTTACCCAATGCCTTACCCCCAAGGTCAAGTCTTCCCAACCTCAATCCCTGCCCCACCTCCACCTCCTCCATTACCTAAAGAGCCCCCTCCATCAGCCCCTCCGCCCCCTCCACCACCATCATAATTTTCAAAGTACATTACTACTGCAAAATGAACCTTTACCTGTCAGAAGTTTTGATTTAGTTAAGGTCTCATATGTTGCCTGACCCCTTTGTTTCTTTATTTTTCTTCTCTCCTACAAAAATTAGTTAAGGGTTAACATCTGTAGTTGAAATTCAAATTTTATTGGTTCTGACAGATGTGATCTTTCATAGAGGCAAGGGAGCTGTGGGGGTATCATTCTTTTGAGTTTGTAAATCATTTCAATGAACACCAAGCAGTCCGTTACTTCTGCCAACCTGCTGTGCCAAGATTTATCCATTGAGTTTTTAGACAGTGCTTCGTTGTTATGCTAAGAGATATTTGATGTCTTTCCAGACATGCTTTTCTTATTACTGAAAGTTGACTAGTCATTTTCTCTCAGTTACTACTTTTGCAAACTGCACTCAAGTTACAGTCCTTCCCTCTTCAGTTGTCTGTCTTTCTTCTTTTGCCTTAGTGTATTCAATTGGCATTTTCCTTTGATTTTGCTTGATTGCTTCTGTTTGAGCAAGATCAGGAATCCTTTTTTTTCTCCAAGTAATGCTTGTCTCTGATGTGAAAGCTCAGAATAAGCTGATCCTTATGAGATTATTTCTAAGAATACAACTGTGGTGAAATCAAGGCCTGCTTCCTTGACCTCATATTGTTGATTATTAATACTTCGCTTGTTGGTTTTCTTTTCTCGTTAATTTTTTTTTGTTACTTGACAAATTGCCACTTCTTAAAATATATCCTACCCAATAAAGTTTGTCAAATTTGTTAAAACATTTTGTTTGTTTGTGTTTTTATGTGTAAAATGCTGCTCATTCTTTATCTTCCTTTGACTTAAAATGCATGTGCACTTTTACTTCTTCAAAAGGAGAAAGTTTTGTTTTCTAAATTGGTTAATTTTCTTGTTTGTCAACAGTTTTTGCTGCCTTAAAGTATTTGAATGTTTGTGCATGTGAGGTTTATTGCATGTTATAGTACAAAAACTTTAGTGGACTTTTGTAGAGTGAATGCTAGGTATACTTCTCTTTTCTTCTGTTGGTTGTGTTGTTTAATGCGTAATTCAGGGTTTTATATTAAGGTCTGCTCTCATGTATCTTTTTTTAACATGGAGTTTTGCATTCCCCTAGTCTGTAGGGTAACTTCATGTGACTTTTTAATCAAAAAGTAGTCACTGGAGTGCTCCCTTTTTTGTTGTGATTTCTCTTTTTCTGATCCTTTTTATTCTAAGAACTAATTTAAACATAATAAATATGATTGTGAAAGGAATGGAACTTATTCCATCTTACTCCATCATTAGTAAAAATTTTATTGCATACCCCTATATGAAATTTCTGTGAGGTGGAAGTCTAAATCAGGATTTGTTAGGTTCATGATAGTCTTTGTTGAAGTTGAGTCAAGTGTTTTTTGAATTTTTCTATGACATAATTGTAAAGAGGGAGAAACTGGTGATATGCATTCATTTCACCAACACCATGAGCAGTATTTACATTTCGAGATAAACTAGGCCACTTAATACTGACAAACTACAATGGACCTTTTCAAAGTATCGCAATCTCCTTAGGATTTGTTTTTCTCATTAGGTCCATTCATGTTTGACTTAATATCTTGGTTTCAACCAAAGTTTTTGTTATTCCATCTTTTTGAACTCTTGCCTATTGTTTCTGTCTTGATGAGGTTAATTTTACTCAGGGTGAGTGTAAGGTTTTCTAGTATGAGGTAACATTAAGGATTATACTCTGAATACATTTGGGGCAGCTTTGTTATTGGTTATATTGTTTATTGAATAAACCTCCATATTTTTCAGTTTTGATGTTCTCTTTTTTACTCCCATAATCATATCTGGCATCCCCAGCAGTAGTATGATACTGTTCCTTCATTGCATTATCTGAATCCTAGTAGTTTGTTCTTTCACTTTATAACATGTAGGTTTTCATTCTGTATTTAGCACTTTTGTAGTTTTGCTTGCATTTGTTTTATTTGCAGTACCCACACTTGTTTTATGTGGCAAAGTTGGGAACATTTATGGTAGTCATTGTTTGTTTCTGTTGTGGAATGTGTAGTAGAGCACGTTAACTTGTAGTTTCTTCCAATTTATGTAGAGCAGCCTTTTAATATCAGGGATGACTAACCATAATCTAGTAGTATATTCCCTTTAATGTTTTGATCACTTCAAACTCCCACCCTTATTTCCCCTAATAATTTTTAAAAATTCCCATCTCTTTTTATTTATTATTTGCTAACCTCTTCAAGAAGGTGGCAGAAAAATCATGTTTTTAAGAATGTATTCGCCCTTTTCTGTATGGATAGTTTTATACCCAATATATTGCAGTTTTTGTCATGACTTAGTCAAAGTTTCCTAATCATTGCCTATTTCTTTAATTTCTAGATGGTGTTGGATGGTTCCTCTATGAAGCCCTCAGAGATTAGCAAGAATAGCTCTTCTCACTCTTCTACCTCATAGGAAAATTTGTAAAGTAAGTCAACATTAAGTATTTTTCACAGGTAAAAACTGTGAAAATGTCGAAGGCTCCAGTTCTCGACTTATTTAGATGTTACAATTGACACGTTATTCAATTCAGGTACAGTGGAACTCGTTTATAGTAAGTGAGAAATTGTGATTATTTTACTCATGTGTTGCGCTATGACATCTCTGTTCGGCCCATAGAGAGATGTGACCAGTCTTATACTGGCATCAGTCAATGGTTCCGCCCATGGAGACACTATGGTGCAGCAATCAGATAGAGGTGTGATCACAATTTAACACCTTATAAGCAGGTCCCACAGTAGTAACTCTTGTACATTGTGATAAAACTACTTGTTTGATGGTTATTACTTCTCTGTGCATCATTAAATAATTCATTGTTATTGTAAATGTTTGGCATTTAGCGACAGATACTTTAATTTTTTATTAAATGAAGCTTTGCTAATAGTTACAGAATGTTGAGTAACATTTTCAGTACCTAATTGTTTGATATACCAAATATTCTAAGAGGAAAAAATATTGTTATTATTATAATGTGGCGAGTACTTGAAAGGGTGACAGAACTTTAATAGTCTTATTACCTACTCCTGGAGGAGTTTATTGATAGCGAATCATGTAAAGCAGTGTTTTATTTATGAAATGAAGGTGTGTGTGTGTGTGTGAAGAGAAGCCTTGTTCGAATTTTCGTGCAGCACCTCTAAAGTAAACTCTTCTAGCTAACAAATTTTACTGTTTGTAATTCTTTATTAGGTTCATTCATTGAAAGGGCACATTTTAGTGCACTGTCGGCTGAGACTGATGATTTTGTGAAGATGTAGCATCTCTGAAATTTTTTATTTTCTAACATTGTTCATACTTGGCATTTGAAGGCTCTGACATTTTATAGTTATAATAAGGTGCTGTAGTGATCCTTACATTTGTCTAACATCCTCATTGATAGCCTGACTTTTTCCTCCTTTAGTTTTTTGTTATTGTTTCATTGTCCTGTATCACCTTAAGTCCTCCTGTTTTCTGAATTGTTAAATATTGCTTTAAACAGTGGAAATTGCAGGGGCTGTATACAGTTGTGCATTGTTAATGCACTAAGGCCATGAAAATGTTGCTACTTTTTCATTTTTTATTTATTTTTATTTGATAAGATTGGGAGCAAGTGGCTCTGTGTGGTCACTGTAAGCTGTCAATAAACAAATTTGTTACTTTCTTTTTTAGTAGTTATCCTGTAACCTATTCCCTGTGCCTGATCTCACTTGTTAAAACACATTACTGGAAGCTCATCAAGTTCCAGGGTTCCAGGTTTTCGTTTGAAAAAGACTGTTCAGGGTCAAAATGGGGGGACATTTTTTACACACCCAACGGAACATGTGAGCAGTTATCTGCTTTTGATATCAAAACATGAGTTCTGCTTTAAAATATTTATTTTACAAAAATATAAAAGGAATTTAATTAAACAATCATAAAGCTATAAAATAAAGTAACAAAAATGTTAGTACTTTACAATATTCACCAGCGTAGCTGTTTGTCAGTAGTGAGAATGCTTAATGTTTGTTGAGACAGCAATCTATGCACGAAAGAGAAATTTAAAAGAAAATTAGGCAGATCCAATTGAGAAGCACTGAAATTTAATGTCTTATGTGTTAAATAATTACCTCATTGTATGTGTAGGGACGGAAGAACCATACAAAACACATAATACATTTGTGCTTCTACGGATACCGTGGCATTTGTGGTATTCAGAGCACCAATATGCCTCTAGAGCCGAGCTTTCTTTGACGCTATCAGCTGCAAATAGATCAGAACACATAAAATTTTGTTTTGACAGCTATTTTAAGGCCAAAATCACAATCATTTAACAATTTTTGATATTTACATTTTACTTTCTTCACAAAATCCAAATCACCTTGTGTCAATAGAAGTGATTCAGCAGCCTGATAATAAAATGTTCTCAATACATGAAGTCGGTGACTAGCTGAAGGTGCATTGATGGGGTTACAGCGTTCGGCCACAGTTTCAGGTTTATCATTTGCATGCCAAACAGGTTTGTCATTTGCTGTGTAGCTCAACACATATTTTCCAGTGTCTAAATTGATGAGCAAAAACCTGTCACAAGAGAAATAATAATAATTTGTAGGAGAAATATTGCTACATAAAGCACTATAGCATCTGTAATATGAAAAGTCAAGTCTCACCCTAAAACATTGACGTCAAGATGTATGGAATGAGGGAAATTTCTAGGAGCTATCTGAGTAATGGATCGTAAATGATCTGCACTCGATCCCCAACACTGAAGGGCCAAATGTTCTGCTTCGGACAATCCTGGTGTAGGTCCACACAAGCCCAAAACTGATACTCCAGGGACAAGAAGAACCCAAACTAGTCTAAATGGGATCTAAATAGCAATTACAGAGAAATTATTTAAGTAGTACATATAAGAAAAGAAAGCAAAAATTTAATTAATCTTACGGAAGGACTCTTGAAAGGAAGGAACACCGGTGTATCACTTGAGGTGCAAGGAGAAGCTACAACTGTGAGAAGCGTCAAAAGTTGACGCTCCAGAGGATGTAAATCTTCCCATGCAGGAGTAGCGATAAGTTCACGCCCTGACACCAAAAGGCACGCAAACTGGCTATTTAAGCAATCTGCATATGCATCCAAACATGTCTAAAAACAAAAAGGTATGTCCCTGAAGTATTACATGTGAAACTAATTGGAAAATTGGGTAAACTTTTTTAATAACTCACCAGCAAATCATTGCTTTCATAACAAAGTAATGTTTCTGACAAACCTATAAGATTTCCACAAAAGTAAGACTCTCCAGAATCACGTTCATTGCAAGCATTGGCATTCCTACTTTGGCTTGTATGAGATGTTACAGTGGAAATGTTAACTGAACTGCCATCAACTCCATCCATTAGCTTATCAATGAGTGGATAACACACCTGAAAAACAAAGAGGGTGAGTTAATCAAAATTACAGTTGCTTTCCACATGGAAACCTTGTGAAATTGCCATACTCTTAGTTCTCGTTTCAAACGATCTGGGTTTCGGATATTCCTGATCTCATCCACTCCAACCAATAGGAGCATCGAATTAAAAACTGCATTTAATAGCTTCCGTAAAATGACTTCACTAGAACAAGATGCTGCTGCCACCAACACAATGCTGTGAAAAGAAAAGTTTCTACGTACAGGTGGAAGCAAATGCCTTGCTTACGACATATCTAACCAATCTCACCTGTCTTCAAATTCATCCCAAACATAAGTGGTATCTTGCGTAGAAGTGGTTTGTAGAATAACATCCTGTGACTTACAAAACATATGTACGCCGTTCAGAGATGCAACAATCGAGAAAGGTAGCTAAAATATGTTAAACACAAAAATGAGCCAATAAGTAAGTTAAAACTTAATACATTTATAGATTTTATTGTAAATGAAATAATATACCAACCGATTCACCATCACCCTTTTTTCGAGTGAATAAAGGTAATCCTCCGGCAGACGTTACACAAAGGACATGAACTGTCATTTTGATTGATATGTATATTTTTACAAAGTTCGATTAATCAATAACAGCTTTACTGAGACTCATGCAATCGGTTAATTTTCTAGATAACAACAGAATAATTCAAAACTTTCAATAGCCTGACGATGTTTCACAGTTCAGGATCAGTTTTATCAACTTTATCAGGTTAGGAGGGTCAGTAGAAAATTAATTATACTGAAAACAAATCAACTACAACAAATAAAAAAATAATAAATACACACCTGGAAAACGGCGAATTCAGACGTTTTATTTTATTAGTTGATTTCTCCTAGTTTTCTTCATGTTTTCCTTAGTTCATTCATACTTGGTTGGTTTGGTTTGTAGTTTGTGCAGCAGACACCGGCCTGTTTGTTGACAGTCTTAGGCAGGTTATGGTCATCTTGCCGTTTGTTCACAATCATTTTGTTCCACTTTAGATGTCATTTTAAGTTAAGTTTTTTCACTACTGGTTTGTGACTGTTGCAAGTGTACCAGAACTTGAGCTGTCATATCAATTTGTAAATAACAACCTGTTGCTTCTTATAATTTTCAGATCATGCATATGAAGTCCTATTATTATGGCAGTGCTCAATGAATCAAGTTTTGAGAACCAGCCAGTTTACTGTGCATTCAACTGCTTCGTAGAAAAGCTAAAAGATACTGATTGGATTTCTCATTCTTCAAAAGAGGAAATTAGGAACTGCTTACAATCTGCCAAAGCCATCGAGAAGATGTTAGATACTCTGGAAACCAATGGTGCGCTTGACAATTTTATGGCTTTGGTACCAGAACTCCATGGACTTGAATGGGAGCAGCTTCGGAAGGCCAGTGACATTGTGTTGTCAATGGTGTTGACTGCCCCTGGTGTTTCTGCGCCATGTGTTCGGACATGCATCGATGAATATATTGAACTCTGCGGCTCAGATAGATTTGAAAATGCCGTATCATCAGTGTTAATCTGTTCAGAAATTTATCGTGTACTTCTTGACTATATTGCAAGTTTTGAAGGGCACCTGAAACAAACTGCTATTGAATTACAATCTTATGTTTTTATGTGTTTGTGGAGGAATGAATCGGACCTTGGAAAGTTGGAGCAAACCTTTTACAATTGGTTGAAGCAGGATACATCAGGTCAAAATATTGCTGTAGCTATGCAGGTTTGTTCTCTTCATTTTTTGAACATCTTTTACAAATAAATTTGAAATTTAATTTTTGCTGCTTTTTGTCTTAATGGCAGGTCATAATTAATGATGACAGTAGCATTGCCTCAAGCCTTGTCCTTTCAATCAACAAACTTATGCGCGAGCGGAAAGGTGCGGCAGTGGTGTTCTGGAAGGTTTTGGAAGAATTGCCCATAGTTGCAAGAAGAGTGCTGGAAAAGTCTGATGACATTTTAAAGAGTGCATTGGACTTTCTTAAAATTTCTGGCCAGTGGATGGAGGCTACTTCTACATTCTCATGGGTTTCAAGAGAAAAGGGTCCCTGCAAGTCTTTCGGGTTTAATGAAGTAGTCAGTGCTGTTAAATTCTTAAGTGAAGCTCAAGGTCAAATATCTGAAAAGACTAAGCAGTTTTTATCGAAGCAAAGAAACTCTGCAGGGTGTACACTATGGGATGATGTTGATATGAGATTGGATTCCTAGTTGTCAAGAACTTCTAGTTCTGCATGTGGTATTCAGTACTTAAAAATCTTTAGTGGGCCAATGGGATGAAAACATTACTACAAAGGTAGGTTTGAATCAAATACTAAGAACCTTAGAAAGGGATTAAAATAAAATGATATGCATATGGTTTTAATAGTGTAATTGAATGATTGGTTCTTATAACAATCCACAGAAAGGAAAAAAAAATTAATACCATTCACACATCAATAAGTTAACACTGCAGCACCAATTATATTTTTAAGTAGGAGAAAATAATTACAGTTGCATCAGAGTTGCCTATATGACTGGTACCTCTGAAAAATTATAATACATTGTCCATACAATTTGATACAAATTATGTTAATAAAGGAAACTGTTAACAGTCAATACCCTTGTTAAATTTGTAAATTGCACAATTCATGATTATCCTTCGTAGTGTTTAATGGCAAGGAATCTCTCAGTCCAGGACATCTAGTAACTTCTATCTTGACAAATTCTTTCTAACAAACTTTCAGGAGAATGAGAGATCACCCATCTGGCTACAAGGACAAACACTCTTCACAGGTAGTACAGCTTGCCTCCAAAATCTTTACAACTAGAAACTTCATTCACAGAATACTTGAGCTTCTACTGTACAATAAAGTATAAAAAGAAAATAATACAGAATTTTCTACATTACTGTACCTGTTTAATACAAACAATCTAATTAAATTACAGCTTCTTACGTACAAAAATACAAAAGAGGACAACCAAGAAACTTAGTTAACCAAATAAATATGTGGTGTGGTCATGTTACAATGTCTACAAAACAGGCAGAGGAACAGTCGATGTATCTTCATCATCGATTCCACTAAGAACCATACAAACGGGGGAGAAGGTCTTCTACATAGAAACAAATTAGGTGTACACACATGAGCACACGAAATGACAGTGTCAAAGAGTATCAGTGTCTGTTTCTGCAAAAATATTCAACAGGAAAATGAAGATGTCTCTAAATAAACAGTGATGTAACAGCAGAATTCAACTCAGACTAAATAGTAATAATAATAATTACAAGGAGTTTATTTGAAAAGTCTCTTTCTACACAATACATACAAACATAACAAAAACAATGGTCTTAAATAACATCTTAACTATATAGGACTTTGTTCAAAGCAAATACTAATAGCTGTTAATAAACAATTGACAGGTCATTGTAAAGCTGGTTCATAAAGAATTTAGCAAATAAAAATGCAAGTATTAAAAAATCAAGTCATTAATTCAAAACAAAAGATGCAATTTAAGCATGGCATGCAATAAAATGGGAATTGAAACATCCTTTCTGTAAGTGGCATACACACAAGGTAACAACCAATGGTATCACAATTCCAGTAAAGTGGGATACCAGAGTCTCCCACCAATGCACCATTTCCTCATTTGGTCTAACTAACAATACCAAAAAATCAAAATAACAAACAAAATGTTATGCAAAGAATTCAATTTAACACCTGACAGTCACACATAGGAATAGGGTTCAAGAACAATAAGTCAAACAATAATATCTTGATTGGTATGCTTCGATCCGAACAACAAAGATGAAGATATTCAAGAAAGCTTGGCTAAGCATCTAGGAAGCAGAGTTATGCTGCTGCAGCAATTTCAGCACTGTGGATTTCTAAAGATCTAACTCACTACATTATGGGGACCAATGCATCTTTCCAAGAATCCAAATATATATCCACTACAATGCTACTTACAATGGGTATGCATTCATAATATGCATCTTAGCAGTCTTTCTTAAATTGCTGAAAAGGGAAACATGCAGTGGAAATTTTGCAAAACAAAAAAGGCAGGATTCTCACCAAAATAAGGCAAGGTACACAGCCACCTCTTCAATTATTTATTATTATTAGTTTAAAAGGATTATGGCAAGAAACGCCACATTTGCCCATTTAAAACTGTGCAAGTACAGGCAAGTTGCTCACTGGAAGTTCATAAATGCAAGTGGCATTTGAACAAAACTTGGAATCAGAAACTAAAATGTCTGTGGTGGTCCATAAGTAGTATCGTACACAAATCGAAGGGAAAAACATTGATTTCTATTTTTCAGCCTAAACAAACCCGTACATAGAAACTTCATCAATATATTGCACTGAGTGAGTTCCATCAAACAGCAAGAGCAAGATAAAAAAATTCATTGAGCCTTTCAAGAGTACAAACAAAATTTTTTCGTCAAAAAAAATTTTGTAAAGCACCAACAGTCATGAAGCCAGCTCTAGTTTGTGTGAATTCAATGGCACAAATAATGTTGATATGTACAATATTGAGGCACATGGCTTCTCTCGTTTCTTAACCCCCCCCCCCCCAAAAAAAAAAAAAAAAAAAAAAAGTTAACAAGGCAAAAGAGAGAAGGCAGGCAGGAGTTAAATCAATCAATCAACCACGCAACCCCTCCCTTTGCAACATGTGGTAAAAATGAAACTCTTGACCCCTTGTTGAACCCTAGGACTGACAGATTCAGACAGAAAATGAAAATTACAGAAAGGAGGGACAATAATCGAAAAAAATGAAATTACAACACACAAATAAATTAAAAACACCACGGCAGGAAGAAAGCTAGACTTAATTTTAAGAGCTTAAGAGCTTCAAAGTTATCCCATTTTAAATGGTCTGGAGGTCTTAGTATAGGCCTGAGACAAGTCAGTCAGTATCTTTAGGACCCAATATTTAATCACAAACACTATTAAAAGTGAATAAGCCATTGCAGTACCAATTTGGTGCATGGAAACTTACCAAATCCTTATGTCATAAGTAGAAGGGAGGTGTTGCAAATTACACAAAACAACCAAAATTGAATTTAAATCATTGAATGACAGTTACCTCTCTTAATATCATGAAATACAGAATATATAAACGATTATTTAATAGGATACTGAAACAAATAGACAGTGCCCCAATATATTTGGGAAAGTACATGGTCAAATGAATTCATGCCTAGGTGGACGTAATCCATCAAATCAATTTAGTTAACCATTTTATGAGAAATAAAGTCTTTAGGACAGATCCATGGCAAATTTTTATCTCACCATGGTAGAATGGACATCAGAGATCCTTAAATAGAGCAGACTTGGCATTTTTTAGTTTATCCAATCTTCTTTGAAGATGTGAATTGGCTGTCTCTAGTTCCTCTGCATGTGCCAACGACTCCCGGAGCTGCAAAACATAAAACACAAGGCTTGTAGTGTCATGTAAAATGAAGCCAAAAAATCGTTGTTCAGTTCTGTGACTGTCTAACATCCTATCAAGGAACGGGAAAACATAAGAAGTACCAGTTACATTGTGACACACATGGTAGATTGGTTATGTCACATGAACTGTGTACTTCAAACTGTGAATTTCAGACACTTGGCCATCAAGTCAGCCTTGTTTGGTATATTGCGACCTGACTGAGGAACAGCGGAGCCAGATTTACACTGATACCTTAAATGGCCGAAAAGGAGGACAAATGCTCACATCAAGTCTGGCACACTGTCACACTATGGAAAAAACGACAAAAATGTACGTATTTACATCTTAAAACTGAACAAACTAAGAAAACAATTGTTAAATCCACAGCAATCAATTAATAAACACACTGAAACAGAAACAATTAAGGCAGGTATCACAGCAGTGAAGCAAAACGGAGTAAGTTATGCAAAAAGTTAATAAAAAAAAACATTGGTTGAATGAAATACAGTCAAATGCAACAAGCTACATGACTTCGATATCTTAGATGAAACGACAATCAGAATATCCTGACTTAGAAAAGGTTACAAAAGCACAACTTGGGATGCATCTTAAAGAGGAATAAAAATCAGTCAATATTATTTCAAATCATCACACACACACATGAGAGATTGGGGGACAAAAGAGGGATAGTCTTCGACAAAAAGAAAACGCACCATTCAGAGATAGAAGGAAAAACAAACGAACGGATTCCCACTTCAATAATTCAGCAGCACCTGTGAGTTAAGTGATGATGCACACAATACGTATATTATAGCAATAGCATAGGAATTGTGGTGAGAGTACAAATTAAATTCATGCTAGCATTTGGTTGACCAAGGCTATGGCATGTATGCGGAAGAGTTGAAAGATCTTTCATTTGTACGTAGGGCTATGCAATTCAGAAAGAAATACCCATCAACCAATACGCAGAGAATGATTACACTTTATAGAAATTCAAATAGGAAGTAATAAAAAAATAGTGCAAAAAAAATTAGTAAAAGTAAAAAAAAGGAAAAAAGTAATAATTTTTAAAAATTAATGAAAATGAGTGTATGCACTACTTTTGAATCATTGAATGAGATGATTAAAGGCGGGTTTAACTGGATGAACACAGACAAAATGGAAAGACAGAAAACAAACGAACTGGTAAGTTGAGATGAAATGATGGTTGATAGTACTGGTGATGGATGCATAGGTGTTATCTGATGATCTGCTTGAGCCTCTCGCATTGCTGAGTCAGCGCCAGCTTAGCTGCTTCAGCAAGAGTCAATCGCTCCGATATCTCTTTCACCTACAGGAGCAATACATAATACCACTGAAGTAAAAAAGGAAATGAGCAGCATGAAACAGGAACGAAAAATAGATAAGGAAAAGGAAACACTTCATACAAAATGATGCAGAGCAGGTTCGTTCGTTCATATGTTCATGCTAAGTGCAGGTCAGAGTGATGATGATAACATACTAGCCAACGAACCTGCCGAAACTCGAGGAGTTGACAGAGATAAGGTCCAAAATATACAAATTCCTGGGGAAAGGGAACATGATGTAGTTGACTCAACTTTCACTCCAAGGAGGGGGCAGCAAACCAGGCACGTGCAGAAAAAAACAAAATGGGCAAAACGACAGACAAGACAAATTAGGGTGGGGAATAGAGACCCTCGTCCTCGCCTGCGCCGATCCCGGTCCTTCTCCCTGTCTCTGTCTCGATCCCGCGACCTGCGACTGCCGGGACGATCTAAAGTGGCCGAGGTGACATTTGGCGCTGGGGAATCATCCGCGTTCGCGTTCGCATCCGCATCCGACTTGTGGCATTGTTGATTCTGTTTCTTGGGCTTGGGAATCATTGAGTGCTTGGGGAACCTTTGGGAAGAACCATTCTTGGCTGCTGGGCTTTTCAGGTTCAGGGCCCCTTCAACCTCTTGGGGCGATTCTGGTATTGCAAACAAGTGCTTAGCAGCGGATTTCTCTTTGTCAAGGCTCGGGAAAGGGGATTTTGTGTCCATGTCTACAGCCTCCAAGCCGTCATTGTCAAGAGACACTTCAAAAGACCGTTTTGATTCTTGACTCACAAAGTGAACTTCTGGTTCTTTTCCCCCTAATAGATCTTGAGGATCGAAGTTATGAATATTGTAACTCCAGTAGTATTCTGAGGGATGAACTTTGCCTTCATCTAGAATACCAGTTGGATCCTCGATAGCAGCTTGCTGTTCATACAATAAATCAGCAGGTGCCTCTGCCCAAATAGTAACTCCTACGAGATAATCCAATTCATCATTGTAAAAGCCATTAGCGACATTACTGTTCTCGTCAGCTCCATCTTCATCCCAAATTGTAACACCTTCAAGGTAATCAAACATATCCGATTCAACATCATTTTCATTCCTTGCTCCTTCAGATTGACAATGATTGGGACACTGATCAGCACCAGGGAGATCACTGGATCCTAAAATGGACCATGAATTTGGATCAGAAAATTCATCGCGGTCTGACTTTTGATTCTGAAAGTCAGATGCTTCGTCATCTTCCTCCTGTAATTTAGCCCAGAAGTCTTCTGCTTCATCTTCAACAGCAACACAAACTGTACAGTTTTCCTTCACAAAATTTTTGTCAACAGCATTTGAGTCAACAGCATAATTAGCCTCGTCACCCAGAAGGAAGGCTATGGCGGAAATTGCTTCAAAAGATTCATCATCACTATCATCCTCACATATCTTTGTGAACTGGGAATTGTTAACGCTGCTCTTTGGATAAGATTTTGGATCACAAACATCAGCCCCATTTGATTCATTTGAAGATGGGTTTTGACAAGTTTCATCTGAAGTCCCATCAAATATTACCGCCCAGAAATCTTGCTCATCACCACCTTCATTGCTGCTATCCTCGATCCTTTCAGACAGCTCATCTGCTTCTTTGACCTCCTCTAAATGACCTGATTCTTTTAATGACCCAGTTTCCTCAAATGCTATATCAGACACAGCCAGAGTACTCTCATCTCCAAGCCCATTAATAACCTGCAATTGCAACTTCATTAAGTTAGATATTTTCTTATAATTCCTAAATATGAGAAAGGCATTCTTGAAGAGAAATAAAGCTTTAATAAATAGCTGACATTGACATGAGATGGAAAGTGTCAAGTGCAAGATAATAGTGATGACAAGCTAGGACGGAATTTTGTAAGAAAAGTAGCAACAATAAAACCGCATGCTTCATCAAATAGATGGTACTAAACAAAGCCATAAGCCACATCCTTAACTCAAAGAATGAAAAATCAGCCATCATCAAACAAAGTCACTGAAAGATATGAAAGTACTGTAAGAGATACCTTGTTTATGCCTTCTCACACACACTAACAGCCCTAACACTAAAAATGTGGAATAAAAAGGAAAAACATAGCATCCATCCTGCTACACGTCCACTCACACACAAGAAACAGTATGGAAAATACCAGCTCAGTAGACCTGAATAGTTAATGCCACATTGAAATTGAAGGTTGAAAAAGAACTTACCTCTCGTTGCAGTTTCCTCTTTTCTACCTTTAATTCATCCTCTACTTTTTCTGCTGTTTCAGCAGCAGATTTGTAACGGATAACTTGACTCTCCAATCTTGCAACCTGCAAAAGCCATAAGATCAGATATTACATTAAATAAACAGTTACTTAATTGGGTGAGTTCTATGTGTATTTAAATAAATCATAACTTACATTGGCCTGCAATGTTGAAACATCTTGCTCAGCCTTCTGAAGTTTGAATTTATAATCCCCTAACAATTTTTGAGATTCCCCTGAAAAATTTGGCAACATAATTAAATTTGTGACAGGTAAGTAATGTTCCACACAACTGAACAAGTGAGTCAAGAAGAACATACTTTGAAGGTCTTCCATATCTGAGTCTTGTGGACCATTAAGAGTTCGAGGTCCATTTCGATGTCTACTGCGCTCGTCTTCGAGCTCCAACTTAAAATGCCGGATTTGATCCAAAAGTTCATTACGTTCCTCTGCCAACTTTCGCAGTCGAACATCTAGACACATAGAATTTTGTTAGTAAAAGAAAATGTCAATATTTACAAATTGTTAGGTATGAGTTATCTTGCAGTTTACAGACCTAGAGACCCTTCACCCGCTTTCTGCAGCATCTCTGCTGATTCAACAGAGACAAGAGCTTTCCTAGGTGTCCGCTTCTCACCATCTTCACAGCCATCTAGCTCCCCTTCATCACCAACAATAACCAAACCTTGTTCCTGCAAAACCAGAAAGAAAGATAAGTTCATCAAGTTCATTGAAAAAAAAATGGCAACCACTCCCCAAGGTATTTAATGTAAGGGCTTACCTGAATAAGTCTATCACGCTCTTCCAAAGCAGCTTGGCACATCACCAGATCATCCTTCAAGCGCTGCGTGAGGCGTTTGAGTTGGTCGACCTCGCGACATTTCTCCTTGTTTTCACGCTGCAAACAAGACACATGACATGAGCCCGGAGTCCGTCCGCTCTTCCCGGTACAGTAGTGTAGTAGTACAGTGCGCCGACACGTACCTGCAGCTGGGCGTACGCCACCTCCAGGTCCTCCAGCTTGTCCTTGAGCAGCTCCACCTGGTACGTGTAGCTCGCCTTCTCATTGTCCAGCTGCGCGTTCTGGATCATGGCCTTCCGGAACTTGTCCTCCACCTCCTTGAGCTCGTGCCGCAGGTCGCGCGTCGACCTGCCGTCCCGCGGCGTCTCGCCGTTGGGGCCGGGGCTGGGGCCGCCGCCGTCCTCCAGGGAGTCCTCCGAGGACCGCCGGCTCCATTGGTGGTTGTTGGCGCCGCCACTGCCGCCACTGCTGCCGCCGCCGCTGTTGTTGACGACGGGCGTCCGCGACTGGCTCACGGAGCGCGCTGGCGGCGTCCGGAGAGCAGTTTCTGGGGAGCATCGGTACAGTCAGACGGTCTCCTCAAGGATGAACTTGACGTCGGGGAGGTGCGGGGCAGGGGGAGGCTACTCACCGGGATGCATGTCGTACAGGCGGTCGGCATTCTCCTCGGACTCCTTCTGCTGCCGCTCCAGCTCCCGCATTCGAATCTCCCGCGCCTCCGCTCTGGCCTGCCTGCGGGCCGCGAGACGCGCCTCAGCCTGCAACACAAACACCAGGCCGTCAGCACCGAGCGAAGGCCGTCCCTTGTGGCGCGTGCCGCCCTAGGGGCGCTTAACGCGGCCCGGCAGGGCGTGCCGTACTTCGTCCGTGCTCTTGTCCAGGAAGTCCACGATGAGGCTCTCCTCGTCCTCGTCGGTCAGCCACGCCCCCACAGAGCTGCTGCTGCGGCCGCGGGCCAGCGGCGGCGGTGCGAACTCAGCGTCCTCGAACGCGTCGTCGGTGTCCTCGTCGTCGTCCTTGCCTCCACCCTCGCTCGCGGCGTCATCGTCCCCCTCGGCAGGGTCGTCCTCTTCGACATGGCCCTCCTTCGCGTCCCGCGACTTGGCGGCGGGCGCTTCGTCGCCAACAGAGTCCTTGGGGTCCTCGTCGCACTCCAGAGCGTCGGCGGGCGCTTCGTCGCCAACAGAGTTCTTGGGGTCCTCGTCGCACTCCAGAGCGTCGGCGGGCGCTTCGTCGCCAACAGAGTCCTTGGGGTCCTCGTCGCACTCCAGAGCGTCGGCGGGCGTCGCGACGGCCTGCTCCTTGTCCTTCTCCGCGACGCCGTTCACCTGGCCGGCGAGCATCGCGCACCTGGCGCACACGACACGGCACGTCACACCGCGGGACTGGGAAGGGGAGGACGGGGGGCGGGGCGCCCGGCGGGTAGGCCGCGCCGCGCCACCCCTGCCCGTCGGGACTGCCCACGCTGCAGGCTGACAGCCTGTCAGCCCGGTAATCCGCCCGGGCGATTCCGAAAGGCTCGTTTTGGTGGTTTTTCTCACGCACCCCTACGGGGTGCCCCACGAGTGCGATAGAGACAGAGCGACCAAACGATGATTTGGAATCGCTCCGTAGATACGCCAGATACGGCCATCAGGCGAACAATTAGCGCGCTTTTGGGACAGGGAGGTGGTGGAGCAGCCCCCCCCCCCCTTTTCCGACCTGCATCGCCACCAGCAAACAGAAACTCGAAGCCCACTCGACATATGCGACCCGCCAATATTTCGCGAGCCACTCGGGACGGCGGGACTTCCCCCGGAGCGTCCCAGAAACGATCCGCCGCGATCATTCGCGGCTTCGCAGCCACCGCTAAAAATAAAAACACAACGAGACTGCTAACTCAAACGAAAGCGACGCGCGGGACGGGAGCGTTGAACTGGTTGAACCAGCATGCTGCAGTCAGCCGGCCGAAAGCAAGCAAGCGCAGCGAGCGCAGCCATGGCGCGGCCGATGCATCCAAGAAGCGGGCGGGGCGCGAAGTGGCTGCAAGCCCATCGCCGCTCCGTCTCTCTGGCACTCACGCGGTGTTCCACAGGGGTGCGAGAGAGACAGCGACGGAAGCAGAGCTGGGGAATCATCCTGCCTGGCAGGGCGGGGCGGGGCGAGCCTGGCGAGCCCAGTCGCACGAGTCAGCGGCATTCCCTCGGCGAGCGAACACCTGGGGGACGCAGTGGGGACAGTGTAAACACCGCCAGGCCCGACCGGCCCTGCCTCGCCTCGAGTCCTCGACCTCGTCTCGTAGTGCTCGCAGCGAAGGCAGCCCAAGGCAGCCCAAGGCGCGGCGATAGCGGACGACAGGAATGCCAGGACCCGCGCAATCACCGGCAAGACGCCCCGTCTCTCTCCCACTCACAGTGTCTCTCTCGCACTCACGCCTTGACAAGTGCCGGACGCTGATTAGCGAGCCGCGACGTTTCTAATACCGTCGAAGGGCAAGGGTCCACTGGGTCCCATGCTGCTGCGCCGCGCGTCCAACACTCGAGTCAAACCAAGCACCGGACAACAGAACGAGGCAGTGACGTCACCAGGCAGAGCGCGCGCGCCACACAAACCCACATTTCGGATCGCGCCATGTATTTTCGGAAACCTAAACACACAATGAAGTGACTCACCGCCCCCGCCCCCCATTTCCGGAATTCTGTCACCTGGGGCACTGATAGTGGCGGAGGCAAACATTGCACAACCAGAGCCCTGTGCTGCCCTCCCTACAGGACCAAGGACCGCGCACACACTCTGAGTTCCCACCAGGTGCCCACGGCCCCACGGGGGGCACCAGGCCGCTGGAGGCCATGCCAGGCCATGCCAGGCCGCGACAGGCCGCGACAGGCCACTGAGGCCTCCCAACAAGTTCCCACCGACGGTTGGGCCTAACATTCACTTTGCCCTGGGAAGCGGGCAGGAGGTCGCGGACTACCGAGGACAGCCCGGGGACCGGCTGGGCGGTGGCAGACGACACGGCGGCAGACGACGCGGCAGCAGACGACGCCGACACACGCGATGTCGTGCAGAAACAGCTGGGCGCGCTGCGTCTGGTCGGCACACTGGTGGCCAAGAACAGGCCTGACGGTCAGGGCCGCCCGCGACGTACCGCGACGCGGGGCCCAAGGTCGCCCCGGGATCGATTCCTGCAGGACCCCTGTACCGCTCTCGGGATGGGCTGGATGGGCACGCTGCGGGGGTGGGGGCGGCAGGGGCGGGTTGGGATGGGAGAGCCGAGCCCCCCGTGAGGCCCCACAGGGCCCCACCACCTCAGCATCCCGACGCATTCGGGTCACTGCGGACTCTCACGCTCAGCTGACTGCGAGCGGGGCACCCCCGGCACCCCTCAAAATATCCAGAGTCCAACGCGGCGCGCTGATGCGCTCCACTTGAGAGAAGCATTCCCGCCATTGCCATTCCAGGGGCAGCCCCATCGTCACGCGACACTTCGGGACCTTCAGGAGCGCTAATGCCGGCTAATCCCGACCCCGACAACAGGAGCGCCGCCCGCCGCCGCGTCACTCGATACGAGCTCAACTCCAGACGCGGTGGCGGCGGAGCCACCGAGAGTGTCTCTCTCGCACTCATGGGGCGTGCCGTAGAGGTCGCGTTGGCGCCGAACGCGGGGCGCGGTAATCGGTCACTGCGGGGCGCCGCGGGGTATCAATGACCAGCAGAGCCGCGTCGCCGCGCGGCGTGGAGCAGTGGAGCAGCCCTGGGCGGTGCCGCCTGCCTGCACCGCGAACGACGAGGGGACCGAAATCTTCCTCCAGGACCGCCGACGGCCTCCGGCGTAAACACACTGAAGCACTGCACCACTCTACCACACGGCACTCGCTTCAACGAGCCGCAAAGCAGCTCGGCAGGGAGATCGCAGCACAGGTTGAAAAGAGGGAGGGGAACGGACATGGACGAGGATGCACCCAGCGCGGCAACGCACAGTGGGCCTGAAGACCGGTGGAGGCGGCAAAAATTCTAGACGCGTTCTGAGCTCCAGAGTCGATAAATGGGACTCGAACCGACCGTGTGACCCCACCAATGGGTTGCTCTTCGAACGAGAAATCCATTGGTGGGGTCAAACGCTCAGTTCCAGTCCTGTTTAGCGACTCAGGAGCTCAAAACAGAATTTTAGCCGCCTCCACTGGTCTTCTGGCCCACTGTGCAACGCGCCACAGCTCAAAGCGCTTCGCTTCGCCGGCACTTGCTTGCGGCACTCGCACTTCACCCCACTTACGCGTCGTGCGCGCTTTCCACACTCATCCCACTCGCGACACTTGCATCACGGACGACACGGGCGACTCGGCGCGACTCGGCGCGACGCCTACGTGCTGCGCGTGACTCCGCGGGGCTGGCGGCGACGGCACTGGCCGCACCAGGACGCCGTCGGAGCCGTCCAGCCCGGGGCCGCGGACCGCGAAAAAGCGAGCGGGCGCGGTCGGCACAGCGGGCAGCGCGTTGTCGGCGCGTGGTGCTCGACGCAAAGGCGCCGACCCGCCGACGCCTCAAAGGCACCACGTTCGCGGAATAAGTGCCTGGCTCAGCGGGCCGCGGGGCGCGGAGCGGGGCGTGGCGAGGCGGCGGAGCGCAACGCGCGCACTTGCGATGTCGTCGACTCACTGGCTCCACACTTCCACGCCGGCCGGGCTGGCTGGCGGCTCCAAGCGGGCCGCCCCACCCCACCGCGCCCACCGCGCCGCGGGTCCGCGAGGCAGGTAGACACAGGCCCAGCCGGGCTCGACCAGGGGGGCGAACGGGGACTTCCCTTGCACTGCCGCGCCGCCCCCGGAGAGGATCCGGGCGCAGGGCGGGCGGTTCGCTCCGGGGTCTCCGTCAAACTCAAGGTCCCCGCCCCGCGAGGCTACGCGAGGCGCTCCGCCAAATCTCGCGACAGCTGCACCGAGTGGCGACCAGTGGCGACGCAGCGAGGCTCGTTAGCACGTCGCTTGCGCCGTCACGGCCGCATCGGCGCGCTCCGCGTCACGAGGCCCATCAAACGCGAGGAGGCCGTCAGAGGAAGCCTTCAGAGAGGACGCCGTCAGAGGGGAAGCCTTCAGAGAGGACGCCGTCAGAGGGGAAGCCTTCAGAGAGGACGCCGTCAGAGGGGAAGCCTTCAGAGAGGACGCCGTCAGAGGGGAAGCCTTCAGAGGAAGCCTTCCGAGAGGACGCCGTCAGAGAGGACGCCGTCAGAGAGGAAACCGTCAGAGGAACCCGTTAGAGGAAGCTGTCAGAGGCCGCCGTCAATCAAGCACTGTAATCCGCAGACAGAGTTGAAGCTGGCGGCCGGCGCTGTGCGCGCTGTGCGCGCTGTGCGCGCTGTGCGCCTGACACGTTCCCTCCTCCAGCTACTGTGGGGCACTGTGGGAACGCCCCGCCGAACCCGCCGATGACATCACGTCCCCACAATGAAAGCTTCGACGGCGCTGCAGCCAGCAGCAGCAGCGCGGCCGGCAGTTTATAGGGCTTAATCAGGCAGACGGCCAGACGCATCTGCTTGGCGGGGAAGGCCGCAAGCTGGGAGCAAATCCCGCGCAGGGACCGCGACGCAGCGGGTTGCCGCCACTTGCGCGCTTCTCCTCTCTCTCTCTTTCTCGCTATCACCGCCAGAGCGAGACGGTATTCCTAACAGTGGCGCGCTTGGTAGGCTGGGTAGGCTTGGTAGGCCCGGTGGGGCGGCGATAAGCACAAGCAGGCCGCGAGCGCCGCGAGCACGCGCTGCACGCCGCACGAGTGGCGACGGCTAGGTAGGCCTGCCCTGCCTGCCTGCCTGCCCCGGTCGGCCCGCTCGCTCCGCTCCGCCGGCAGCGCCAGCGCACCGCCGCGGGCATCAAGCCTGCGAGCTTCAAGCCACCCGCACAAAACAGCGGTGCAGTGCGGCGCGCAGCTCGGCGGGGAACGGTGAGTGTTGCCGGTATAGCGCCGCGTGGCGCGCGAGTTGCAAAACAGGGAGAGGCTCGCGAGCAGAGAGGGCTGGGCCGGGGCTCGCCGACCGGGGGAGGCAAGGGAAGGGCCACTTGTGGGGGTTGCCACCGCCGCCGCCGGCCGGGGTGGGCGCCGAGCGGGCCGCGCCAGCGACAGTCGCAGAGGGGAAGTCCGAAAGGCACGACTGAAAAAAGGAGCCCCCCTCGTTAGCTTTCCGCCGGCTCCCCCTACTGCACGGCGACACGGCGTCCTCGGGCTGACGATCTGCCAGAAAATGCCGAGCGGGGCGCGCGCCTGCCATTGGCCTGCCTTTGGCCTGCCTTTGGCTTGCCCCGCGCGGAGTGCAGAGAGTGCAGGGGCATCGCCTTTGCCAGCCCCTCACTTCCCCTTCCCCGCCCCCGTAGGGCCCCGTGGGGCCCTGCGTAGCGCTGCGTGGCCTATCCCGATTCCGGACAGTGCTTTCGTCGCTCAGTCTCTCTCGCACCCCTACGGCACACCCAGCGAGAGCGAGAGAGACAGGGCGACGAAAGCACCGCTGGGAATCTGTCTGCAGGGCTGCAGGGCCGCAGGGCTCGGACGACGCCGAGTTAATTGTGGTGCCGCGACCGCCGCGACGCCTTGACGACGCCCGCCCTGCAGCCCTGGCCGCAGCCATGCCGGCCGGCCGGCACCACGCACGCACAGACACACACACACACACACACGTTTCGGCAGGCAGGGCAGGACCGTCAGGACGTGGGGGGCCGCTCACTCGCAATCACAACGCAGCACGCCACCGCCTCACTCACCGTGCCCGGCACGCAGTACAGGTGCACCAGCCAGAAGACGAGCAGCAGCGCCATGGCGACGGGACCGACGGGACAGGGAGAGGCGGCTGCGGCTGCTTGGCCTGCGACCCGCGCCTCTCATCAGGCACAACTACGAGATGCACATGCACTGCACTCCAGACGAGCCGGCGTCGCGACGCCCTCCCTCCCGCCGCCCCGCCGCCCCAGCGTCGCCACGTGCCTACACTGCCTCCACGCCCGCGACACGGCTATGTATAGCACGCGACTCACAGTCACAGTCACACACACACACACACGCACACGGGCGGACGAAGGGCGCTGCATCATGAGCACGCAGATGACAATCGGACGCGGGTCTTGCAAACGTGCAAAAATCTTTTCAAACGGATAGGGGGTGGTACTGGCTTGGTGGGGATGGGTCTCGACAATTGTCCACTGACGACATGAAATTATGATCCCGCTTGGGGTCTTGACACAGACTTGAGACAGACGTTCCAAATGGGAACATGTGTCTGCTTTCTCTTCTGCTTCAGTAGTAGATGTCAAGTAGGTGCCTGTGAAGTTGGTTTCAATTTTCTTCAGGTGCTCTGAGAGCTCTTCGGCATTTGAGGAAGATGCTAAGATACGCACACACTCACACAATGACAGACTTTGTATGAAGTCAGTAAAATAGATATACAAAATAGAAAACAGAACCAAGTGCATTAAATTTATGAACATTTCCTTGATTTAACTTAAGTCTTTCACAGGAGCACATTCATTGAATGAGATGTTTGCGGTTGCTTTGAGTCAATCTTCACTTTAAATAAGCTTACCTCTTTAGCAATCTGGTCAAGGGCCTGGTCTTCTGCTGAATGCTTGGTTGTTCCTCGCCTCCGACCACCAGCTGAATTCGAGTTCTCCATAGCTGGTCGCGCTGATCTCAGGCGCGCCCAGACATTTCAGCACACTGAAACAGAATAAGTTTGAAACAATTGAAATATTTAAAACATATTGAAATACAACTTGAGAAACCAAATACTAATTTGTTAACAAATTAATCGTATCCAAGAAGGTAGGACAATGAGAGTAAGTTTCTTAAATATCCATGAATGGGAATCAAAGTGAGACCATGAGACAAAAATTATGACAACAAGAAAAACAGGAAAGCACTTAACCTCCATAAGCCAAGGATTAATTTATATACATTTACTTTAGCCATAATTTTTGCCAAACAGCAAAGAAAAACATTCACTCATGTCCAAGTTTGGAAACAAAAAAAAATTCCTTGCTATGTAAAGCCATAGATAAATGGCGAGGATTAGAAAAACCAGCTGTGCCTTATCACTTTAAATAAACAAAATTTACAATGAAATTGTACCTCTAGTTCTCAGATTAGTACAGTAAAATTGAACATGGATCGAAAAATACATCAATTTATAGCAACTTTTCCAGCAGCACACCCTACCTAAGCATAATCCTTCAGCTATGCCCAAGAATGGAATGTTACATTTGACAGGTGTGAATTAGGTTATGTCCATGGAGCCCAAATGGCAGAGACCCCTAACACAACAAGCCTCTGGACAAGTGGTTCAGAAACTTCTGTAACGAACAACCGAGTCCATTTAGAACCGCGTCGTCCACAAAGAGGGCGGGTCCGAGTAGGGCGAGGCGAACACACTAGCGAAATGTTTCTGGTCCAGACTCCAGATGCAGATGTCCTGGAGGGGGCACTGGACTAGACAGGCTCCAGCAGGGACAGCAGGGCAGGGCGGCAAGTCATCCTCGTCTACCTGGGGCTGCCCGGGGCGTCATCGCCCACTCGCGTGCTCCGGGGGGCCTGGGGCACCTCGCCGATCACGAGAAATCAGCCTAGGCAGCGCCGATCGGGTGCCCTTGTCGAAAAAAGGCAGGCGATCTCCTCCAGGGACCCTCGGCAGCTGACCCAGGCGGGCGGCCTAACCCTTTCGGCCGGGCACACGGCAAAAGGACGTCCCGGTCCGAGCGTCGCGCCGCGGCAAGCCGCGGCTGTCCGCCAAGCTCGGCGCTTCGCACGGGAATTAATCTAATCTGCGTCTGTTGGGCTGGCGACCTTCGCCGAGAGGCCTAGGGTAGGCTTATCCCGGGGCCCGAGCAGAGCGGTGACCACGGGTGAAAACAAGCCCGAATTTAACACCAAGGGGGGCACATTCGGACGGAGCTCGATGAACCTTGTCACAACCTGGCTACTTTTATCGCTAACGCACAACTTAAAATAGGAATACACACTGTAAACACACGTGCGCAGCTTATTTTGCACTTTTCCTTCACATGTGAGCCATTTTTTCCTGCGACTGACCACCAGCGCCCACTTGCGGACCGCGGCCGTTTTCTAAACTAGGGGCATTCTAACCTCCACGCGGTGACTGGCCGACTGGTGACCCTTCGCTCATGTCTTTCGTAAACCATGGGGGCAGTCACCACAGAATGAGGACTGCTTCAGGACAGGCTTCACTCTCCACAAGTTTGTTGTTGCATCGTTTCATACGCGTCAGTTTCTCTTTTGACGCGGACAGCAGCCCGTGCCGGTAGGCGAACTGCGTCCGAAACAGCCGCGGTCCGAGAGTGTGCGCGCGCCTCGCGCCGTCCTGGCCCTGGCCCTGGCGTGACAAGGACAGAGACGGCGACACTCTGCTTTTCGGATGCGACCGATGAACCGGACGCGCGACGCGCCAAGTTCGATCTCTGCGCTCCTCTGTCGAAATTTTTCAGTCGCGCGTGCTGCACGTTGCACGCACGGCGCACCTGCGGGCGTTCTTATCGGGCCAAGCCCGCACATACCATGCGCATACTAGCGGGTGTGATAAAGGACATGAGGTGAAGTCAGCCCGTGTACTCGTTACTTGCCGATTTATTTGTTTCTTATATTTGTTTCCTTTACAGCATCGTACACGAACCACTCCAGATCGACAGTGTTACTTTGTTTTAGTCTTTTTTTTAATTCTTAAATTAATGAGATCAATCAGCACTTAAATATTGGTCAAATAAAGTGTTTTAAGAGGTGCTTCATGCTTGTACTTTTTCCTCCCCCTCTCAACCCTGCCTGTCCTGCCCCAGGTGCTCTACACAGTGCAGGCGTCCCCGGCTCCCTCGTCCACGAAGATGACGGGGTTCCTCTCCACGATGGCGATGTCCTTCTCCAGCTGGCGGAGCTCCGTCTCCAGCGCCTCCTTCCGCTTCATCTTGGGGATGGTGTCGATGAGCATGGGCAGCCCTTGGAACATGGTCTGCAGCTCCTGCCAGTTCTGCTTCAGTCCCTTGAGGGCCACGCAGGAAACGATCAAACACCCTCCGAGACACACTCAAAGAAAAACACGAGACATCGCACAGTGGGCCAGTGGGCCATCGGGATTCGAACCGTGGACCTTACCGAGACGAGCGAGGTGCGCTCCTCCTCGCTGATGTGCCGCAGGAGCGGCTTCACGTTCTGGCGCTCCCTCTCCTCCTCCAGGCGCGCCTCCTCCTCCTGCTGCAGCCGGCGGCACAGGTATTCCGGCACCCTGCCGTAGTCCTAGTCCCCACAAACGTCACGCGTTAGTCCAACGATCCAAATTAAAGACTGAGTTACAACTGCCATTCGAGTGTCCTGCCGCGGCTGGCTAGGCTGGCCCGCTCTGGCGGCCTTACCGGGCAGCCCTCGGGGCAGCCCGTCCCGTCACTGGGGGCTGCTCTTGGGGCCGCCAGAGTCCCGCTTGGCTTTGCCGAGCTGCGCGAAGTCCTGGGCAGGGACAAGCACACTGAGGCCACCGAGCCTGTATCGCAACGGCAGACTGATTCCAAGAGTCGTTTTCGTCGCTCTGTCTCTCTCGGACTTACACAGGACGCCGCTAGAGTGGGAGGGGGACTAAGCGACGAAAACGACTCTCGGAGTCAGTCTGCAGCAGCAGCGCGCCGACGAACCGCGTACCTTCTTGAAGATGTACTTGGGCTCCAAGCCGGACGTCTCCAGCAGCAGGCTGCTGCCGCGCCGCGTGTCCACGGCCTTGGCGGGGGGCTGGCGCGGCACGGCGCGGACCGCGTTCTGGATGTTGATCTTGGAGTAGTCCTTGGGCTCGCCGCGCGCCGCCTGCCGGCCCCTGGCCTCGTCGTACACGTGGTGCGCTGGGGCCTTGGGCCGCGCGTCGGGACGGCCCAGCACCGTGGGGTAGTCGGGGTGCTTGTCTGTGGGGGAGAAGAACAACAAAGACATCCGCGTTAGTAACATGACATGTGATACATTTATGTACACAGCTAGACGCAAAAACAGGAAAAGAAACTACTTCTTTGACACCGGATTACAATCCGGTACTTTGACTCACCGACTTTCGGCCGCAGTGTGTAGTACGCGTTCTTCTTGAGGAAGTTGTTGGGAGGGTCCACGGGCACCTCCGGGTAGCCGAAGGTCTGGTGATCGCGCTTGGGCTTGTAGAACTCGTGGCGCACCAGGTAGTGGAACTTGGACTGGTACTTGGGGAGGCGGTCCTCGGTGGGCATCGGCCTGCGTACTAGATTGTAGATGGTCTCGTTGTGGTCGCTGATGTTGATGGTGGACATGGTGGCCGAGGTCTAGGACGTCTAGGACTCTAGAGCTCCCGGCCCGACGAGGCCAGCGGACTGTCACCAAGCCTTGGCCGTGTACTGGTCGACTCGCGAGTAGGAGCCTCGGCAGTCCCTACGCCTCAACGCCCCCTCGGTCGGCGGCGTGGCGTGGCACGGCGCGCCCAGTTTACCTGGTGCCTAGCAACGAGCTTCGCCCGCGCCGCCGCCGCCGCCGCCGAGCGATTCCGAAGAGTCGACTCGTCGCTGTGTCTCTGTCTTCGCGCTGATAAGGCGCTTGGGGTGCGAGAGAGACAGCGACGGGGCGACTGCTCGGAATCGGCGGGCGGTGTGGGTGCCGCACCGCCGCGAGGGTCCCTAAGCATATTCCTCGAGGGCGCCAAGCTGGCCGAGCGCACAGCACAATTAGGCGAATGACGACACGACGAACCCCGACGGGGCCCGGTTGTTAAGACCCGTCGCGGGGGCACGCTTGGCGAGCCGCCGTGCAGCGTGGGCCGGGTGCAAAATGAGGTTTTCTGCCGGAACGCCCCGAATCCCTGCTCCGCAACCTTGGTAGGGCCCAAGCGCGGTCGGGCGCACGTCGCAGCCAGCCTTGCGCCGTTCGTGCAGCGACGACCCCGAGCTTCCCCCCGCCTGGACAACAGAGACAACACCCGGACGGTGGCGGTCGGGTCGGAGCTCCCGCAACGACGAACAGTCTGTTCGGAATGAGCCCGCATAAGCTGCTGGACACGACCGGCCGCCCCAATCAAGGTCTCACGGTGCGGGTTAGCCCCGCGTGCCGCCGGCCGCCCCGCGCACACCAAGAAGAGCACGCACCTCGGGGAGGCACGCCTGTTGCTCCTCGTCGTCAAGGAACGCCACCTGCAGGTCGCCCGACCGCGAGCCAGCCGAACCCGGCCCCCGGTGGCCAAGGGGGCGACCCCGCTGCCCCCGCTGGACAACGGCGAGCGAGCGCGCCCGTGCGGCTCCCGCAACGACCCACAGGGCCACTGCAGTTTAGCCGACCAGTGCCTCGGGACGACCGTCGCCCCCTACGGGACGCCCAAGCGACGAAAGCACCGACCCGGGGACTCAGCCTGGCCAGCCTGCCGCACACCGAAGAGCCGCGGCGTCCCCGGGGAGGCCCTGCGGCTCGCGTCGTCGAAGGAACGTCCAGCAGCGCCCGACCGCGAGCGGCTGCCGAACCGCGACCCCCCGGAGGCCATGATGGAGCGGCCGCCGCTGCCTCCGCTGGAGTCCGGCGAGCGAGCGCGCCCCGTGCGGCTCCCCTGCGCATCGCACCCACAGGGCCACTGCAGTCTGATGCCGACCAGTGCCTCGCTGTCTCTGTCGCCCCCAACGGGACGCCCAGAGCGACGAAAGCACCGACCGGGGGGACTCACCCCCGGCGAGTCTGCCCGCGACGGCGGCGTCCGCGGCGAGGCCCTGCGGCTGGGGGCGTCGACGGGGTCGTCCAGCAGCGACACGCCCGCGCGGCTGATGAGCGTCGGGCTGGTCTTGGGGCTGGAGTTCCACGCGCGGACATTGCGCGGCTCTGAACAGGAAAGCGGGAAATCGGAGCTTTTCCCACACGTTCCTCCGAAACCTTTCAGGTTTTGTTTAGAGGTTTGCTGACTAACCTTGTCGCGGCGGAGTGCGGGGTTTCTTCACCGGAGGCGGCGGTTCTTCTGGCGGTGGAGGGGGAGGGGGTGAAGGGGGCCGCGTCCTCGCTGGAGTGAGAGACGAAGAAATGACTTAAAACAAGACGAGCCGCGTCCGTACGTACGTCGCGCGTCTTGAATGTGCCATGAGGACGCACCCTCCAGCTCGGCGATGAGCGACCTGGTGTCCACGATGGACGTGGGGAACACGACGGAGTTTGCGGCGCACGAGGACGTCGGCGAGCGTCGCGGGCTGGGCTGCGGTGCCGCGTCTGCACCGTCCGCACGCGTGCCCTCACTCGCTGCAGCCTGGCGCGCTCTCTCTGAAATAAAAACAACCATGGAAGCAAACTTCCCTTTCTAATTTCTCAAAGAGATCAATACGCAAATACTGGAACGTGCCCTCTAGCGAGCCGCTGTGGATGGACGTGGGGAACACGACGGAGCTGGCAGCGCACGGCGTCGTCCTTCCCTGCTCCGGGTCGGGCTGCCGCTGCGGCGACGGGGTGCGCGGCAGGGCCGGGGTGGCGGCAGCGGCCTCGGCGCTGTGCGGCCCCGGGCCCAGGTACACGACGGGGACGGTGCGGCCCCGGCCCGAGACGCCGCACACGATGGACCGCCGCAGCTGCAAACGCGGGCAAAGGAGAGAGTGGGAAGATGGAAACATCCTCGCCGCTGCGGCGTGGCGCGGCGTGGCAGGATGGACTGGGCGTCGAGGAGCCAGCGGACTGATTCGGAGAGGGGAGGTCTCTCTCGCGCACTCATGGGCGCTCCATACATGTGCGAGAGAGACAGACCAACAGCCGCACTGTCAAGTCGGGTGCTCCGAGGGGCGTACCGGCTGCGGCTTGTCCTTGGTGGCGTGGATCTCCATGTTGGTGCGGACGCTGCGCGCCGAGGCCGCCGACCGGTGGGTCTGCGAGGTCAGCGAATGTTTTGGAGAGTGCGAGGACGGTGACCGCGACCGCGCCAGCGAACGGACTGGTGAGCGGACTCGGGGGCTGCCTCCCGCGGACTTGACCGAGCCGTCGTCCACCTGTGACACAGAGCAGCGCGTCAACAACAAAACCACCCTCGCCTCGCGCGTCCCGATCCGAGATGGAGGCGCACCACTTGTGTCCGCCCCCTGGACGCGGAGCTGGCGACGCTCTCCTGCGCGCCCGCGGGTCCGTCATCGGAGAACACCTCGGCGGCGACGGCCGCGATGGCGGCCTCCACTGCCACGGCGTCCGCCGCGCCGCTCCCGGCGACAGTGGCCGCGGAGTCGTCAGCGGCCGCGGTGTCGGTGGCGGTGGTCGTGGCGGTGACTGTGGCGGCGGTCTCTTGAGCCGCGGCGTCGACGGATGCCTTAGCGACGTCCTCTGCCACAGCGCCGCTCACGGCAGCGTCCTCTTCGATTGCACCCGGCACCTGCAGATATGCAGCCTGTTGCACCAGAGCCCCGCAATGCTTTCAGCTTTCCCCCTTGCCGCCGTCCTACCCGCTGCCGCGATGATGCGCGGTCCGCGCTGGACCTGCGCTGGGGGATGGCCGACGCCGGCCCCTCCGCGGCGCCCTGCCCGCCCTGCCCCACGGGCACGCACATTCGGAGCGAGTGGTGGGGGGCGGCGCGCGAACGCTGGGGGGCTGCTGCCCGCGGGGCGGGCCTGATGGCGGTCCAGGGGGTGTCGTCCACGCACCGCTGCATGTCGCTCGCCGCCTCCGTCCAGTTCTGATTTCTGGCAGGCAGGTTCCTGGTCATTGCGGAGTGCGCGCTGCTGTAGGGAACACCTTGAAAGCGTGGCTCTTCACTTACGAGACCCCCATGTTGCCCACGGTCGCCGGGCAGGCCGCGGGCATGACGGGGGGAGGATCCGCCGCCGCCGCCGCCAGCGGCGACGCGTTGGTGTTCATCTCCTCCATCGTGGCCGCCATGGCCGCCCCCATGGCGCCGCTCATGGCCGCGGCCACCTGCACGAAGGCTGCCACCATGGCGGAGGACACGGCGTCGGCGCTGTTTCTCTGGGACCTGACCAACGGGTGGGTTGAGGTCGCGCGGTGGCGGACACGATGACGGCTTACGCGATGGCCTACCTGATGGTGGAGGCGTCACGGTCGTCGTCCTGCTCGCGGTACTGCTCGTGGCCCTGCAGGCACCGTTTGTGCTCCACCTCGTTGGCGGCGGCCTCGTTGGCGGCGGCCTCGTCGTGCTCGATCTTGATGATGAGGCCCTCGTCGGACTCGAACGTGTCTTCGCGGCGCACCGAGCGGCCCGAGCTGTCGCTGGAGCTGTCCGGGGTCGCGCTGTCGGTCTCCCCGTCCAGCACACTGCCACGTAACAAAGTGACGTGAGTCGGTGCTTCAACCGCCAACCCAGCGGCGAGCACGCAGCATGCCTCTTACCTGCGGATGGCGTCGTCCGGGCTGCCTAGCGACTCAAGCAGCGCGGGCGACGAGCTTGAGGGCGAGGACGCACAGGACGCGCCCTCCCCGATGTCCTCGCTCTTGTGCACGCCAGGCGCGTCATGGAGGCTGACGCCCGCCCTGGCGTCGTCGCTGGCGTCGTCGTTGGCGGCGTCCTCGTCCAGGCCGTCTTGGAAGCTGTGCCGCAGCAGGTCGCGCAGGGACTTGAGGTCCGCCGGCACGGCGCCGCCCTTCCCCCTGCCCTGCTGCACCTTCTTGGCCTGCTCGTACTTGAGCTTGGCGGCGGCGCGGTAGTCCGCGATGTCGCGCACGGCGTTCCGCGCCGCGCCCCGCCACAGGGACGCCGGGGGCGTCGGCGTCCGCGCCGCCCCGGACGCCCTGGAGTGCGGCACCAAGGCCACGGACTCGCTGTCGTCCACGCCCTCGTTGTCCGGAGTGCCAGCCGCGTCGCTGTCCGCGGTTGCCAGTGATGAGGCTTCTGGAGGCCTCGCACGGGAGCCTTTCGTTGTTTCGGAAGGCTGGGCCGAGGAGTCTTGTGTCGATTCTGGAGGCTGGACTGAAGGACCCTCTGATGTTTCTAGTGGCTGGGTCGGGGAGTCTTGGTGGATTTTCAGTATCGCTGGAGGCTGAGTCGGGGAATCTTCTGATGTTCCAGGAGGCTGAGTCGGGGAGTCCTCTGATGTTCCAGGAGGCTGAGTCGGGGAGTCTTCTGATGCTCCCTGAGCACGCCGCCACTCGGGCGACGCCACCGGATATACTCGTCCGGCTCGAAATTCGACTGGAATGTCGGCTCGGAATTCGATCGGAATCTTGGCTTGAAACTCGACCGGAATCTCTGCTCGAAACTCAACTGGGATCTCGGCTCGAAATTCGACCGGGATCTCTGCGCGGAAATCGACTGGCACGTCGGCGCGGAAGTCCACTGGGGCGTCGGCAGCGACCCCAGCTGGGATGTTGGTCGGAAAATCGTACGGGTAGTCCGCCGGGTCGTATGGGTAGTCGGATGGATAGTCGTAGGGATAGTCCTCTGGAAGGCCGTACGGATAGTCCACTGGGACGTCGTACGTGCGCGCGTCTGGTGGCGTTTCCTCCTCGCCTGGCAGCTCCGATGGCGGCGACGGCAGGTTCTCCAGGACGTGCGCCGGGACCTCCCAGGGCGGGCTGGCTGGATTCTCTTCGCCCAGGACGGCGGGTGCTTCATCGGCGGCTGCTTTTTCGGTGGTTGCTTCATCGGCGGGTGCCGCAAGTTGCTCTCGCGAAGGCCACTCTGTCGCCTTCTTCCTTTCGGGGCTGTCCGCCCGGCCCGCCCCCTCGTCGCCCAGGACCCCCAGGACGGTGGGCGCTTCCTCGGCGAGGGCTCCGAGCTGCTCTCGCGAAGGCCGCGCAGTCGCTTTCTTGCTCTCAGAGCTGTCCGTCGCCGTCTCGGCCGACAGGTCCTGCTCCGAGGCCTTCTTGGAGAACATCCTGAGCTCGGTGCCCGACGCCGTCCGAGACGCCCGCTTGGACGCGGCCCTCGACGTGACCCTGGACGCCGTCTTGAAGTCCGTGCCCGAGGCCGTCCTGGACGCCGTCCTGGACGCCGTCTTGGAGACCATCTGCATGACGGGCTCGCTGTCGATGGTGGCGAGAGGGCGGCCCGGCACGCTGGCGCTGGGGCTCACGTCGCTGCTCCTGGCGTTGGAGGACGCGTCCGCGGTCGAGGTCCTCACGGAGGTGGCGCTCGACGCGCCAGACGCCGCGCCGCCCTGGCCCTGGCTCGCGCCGCCGCCGCCGTACAGGATCTGCATGCGCCACGACGGCGACCTGTCCCTGTCGGCGCGAGACGAGACGCCTCACTCCCACGCTCGTGCCGAAAGGAGGTCGAAGAGAGACGGACACACGACGGGCGCAACACTCACTTGCCGACGCGGATCTTCCTCCTGAGGTTCGGCGGCTCTACCGGGTGCACGGACGCGGGGAAGGCGGGGAGCTCGTGGCGGTGGTGCCTGCGGAGGGGCCCGGAAGGGGCAGCCGCCAAACCGGGGGTCACTTTGTCACTTTGGAAAATAGGAAAATTGGTCCGTGCAGGAGGTCGGTTTGCACTTTCACCTCCTGCGGCCGCTGCGCCCGCTCGACGTGGACTTGCTGCCCGAGTTCTTGGACGAGGCGAAGCTGCTGTTGCTGTCCTTGATGCTCGACGCGCTGCCGGGGGGCGCGGTGGGGCTCAGCAGGCAAGGCGGTGGAGACGTCTGTGCTTCGCAGAGAAGATGCACGGTCGTTGCAAAAACAGTGCCTGGCTTGGCTGCTCAGCTGGACCGCTGCTGCAAACTGATCCCGAGAGTCGTTTTCGTCGCTCTGTCTCTCTCGCTCTCATGGCGCGTCCTCTACAGGTGTAAGAGTGACAGAGCGACGGAAACGACTCTCGGAATCAGTCTGCTGCAATGGGAGATCACCTGGCGCTGCGGCCCGCGGGAGAGGCTGGCCTGCACCTTGAGGTGCTTGCTGTCGACGAGGCGGGCGTCATCGGCCACCTTGGCGGGCAGGGATGCCGTGGTCACGCAGGACGCCGGCGAGGGCAGCGGGACGTGCAGCGCGGAGGCCAGCGCCACGGACAGGTGCGCGGACAGCGCCGAGGACACCGCGGCCGCGGGGGACGCCGAGCGCGGCCGGGGTGAGACTGGCTGGGGCGAGGTTGCCTGGGGCGAGGGTGGCCGGGGCGAGGGTGGCCGGGGTGAGGTAGCCTGGGGTGAGGTTGCCTGGGACGAGGTTGCCGAGGGCGAGGGTGGCCGAGGTGACGATGCCAGGGGCGAGGACAACCGGGGGGTGGGCAGCGGCAGCGGAATGGACACCGGGACGGTGCGGTGCTTGGGGGGCGTGGCGACGGGCGTGGCGACGGGCGTGGCGACGGGCGTGGCGGTGGCTGCGGTGGCGGCCGAGGTGGGGCGCATGGGAACGGCCACGCTGCTGGGCGGCACCGAGGCGTTGCCGGACAGGCAGCACAGCAGCCCCAGCGGCCCCTTGTCCCGGTTCCTGGCATCCGCCGCGTGCACCGCGCACCGCGCCCACCGCGCCCTGTGTCAGTGTCAGCAGACTGATTCCGAGAGTTGCTTTCGTCACTCTGTCTCTCTCACACTTTTAGGGGACGCCCCGTGAGTGCGAGTGAGACAGCGACGAAAACGACTCTCGGAATCAGTCCACTGGCCAACACACCCTCCCCGTCCTCCCCCCTCCAGCATCTCACCTTTGTAGGAGTGTCGGACTGCGGTGGTCCTTCCCCCTGAGAAATGAAAGCAGTCAGATTGGAACCTTGCGCCACATACAGCCCTACATTACTCCTTAGGGGGATGTAGGCCTCTAGCGCCTGCGAAGTTGCTGGTAGGCCGCCCGCTGCGTGCGTCCGCGTTGCGGGCTGGCCTACCCTGCGTATTGCAGGCGGCAAGGCGAGCGCAGGGGTGCTTGTGCTTGTCGCGATGCTTCAGAAGACTGAAGCTCACCTCGTGGCTGTTGGGACCGCCAGCATGATCATGATCGGGAGCCTCTCCTGGAGCCTCGGCCCGCTCGCCCCGCCCCGGCAGGTGTCCTTCCGCGCCCTGCCGACCAAACAACGCCAGTTCTCGCAGAGCGGTTCCAACCTGCGCCCTCTCCTCAGATCCCTCTGACCACGTCGCGGAACGCTTGCATCGCGTGCAACGCCCCAGAACAGCGAGAGACAAAGTGACGAAACGCTGTGCGGAATCATCCTGCAGTTCCTATAACGGCCGGCCGAGAGAGGGGACGTTTTTTTTTGCGGAGACCTCGAGGCACAAGTGACGCGGCGGAGTTGCAGTCCCTCTACCCACTTCGCTCACATCCATGGTGTTGGGGGTTCAGAGGTGCGGGGCCGAGGGTGGGGAGGAGGGGCGGCAGTCGGGGCCCCGAGGGGGTGCAGGGGCCGCAGAGGCCGCAGAGGCACGGGGGCGGCGCGCCCCCCTTCGCCCTCGCCCGCCATTTCGGCAGACGTGTAGAGTCGGGCCCAGTCTGGCCGGCCTTCGGTCTTTGCTTCGGCGCCTTCGGTGCTTCGGTGTCAAGGCGGCAGGCGCCATTGTTACCGCCCGGCCAACGCGCAATGCGCGCAACGCGATGCAGCGAGTGTAGGAACTGCCAGGAACGGGGGAAGAGGAGGCGAGAATGACGAGACACCAGCTTTTGGTATTTTGGTAGCCGTCGGCTTTATATTTTTAAACACAAAGAAAGCTCACATATAAAAGTCGCGGCATGTTGCACTACATTACACAATAATATCACATTTTCAATAGTCACTAGATCGTAGATCGAATCGCGGCTCGTAATTGTGCTCATTAAACTCCAATCTGCTAAAGAAATGAAGGGTCAGTTCCACACAATCATGACAAGTTTTTATCCAAAATGAGTAACATTGTAAAACATATTGTCCACTTTTTCAAAAGTTTATCACAATACTTTGCCTAGGAATCAATGCACAGTGGATTAAGTAAAATTTTAACATTCAGTGCTTGTATGGCATTTCCTCTCCTTCAACAACAATTAACAAAAATCAAACAGCACAGGACAGAGCTACTAAAATGCAAATACTGAAGCACACTCAGGACACAAAATATGAGTGTTAAAACAACTAAGCAGGATTCGAAGTTAAATATTACAATACAATAAAAGCCATTACACCACAAAAATGTCTTATAATTGCATTTTTAATGCAAGTTTGGATGAACTGCAGTGACTGCATGTGTCTGGTCTTGTGGGAAAAAATGTGTTTCCCTGCAAAATCAGTTCAGATATGAGATATAATGACTTAAAAGTAAAAATCATGAAATAAAGCTCCATTTTTAAACCTTAACAAAGCCTATCTATTTTAATGGGCACAGCCCTAAAAAGATTTTAGTTTTTAAAACAACAAACTGGCCTCAAACACTAACTCCATTGCAAGACATGATGTTATAAAGAAATTAAACTTTACAGAGACTTAACCAAAATTGTCTTATTTGTTTGATTAAAGTGCTATAAGTATGAGAATACATTCAGGAAAAGAATGAATGAGGATGGATACAGTAACAAAAATATTGCAATGAGCATGAAAGAAACAGACAATGTAACAATAATAAGAGAGGCAACACTCTGTCTTCAATAACTTAGTGCCAGATCAACAATCTTCTACGCTCTGACTTGTAAGTTTTCAATCACAATCGCCCTCACATGTCATGATATTGTCTTTTCAACATTTAGTCCGTCAATCATCATTACCCCCTACACTTGCTAAAAATAATACAGGGGTATAGGGTAGAGTTTATTGATAAGCCGACTTTGCCAACAGAGATTCAAAAGTTCCCAACTAATCATATCCTAGAGTTATACCTGTGTAGGGCCAGGAAAACCAGGAAAACAAAAGAAAATTTATAGTAATTTGGCTTAATCATGAGATACACTGATACATACACTGTAATATTTAAGAGTAAACAATTAATTGAATGATTATAAAAATACATCATTGTTTGTAAATCACAATAAGTCTTCCTATCAATTACAAAAATTTACAATAAACCATGTGAGAGATAAAGTTTAAGGTCCCACATATTAGAGTCAGGGGCTGCCCACACATTACATCCATATGTACAAACTTAACTTTAAATTTAAAACTTCCTCCCAAGCGGACAGGATGGCAGTCAACAAAGTGGATGTTATGTATAGGCAGCCAGAAACAGCTTAAAAAATTTCCTTAGTGAGTTCATTTTTTTTAAAGTTAAAAATCAAAACAAAGCAGATACCAACAGCTAAAATCACTCTAAGAATGGACCATTTAAAGAAATGGGAGGCCATGATACTAAGGTTTGGTAATTTATAAAGATTTCCAACATTGCACTCCCTGAGTGGGTTTAGTATGGTATTCATGTTCTTAAAATAAAACATAAAATGATTTACCATCTCAGATGTACCTCTGGCAACAGAAATAATGCCATAACACACTTTTAAAATTTAAAAACATTGGAACACCAAAATATTAGTGTGTGGTAGACAAGATCTTAACAAATTGATAATTGGATCCGTTGAGTGGATGCTCGACCAAAGCCTGGTCAAGGAGAAACCAAGACTGGAATTTCAGAAGCCCTGCACCATTCAAAACAGTGTAGCTAGCTATTAAATAGGATATCTTTGCTTCTAGTCACAGTATTTGTAAAATGTTAGTATCTACTTTTGACTTAATATCACTTCATTTAAGCACACGTATTATACATGTGTGACATCAATGTAAAAAATACTGAGAAATCTTAACAATACAATAAATAAATAATACATAACTGCACAAAAGTGGTACCAACTATTTTATGTAAATGAACATACTGTTTTCCTCTCCCATAATCTAGATACTGTAAAATTACATGTTGAAAAGTTTGTTGCAAACAGTGCCAGTCTCAGTTTTAACAAAAAAGTAAACACAACCAAAAAAATCTTAAGTGACGTGCCTCAGTAATATTTTATAGCATGCTTTCATGTGGCCATTCTGATTGCAATAAGTAATACTGTGTCTTTTTGCTACTGACATCACTATGACAAATGCAGATATAGATTTTGTCTTCCTATATAGTTTTGTTCAATTATTTTTTTTAAAAAAAGAACAAAATCATACAATGAAATTCCTAGTTATCGGAAAAGGGCAATGGTTTTTCCTTTAATGGCCATCTTGGTCATATGATTCTTTTCCATTGTGACTGTGTTCACATTCTGCATCTGAAGATTCGTCCTCTGTCTCTTGATCATGAGCCACTTTGCAGATAGGGAAAGCTTTCCTTGCTTCTGTGTCATTCACATCTTCATTGTAGTCACTGTTGCTGGCACTGTCTCCTCCTTCGTCATCTCCATCTGCTACTTCATCATCACTTCCAGAATGGCTGCTATCCAAGCGATTATCATTTATGGAATCAGCATCGCTTTCATTCTCACTATCCACATGTTCAGTGTAAATGGTTGGAAAGAAAAACAGATACACATTTGTCAGCCATTGGTGGGCAGCCAAGATCACCATAGCTGCACTAATAATGTAATTAATAAAACTTATTCTTGTTGGAGCGTAGAGCAATGTGACTGTTGCTAGTACAAACAGAGAATCAGCAATAATCCTTAAATACGGTCTGGAAAGAAAAGGAAAAAACTTAGTGATGGCAGAGTTTACAAAACAACAAAGTTATCATATTTGCTCAAGGGCTTTGATCTTACAGCTTGGGGTGCGGATATGTATTTGTCCAAAATGTACTGCCTATACTGCTTACTATGAGCACAAGAGGTATGAATACTGGATCAGGATTTAAACTGTGATCAAAACTGCAATTAAAAAAAAAACAAAAAAAACAGGAATGACAATGAGTTAAGAGGCTGTTTAAAAATGAAGTAAACATTGTGTACAGAGCACATGTGACTTACTTGTAATTATGTGCCCAAGTGAGCAGAGACGGTATACTTGGTACTATTGCAGTCACATAGATGAGGAAAATGGTCATATACATATTTATGTCAGAAAGACTGTTACGTTCGTCCTCCTTTTCATCCAGATCGTCACTTGAACTGTGATCGCGATGCTTTGCATCTGCATTTTTCAAACAAAGATCTGTATTCTTCGAGCTATGATCAGCACGTTTTGTACCCTTCAATTGCTCACGACTTGAGGAGGCTTTTGCTGAAATAAAAATAAAATAAATACATAAGATACATCACCCTGGAACTGCAGTACATGACAAAGAAACCAAACCAGATGATAGACATCCATATTATCAAACTACCACCACAACTCTGAAAATTTACCTTTCTTTTCAGTGTACTTTAAAGTCTCATCCTCTTTTGAGCCTGAAGAGTTGGATTTATTGGCACCAGGGTTTGCAATACCTTCCAAAGATACTCTTTCTCTGCCTGTCACTACTCTCATAGAGTACAAGAATAGAGCCTCTAAGTAGTCGTTATACATGTTGCAGAGCACATAGTAGAAAAATATGCCACCCAGAATAAGAGATAGAGCTCCACAGGAACAGGAGCCAACCATTAGAAGTGTTATTACAACAACAGGAGGTGCCTTTATCATGAATTCTCCTAGAAATTCGGTCAAGTTAAATGGACCTATGCATGTTAGGAATGATCTTTTGAAAAATTGACCGACAAAGCTCAGGCAAATGACATTGAACACTTTTGCATTGAAAATAAGACAAAACATGAATATAAATCCAGCACAATACACAATCCCAAATGCACACACATACAGAAAGAATGGGAAAAGCAAATTTTCCATGGGTGTTCTAGCCATAAGATTCATGCCCTGTTCAGGTATTCCCCATGCAGTTAGAAAGTGGTCAGAGTTTAAGTCATCGCTGGAAAGGAGAGAAAAAACATTTTATCATGAAGAGAACTAACATCTAGAGATTAGAGACAGTAAATCCAAACTTACCCTTGAGAAAGCAACCTGGTGAGCATTTTACACAAGGGGAGGATGTAGAAGGGTTTTGCTCCACGACTCATTGCAATGTGGAAAAGGGAACACTTGCCACTTCTACGATAGGACAGCAACTGTTCTCGAAGTGTTAAGAGAAGAATTGCAACTACATAGGCAAAAACACATGGTGTGAGGGATCGTGCAAATTGGCTTAGTAAAAGTCCTGGTGCAGCCGTTACACTGAAACAAATCAATGTCATTTAGCAACAAGAGAACTAACCCTTAAAATACAATTGCAAAGTGTGTATTCACCTAATTTGGTATCTGCAATTCGGATCTAGAGATATTTCAGCCCTGACATTCTGTTCAATGGTCTTTGGTATATCCTTCCGCATACGTGGTTTGACATGAAGAAGTCTTACAGGAAGCGGGTTTTGGACAGCCTCACTGCAGTTACAGAGAAAGATATTAGTCGTAGGCAAATAACACAATTCAAACTTTAAAAAATCAACAATACAGCAGCAAATGGCTTACTTTATAAAGCTGAATAATTTCTCGTTACTCCATGGAATACTCAACATTGCCACAGCATGGTGTTCTTCCTTTGAACATGACACAGGTTTCACAACCAAATTTAAAACATGCCATAGAGACTCAATCTCTGAAAAGTCCACGGTGTAAAACAAGGCCTTTTGGGCAGTTTCTTGAACCAGAACCACCGGACGGGTATCAAAAAGCATCCAAAGCCCAACAGCAGGTGGCTTCAGGATTCGAGGATTGTGGACATCAACGTGAATTTGGACCTACATGAAGGATAATCAAGTATCAGCTGTACAAGTACGTTAAAAAAAACTTTTTCCGATAACTTATCTCAGATAAAATATTAATTCAAACATTGAAATGCTTACAGGATCATTAGTATGAGGTATCCTTAACACAATATGCGAAAATTTTTTCTCTTGTTGAAGACGGTGAAGATCAAGAACAAGTTGCTTGCGCTTATGGTTTTTAGTTGGCAAAAACATTGTGGAATTCGAAAGATTTTCTCCATTTTTGCTGAAAAATAACATATTAGTTGGAGTAAGAATGTCTTTAAAACTAATTGATACTTCTAAGAAAATAACCAACTCCTTTCTTCTTTACTCAGGAGTACCACACTGTTTTATAACTTACCAGACCCGTTTGTCATTTGAAATAAAATTGGCTTGACAAGCAAACACCCAATCCCCCTCCTGGTGATTAATAGCTTCCACAGCTAAGGCTGAATGCAAAATATGATCGATCAGGCGAATCATAATATGTTTAGGTCTTTTAAGTCGATCATTTCCAGTTGGGTCAATGTTTGCTGAGACAGTAAATTGACGATAAAGTGGCTCTACCCAGTCTGAACCATCCATAAAAGTAACAAAGGGTTGATGAATGGCTTTACGATACTGTTTTCCAGAATTTCTCTGCAATCAAATGAAAATTCAACAAATAAGGCATCAAACTAAGAGATTTCTGAAATTTAAAATGTATTGTAGTGAATTACATGGAGGAAGTGGTAAGAGAGAATTGAGTTACGAAGATCTCGATCATTGGTGATTTGTTTTGTTTCAAGATCCACCATATCGAATAGTGCTCTGGCTGTGACAAGAACCAATTCTTTGCACCACAATATAGCCAAATGATCAACTGATCGCCATACAGTTGGAACTGTTGTGGTCTAAAGGATAAAAAGAAGTGAGGGCATATAAATATGGGTCAATAACACCACAGACAGACTTAAGAATGCAGGTAACTTACAACTGTGTGGACATCAATGTCCCATGAAGCTATTGAATCAGTCTGAACCAAAAAATCCATATAGCTTCCCCCTACAGAGGTCAAGGATATGTGTCCCAGTCTGTTTTCTCTTCCTAAACGCCATGTTTTTGATGTAGCTCTGTAGTAGTGGTAAGAATATTCATCAAACAGAACTACAGGACGGCTATGAGGGGTTGCAAAGGTAAGAATAACTTTAACTAAGCTTGGGTCAAAAGAAATATCATTGAAGATCCCTTTAGCGATGACACCACTCTGCAAGTTAAGTCAATGGTGAATTAAAGTAAACGTCAATCATCATCAATTTAAAGTTGAAATTAGTGTAGAGAGCGTACCATAGAATGGGCAACAATCACAACTGAAGTTGGTCTTTTGTCTTTGCTTCCTCTATAGAGTTCGAGGATACGGTAAATTGATTGCCGAACAAATTCTGTTTGAGGTTCCAAGGCACCACCATACACAGCAGAATGTTCTTCATTCAAATCAGTAGTAAAGAAATCCAGGTGAAATGGAGAGCGGGAATTCAGAGCTTTACGCATGCTCACTGATGCTAGTGACCGAGCTGGCAAAAAACATTTACAGTTCAGTATACATCAGGAGTAAGTGTATTTTTTTTTATATTATCATTTTACAAACCTTGTTTGTGTGAACCAGCACTCCCTGGTAAAAAAAGGACAGGAATTCCAGAAAATTTCATTTTACGCATTGCTTCAATGTGATGTCCCTCACTGTAAGCCCATAGACTATAACGTTTGTGGGCGTGAGTAACCTCATCAGACATGGCAATTCTCTGTAAACAAGACATAAACCTCTGAGAACAATAAATAAAAAGCAAATTGGTACAAAACTGAAGTGAATTTTTAGTATCATTCAAAAATAAATCATAATGGTGTTGGACATTCTCTACTTTTTGAACTACTTTAAGTTAACATAACCACAACAAAGAGCAGACGAAAACAGTATCCTTACCACAAATTGAGGATATTCAAACATGTAGGTCATAGCGCAGGAACGGTCCTTGGGAGCATACATTAAGTAATGTACCCCGACTGCGTAGAGGAGTACTACGACAGCGGAGAAAATGGTAAATACTGATGTAGAAGGCATTTTGAACCAACTTGACGTGATCCTTGGGGTGAAGTTATTTTGGGTAGGACACTGCGGCCGTTGTACTCATTCTGCCGGTCATGGCTGCTTCAAAACCACACCGTTGTTATACTAAAACGATAACCAAGCATGGCAAAAGTAAATTTTAATGCCAAGCTAGACGATAAAATATATCTTGACGCCCAAATTTGCAAACGACTGGCAAATGGATTCTCCGAACAGCAGAACACTAACACAGCAGCAGACGCCGACTCTTTACCAACCAAACAAGGCCAGCTTTATGAAGCTTTTGAAGGGTAGGGTCACGTCCAGCTTTTAAACTGGTCAGATAGAAGCGTCACAATGAACATATCCGAGACAGGAACGGTAGAGAAAAAGAGCTTTTGACGTACAAAACCTAGTTTGTTGAGGTTGGTAACAAGCGTTTGGGTGAATAAACGGAACGCTACTTTATTCGCCCTAAAGCATCGTGCAAATAGTTTTATTTCCAGGGAAGTACCCTTCTTGAAGATACTCCATGCTCCATGTTCTTCCGGTAGGACTCATATAGTCGACAACAGTTGCTACTGTCAGGGAATGGGAAGGTGTGGAATGTAGATCAGTCAAAAGAAGCACAAACATGTAATAAATTAAGCACCATATCTTTATTCCTCACTTTTCAACAAGGCTTACAACTATAGTTGAGATTTGTTGACAGGAAACATTCTATACAGACTTTGACAAGTTCTTGTATTTGAGCATGGAATCAAAGTACTGGAAGTCTTTCCCCAAGTTGAAAGAGTAATTCAGTAAGTTCTTGATGCTGCAGTCTTCCCAGGGTCTTAAGTGTAGGAAGTAGAGCCAAATTGGAAACAAAAATAAAAAAATGGCAGATTTCAACATTTCATTCATTCACACTGAGAAATAATATTAAATACAGTTTTTTGAAAATACACAAGTTCAAGAAGCTGGATGACCTCAATACTTCAAAATGTAAGCACCAGAAGGACCATTTTTTTCTTCTTTTCTGTGGTGCTTGGAGGTATATTACTCATTATGCATTAGGACTTTAGTGTGAAAATTTGTTAATTGCAGTCCAATATCTTTTCTTTTATTACTCACTTTTCCATAAATAGTAAAAATGGTCAGTGACATTTTTACTAGCTCATTATTATAACTCATGTTCCCTATACTATGTACAAACCAGTAGATTCAATTATAGCTCAGGCAAAGGTCCAGATCCCCACTCAAAATGTGTTAAAATTTCACTCCTTGTCATACAAAAACATGCACTCACACACACATACACACATTCAGCCACCTTGCTTGTTTGGTTTCTCTCTGAGAACCTTTAGCTACATTGAAATGGCGTTGAAATATTGGGCATTGGAAGTTTCCAAAATTGGTAACAAAATATACACCATTAAAAGAAATTTCACAACAAGAAACACATTTGAAGATAAATAGCCAACAAAATCGAATGGAAACTGTATTTTATAAAAACATAAATATAAATTTAAAAAAACTTTAATTTGGACTTTAAAGTCAACAAAAACAATCATTTAAAAAGTTTCAAGTAGCTTAAACATAATTTAAAGAAAGATTTTAACAAGTAAATAATTTCATCACAGATGCAGATCTTAATACAAACACAGCAGTGTAATTATTCTGTGTTCCGTCAGATACATTTATCTTACAAATATCCACAATCATTCAAACATAAATTATTTCGTTGGAGTTATGAACCAGTGCCAAATTACGTAACTAGTGCCACATCACCTTAACTATGCAGACAAACCTGCCTTACTTATCCACAGGTTTTGTAAAAATTAATTCAATTTAGAGAATGCTTCAAGTACTGAACTTGTACAAAAAAAGACTTGTTAAAAAAAAAAAAAACATAGCAACAATGAAAAAGTAAGGCAGGCAGCTAAAATTTCCATTTCTATCAATAATATCGCAGATTGATTCCACCACCTTGACCCCATATGCAAATAGGATAGGGTAGCACATCACATAGATTTTTTCAAAGCAGAGAAGGGTGTTTAAATCACAAAAAAGGCAGCAAAACAAAACTGTTGGTAAAGCTAAGAGTTTGAAAAGTATTTGTGAAATGCCAACTTGTAATTATCCTGAATTCTGGGAAGGGCAGCTTCTATCCAAACTAAAAAGACACTTAAAGACAAATAGTCAACCAGGGACAGCTGAGCCTTCATTGGACAGGGAAAAACTTGCTGTCCCTTGATAACAGATGACAATCAGCAAATAGTAATAAATTTTTCTTTAAAAAAAAAAGAAGAAGCCGTTGTCAAATGTTACTTGTTGGTCTTTAACATACTATCTACTTAGACTAAATCCACTAAACTTTAGTTTATGTTAATTAGTTAGGGAGAAATAATTTGATGTAAACATGAAACGTGTTTTGTTACATCTCATGCCCCTTATGGCACAGTGAGTCAAGAACAAACATGCATTAATTACAGTTCTCTCACTTTAAACAGCACTGCAGTCTAAGATCAAACTGTAGGTATTAGTATGTTGCTCCCATTGAGCTTAAAGGTATTGAGCCATATCCAAAAAAAATTGGTCTCATCCAAAGTCTGATGACTTTTCATCATAATTTTTTTTGTTGATTTCCCCTTAATTTTTATCCATAAATCTGAGTACATAAAGTATGCAGTTGAGAAATTTCAAAAAATAAAAGGAAGGACAGAGCAGAAAATAGGTCTGTCCAATGAAAATTGTACAGCTGGTCTTGACAACTAATACCTACAGAAGTGATTATTTTCCCATTGTATGGTCCTTATAACATATATTAGGTACTTTGTGGGAGTAATTTGAAGGAAATTTCATCCCTTTTGTTACCTATTCACTTTGCTGACAGTTCATCACAGTGCATTTGAAGCATCAATAAAGGAGCATACAGTAGAATTAAAAGAGAAGAGACTTAAAAGCTTAAAAGAGATAGGGAACACCAACAGTCATGAACAAAACAATGATTTAAAAGACCCTTACCAATAATAAATTGGCAGTTTGCTACATGGTGGCACTTGGTATTTTGAGTAAGTTGGCTGCTTTCAGTACACTAATTGCAGGGCTAATTGAATTTCTGCCAACTTCATACAAAGTAATTAATTGTCTTGTGGTTTTGTAACCAGCAAACATCATCCACTTCATCAATCACTGCAGTTGACTCCAACTAATTCTGTTTTCAATAAGAAAATAACACGACCAACACCATCAAAAGTCATACCCCCAAAAATTACAATCAGCAACTGCAGGATCGAGAGAAGCTACACACGATGAGGACTGCAGTTACAACCAACCAGAAAAGGCAGTCATTTCAGCAACATCAGCACAAAAAAAAAAGAACAGATAGCACACACCTACAGGTATATCACAATATTCAGAAGAAGAAAAATGACACCACTGTTGAAGAACAATAGTGTAAGAAAGGAGCATATGACAATCACACACGCACGCGCGCACACACACATACACCCTAAAAAATAAAAAATAAAAATTGTTGTTATTCTAGATTCTGTTGCTGAACAAAAGCCTTTTCCAGACCATGCCTATTGGTGCGATGACTTAGATCCTCATGCTTGACCCGGCCCTCGGCCCGGCTGGGCTGGGCTGGGCTAGGCTGGGCCCGGCCCGACTCGTATGGCTGATGCGCCGCGGCCCGATGGCGGCCCGGCTGGCTGGCAGCCTGGCGTCTGGCATGTGGCCGGGCAAGACAACCCCAGAGTGCCCGGAGCTGTCCGGTTGGGTTCGGTTCGGTTCGGCCAGGCCTAACTGCAACTCCGAACTAGCTACTCCGGCTGTACGCCGTGTTGGTGTAGGGCCCCGAGTAGATCGACGAGCCGCTGGTGGAGGCCGTCTTGCGCCGCCGCTTGGCCAGCAGGATCAGGATGGCGGCCAGCACGGCCAGCATGAGCACCAGCCCGGCCACGGCGATGCCGATGGCGAAGCTGCGCTGCGATATGCAGATGCTGTTGGGGTCGTCCGACGCCTGCAACAAGGTCGGAGATCGGGCTCAGTCTGTCTCTCTCGCTCTCGCGGAGTAAGCCATGGAGGTGCGAGAGAGACAGAGGGAGGAGTGCGGGCGGTGGAATGGCTCCACTGTCGCCGAGCCGCGGGGCCGCGGTCGGCGGGGCGGTGCGCCGGGTATACTCACCCTTTCCCTGGAGACGTCGTCGAGCAGGTCGGCCCTGTTGGCGTCGTTGGCCTCGTTGACGTACAGCCCCGAGTAGACCTCGATGGTGGCGGGGCTGCCGTCCTCGGCGTCCTTGGGCGCCGCGCCGTCCGCGGCCTGCCTCCGCCGTCGGGAGCCGTCGCAGGCTGGAGGCTGCAACAGGCAAGCGTGCTGTCAGCGTCCTGGCGTGGCGGAGCGGACTCGCGGGGGACTTCCCTAAAAGCCTAAAAGGCTTCCCTCGCGCCCGTGCTCGCTTTCAGAGCCATTTCGCGGCGGCGAGTCGGGCTGCAGACCTATTCCGAGAGCCTTCTTCGTCGCTCTGTCACATCCATGAGAAAGCCCCGTGAGTGCGAGAGAGACAGAGCGACGAAAACGACTCTCGGAATCAGTCTGCTGCCGCGCTGCCGAGGGTGAAAACGGAAACGTATCGCGCCTCGCCACGCCCCAGTTGGCCCGGGGCGCGGTGCCGCGGTGGGCCGCATCGTTTTTGCGGCGCGCAACGCCTTGCCGCCCCGCCGCCTTGTCAGGCATGCCATTGCATGCCATGCCATTCCCTCACCGAGTCGTCGCAGCCGTTGTCCGCCTTGAGGCACAGGCGCACGTTGCACTGGTAGTACACGGACGCGGTGTACGGGAACTTGTGCGCCTGGAAGCGCACCTGGGCCAGCGTCTTGGACTCGGAGTACTCGAACTGGCCCATGATCTCGTTGTCCACGGGGCACCTGCAAAACAAGGGGGCGTTGTAGGACCAAACGGACAAAACGGAGAGAAAGTGTTCGGGGATTCGAACCCGGGTCCGGCCTATGACTCACCCTTCCGCGTTGATGAGGCGCTGCTCGCCCCAACCGAGGCCGTCGCGCACCAGGCAGTCGGAGATGCGCAGGCCGTACAGCGGCTGGTCGTCGATGTGGATGGCCAGGGTCAGCGGGTCGCCGATCTTCACGTTCTCGGCCACCTCCTTCTGCGTGGGGTCGCCGTAGAAGATCTTCATGCTGCAGCCCGGCATGGGCGCGGTGGCCGTCAGAGGGGTGGGCTCGGCCGTGCTGCGGGAAAGCAAAGGGTTGATGAGGACGACGAAGACGCGTTGCCCTGAAACGGATTCGCCTTCCGGGCGCTCTGTCTCTCTCTCGCTCATGTGCATGAGTGCGAGAGAGACAGAGCGACAAAGTTCTGAGCGGCGTCGCTCTGCAGTCTGCAGGACAATGGCCTGGCTCCGCCGCTCCGCCAGTGACCCTGCCCGCCGCTCCGCTCACCTGACGTTGACGGCGTTGGAGATGGTCTTGTCCCTCGTCTGGTAGCGACACCGGATGTGGAAGCCGCGCCCCTGGTTCGTCACCAGCTTCCGGTGGGGCTGCACCACGATCGTGTTGAAGTACTCGACGCCGCCGTCGTTCTGCAACACAACAAGAAGGCCGTGAGTCGCGTGCGTGCGGACGCAGTGGACGGCCAGAGCGACGGCACGCGTTTTTTGCCGTCGGTCCGCGCGCGCCGCCATGCATGCCGCCATGGCGCCCCCCACGTCGCCCCGTTCAACTCCACGACGGCGTCGTTAGCGCGGCAAAACCTGCTGCAGCGGCGCGGACTTTTAAAATTCCCGCCCATTATAGTAGCCTGGAGTCTTGGCGCTGCGTCGCGCCGTCTCTCTCGCACCTCTGCGGGACGCTCCACGAGTGCGAGAGGGACAGCGCGACGAACGCGCTGCACTGTTGGAGGGCGTGCTTGGCGGCGACGCGGAAGGAAGGGCCGCCCGGACGGCGACGAGCTGACAGGCGACTGCCAAGGTCCGAGTGCTGGAGTGCTCGCTGGAGTCTCGCAGTGGCCCGGACGTCCGCCTCGGGCTGGGCCTAGGAGGCCTAGGGCACCGTAGGGCCGCCCCGGCAGGATGCGCCATACTCGCTGCATTATCGGATGCACTGCGCTCTCTCCCTTTTCGCTGTGCAATTACGTGATCGTGGGTACGGCTTTTGTCCCGAACCAGCTTCTCCTCTCTTTCTCTAAACAGTGGTTCGATTAGCCCGGATTCTTCTCGCCGGCCTGCTCTAGACGTCCCTATTTCGACGAGGCAGGTGGACTGGCATGAAGCCCCCTGGAGGAATGGCAAGAAAACAACTCGCGCAGTGCGCGCGTGTGCGTGCTGCCCGTTTGCGGAGGTGACGCGCGGGGACGAAAAAACAAGAAGAAAAGACACGTTCCGAAAACAAACAAGGCGGCTTCGCGGCCCCCGCCCCGCCCCGCCCCTCGCGGCGCGTCTGCCCACACGCCCGCTCCCCTCCGCCCCCCGCGAGGCGGTCCGCGGGCTGTTGCAAGTGACTCCTTGTTTGGCTCGCTGCAACAAGGACACCCCGCGCCGTGCCGGCCGTAGCGGGCCGTGCCGCGCAGTGCCGCGCAGTGCCGCGCCCCACGGTGGGCCCCGCCGAGCCACAGACAATGTCGCGGTGCCCCCCGTGGGGCCGCCGGGCCGCGGTGCGATGACGGGCAAAATGGCGTCTCGGGGGGCGCGGGCGGGCTGGGCAGGCGCACGCACGTCCAGGATGCCGTCGACAGGCAGAGCGACGCGGAGGGAGAGACAGCCGTGTCATGAACCGATCGGGCCGCCCCGCTCTGCTCCACTCCGACCGGGCCACGGCGGCCACGGCTACGGCCGGTACGCAACACCTGGACACCTGTCGCGAGGCAGATGGCAGTGCACGCCGGCGTCCTCGGGGAAGTGAAGGGGGTGGGGGGCCTGCCTGAGTATGCGGACCTTGACACCACATACACACGTACATACACACACACACACACGCACACAAAGACACACACAGGCACGCAGACGCACTTAGTGGGGACGCAGGGCACATACTGCGGCGCACTGTACTCTTACCACAAACACCCCATCCGTCACCTTAAATTTACTCACACTCGTACCTCACTGACAACTCGTCTCACACACACACATACACACACGGCGCGCGCGCCCGACGTGTCAAGTATATACGTCTGTTACTACACATCGTCGCTTCGCGGTGCTTCGCGGTGCCGGGCGGCTCGTCTCGTCCAGGCCGTCCAGCAGACTGATTCCAAGAGTCGTTTTCGTCGCTCTGTCTCTCTCGCACTCGTGAGGCGTCCCGTATGGGTGCGAGAGAGACAGAACGTCGAAAACGACTCTCGGAATGAGTCTGCAGGCCGCGCAGGCCGGGGCTTGCACAATGAGTCAGAGTGTGTGGGGCCCGTGGGCCCGTGGGGCCGGGCCGGCCGCATCGTGTATGGACTGGACGGGGAGCAGCAGGGCGAGCAGGGCGAGCAGCAGGCTCACTCCGAACAGCGAATGTCTCTCTCGCACTCACGGGGCATCCCACGGGGGTGCGAGAGAGACAGAGCGACGAATGTTCGGAATGCCGGCGAGGAGAACGTGCTAATGGATTTGCCGAGCGTCCCGACGACGTCCCGGTGCGTCCCGGTCGGCCCGGCCCCTTATTTGCCCTCGGCGACACCACCAGCGACGACGACGGCAAGCACACTGTGTGGCAGGCCGGGTCAAGCACCCGTTGCCCACACACCTCCACGTCGATCATCCCCCAAAATCACTCCCAACAATGCACCCATCGCGAGACGGGTCCCAGAGAGGCTGTCTATCTGACTGACCAGGTCGGTGCTCATGGTGTTGCAGGAGCGCAGGGGCAGCCGGTAGCGCAGCGGTCCGCGGTGGCGGCGGAACTCGGCCAGGCAGGACGAGTTCTTGGACAGCCCCCGCGGGTACACCATGCCGTCGAACATGGAGTGGGCGTCCACCCCCACGTCGCCGCCGATGGACACGGCGATCTCGTTGCTGTTGCAGTCGATGCGAACGTCCTGCACCGCGTCCGGCGTCGCTGGCGCGGCTGGAGTCGCTGCCGGGCAAAAAACAAGGACAGGTGTTAAAGTGACAAAAGCGTAAAAAAGCGGCAAGGGCCCTTCGCGTTGTCGGCTCGGACGAAACCAGTTACCAATGCTTCCGATTAAAAGACGAGGGAAAGAAAACGACCCGAATCTCCAAACTTAATCGATTCGCTTCGACGCGATTGACGGCAGAAAAAAGGAACAACAACAACACTATCGCGAGCGATCGGCGTGCTTTTCGCGAGGACAGCGCAGCCATGGCGCAGCCGGTGCAGGGCCGTGAGGGCCTCATGAAGGGCCCCATGAAGGGCCCCATAAAGGGACCTTGCCCTTCGCGGGAAGGGCCCAGGAACTGGCTGACCGAGCGGGGCGGAGCGGGGCCCTGCCCGGTCCCGTTGCAAGCCGGGGCCGAGTCCCCATGGGGGGTCGTGGGAGGGAGAGGGGGAGGGGGAGGCGCACCCTACGTGGGGCCGAGCCAGGCCGAGCAGTGCAGCGGGTCAACGGCCATACCGACTGCAGCGCGGCCAGCCAGGCCAGCCAGGCCAGCCAGGCAGGCCACCAGCACACTGATTCCGAGAGTCGTTTTCGTCGCTCTGTCTCTCTCGCAATCATGGGGCATCCCGCGCAGGTGCGAGAGAGGCAGAGCGACGAAAGCGACTCTCGGAATGAGCCAGCAGGCCCACCAATACGGAGTGGCTCGGCGTGCACGGGCCTCATGGTCCTCATGGACCGGGGCGTGGCCGCGCGGCCGCGAGTCGGATTGGCTTATCATCATCCATCGCTGCGCTGCTGGCAGGGCACGGCGCCCGATGGCGGCACAGCGGTACACAGAGCACGCCGTCAAGGTCCACCAGCCCTCATGCCGACACCAGTCGACGACGCCGTCGGGGAGTCAGGGAGGACGTTGACGTCCGGGGAAGTACACATTTGCCCCGCCCCCTCCCGCCCCGGGCGAACTTCCACGGCCACAAAGAGGCCCAGTGTGCAGGCAGGCCGAGGCAGGCAGCGCAGTCCTGCCCGCGCAGCATCCTGTTCCCATAGCACAGCGGTTCTCAACCTTTCTCGGCTCGCGACCCCAAATTTGAAGCCAAAAATTTCCGCGACCCCCAGGAAAAATTTCGCGACCCCACGGGACCCCTCCTTTAACATGCCACGGCGTCTGATCCGAGGCGGGCATTTTGCTCCCTCAACGGGCAACTGGTCTTTGGACCTTCCTTTAGCATGCCTTTGTTACGGAGTGCAATTATCAGTCTTAGTTTGGGAGCAGTATTGTCTCAAAGTTGGCCAAAACGCTCAGAAATGTCTTTGAAAAATCGTGTTTTGGGCCGATTTTAAGCAGCCACTGCGTCTGATCCGAGGCGGGCATTTTGCTCCCTCAACGGGCAGTTGGTCTTTGGACCTTCCTTTAGCATGCCTTTGTTACGGAGTGCAATTATCAGTCTTAGTTTGAGAGCAGTATTGTCTCAAAGTTGGCCGAAACGCTCAGAAATGTCTATGAAAAATCGTGTTTTGGGCCGATTTTAAGCAGCCACTGCGTCTGATCCGAGGCGGGCATTTTGCTCCCTCAACGGGCAATTGGTCTTTGGACCTTCCTTTAGCATGCCTTTGTTACGGAGTGCGATTATCAGTCTTAGTTTGGGAGCAGTATTGTCTCAAAGTTGACCAAAATAGTCACAACGATTTTTCAAAGACACTTGCGACCGTTTTGATCGACTTTGAGACAATACTGCTCCCAAACTAAGACTGACAATCGCACTCCGTAACAAAGGCATGCTAAAGGAAGGTCCAAAGACCAATTGCCCGTTGAGGGAGCAAAATGCCCGCCTCGGATCAGACGCAGTGGCTGCTTAAAATCGGCCCAAAACACGATTTTTCATAGACATTTCTGAGCGTTTCGGCCAACTTTGAGACAATACTGCTCCCAAACTAAGACTGATAATTGCACTCCGTAACAAAGGCATGCTAAAGGAAGGTCCAAAGACCGATTGCCCGTTGAGGGAGCAAAATGCCCGCCTCGGATCAGACGCAGTGGCTGCTTAAAATCGGCCCAAAACACGATTTTTCAAAGACACTGCTGACCGTTTCGGCCAACTTTGAGACAATACTGCTCCCAAACTAAGACTGATAATTGCACTCCGTAACAAAGGCATGCTAAAGGAAGGTCCAAAGACCGATTGCCCGTTGAGGGAGCAAAATGCCCGCCTCGGATCAGACGCAGTGGCTGCTTAAAATCGGCCTAAAACACGACCCCAGCATCGCCGCGACCCCTTAAAAAAATTTCGCGACCCCGCTTGGGGTCGCGACCCTAAGGTTGAGAACCACTGCCATAGCAACACTGTCGCACACTGTTGCAGCGGGCCGCGCGTGTCGCAGTGTGGGCACCGCCAAGGCACCGCGCCCGCCGAGGCGCGTGGGCGCCCGCCGATCTTTATTTCAACGACAGCCCTGGCCTCTAAAGCACCCCGTCGTCCCCCCTTCCCCGCGCGGCACGACGCCGAGGCGTCCCTGCTGCGACCTTTGACCGCCCCTCCCCGCCCCGCCCCGCCCCGCCCCGCCCTGACCCGCAGGTGACGGCGACGGAGCGACATGGGCCCCGCAGCCGTGCACCTTGCTCGTTCGCGTTGCCGTCGAGCTCGCAACGTCGACGCCATCCTCGAGTCCATTTTCGCTCCCGAAATGAGATGAGGGTCTGGTCTCCCTAAATGAGTACCGCCGTTTCAAAACGGCGACGTGCTCGCCTCCGGGGCGGCCGCGCGCCAGCCAGCGCCAGCCAGCGCGCCAGTGGGTCACGTTTGAGGTCGCGGTGCGGGCCAGTGCGTGCCTGCAGACTGATTCCGACAGTCGTTTTCGTCGCCCTGTCTCTCTCGCACTCACGGGGCGTCCCGTATGGTTGCGAGAGAGACAGGGCGACGAAAACGACTCTCGGAATCAGTCTGCTGGGCCGAGGCACGGGCGGCACGGCCACTTACTTCCCTCCGCAGCCCGCCGGGCCGCCGGGCCACCACGACGGCGAGGGTCTCCATCTCCGCGTCACGACGCGGGCGCCGCGCCACACTATTTCGGCGTCTGTGGCAACGCGCGCGACGCGGGCAACGCGGCGAGCTACTTCACCCACTTGAGCGGCTCCACTCTACTTGTCCGAATAAAACCGCGGCGCCGACCCGACCCGACCGCCGGAGCGGCTGGGCTGGGCGAAATGCAATGCGCAATCGCTCTTCATTTCTGGATCCAGAGCGTTTCCGCGTGCCGGGCCGTGCCGTGCCGAGTGGCGTGGCTGCGGCGGCCCAGCCCAGTCGCCTGCGAGGTAGGCAACGCGGCGGCACGGCTGCGCGGCGGGGCGGCCCGCCCTGCATTCCGCAGGCGCTCGGGCCGAACAATGCCACGGCGTGGAGGCAGTGGAGTGGAGGCACCGTAGTAGGTTGTGCACTCACCTGTTGTTACAGACAGGGGCAGCTGGGCGCCCGCTACACTGTTCACTAGCACCGCCTGCAACAGAGAGAAACAACGATCCATTATTGATTTGGCCCGTCGAGTCAAAGGCAGCCAGCCTGCTGCGGTTCCGCGCGTTCCGACCTTGCTCCGTCTCCGCCCTGCGCCGCCCAGCACACTGCCATCGCTCCGTCTCTCTCGCACTCACGGGGCGTTCCTGTATGTGCGAGCGAGACGGAGCGACGGCTCTCGGAATCAGCGTACCGCGCCATGGCCGCCCTCGCTCCATTTCTGAGCCGCCTTCACGTCAAGCCTGTCCGGCGGCCGGACTGCGGACTCCCGATCGGCCGATCGCCGCGTGGCCGCCAACGAGAAGTGCCCGCTGCAGGCCGCCCGGCCCTTGGCCAGCCCCTTGGCCTGTCCGGCCGCCCCTGCGTGCCTTTCTTTCCTTTTACTGCAGCGGCACTTTGCTCCTCTGTGTGTCTAGCCGTCTAGCCGGCCGAGGCCTATCTGGCAGGCAGTCAATCATGGCCAGTCGGCAACGCGTTGCCCTGCGGATTCCTCGATTCTTCGCTCTGCCCGGCTACCCGGACCGCGGCGTTCCCACCAGGATCCAGGCCCCCTTCGCCTCCTCGGCGCTTCCTCGGCACGCGCGGCCGGCCGGCCCAGCTGACCGGCCGACTGATTCCAAACGGAGGCTCTCTCTCTCTTTCTCTCTCGCACCCCTGTGGCACGCCCCGTGGGTGCGAGAGAGACAGGGCGACGAAAGCACTCCCCGGAATGAGCCTGCAGGCCACCGCACAATGCAACAATACACGCCGCGACATGCCGTGCGTCTCACAATGCGGGATTGTTCCGATGGCGCCCCTCGCGGCCCCACCACCACACCAGCCCTTCCGGCACGTCGGCGCGCCACTGTGCTGTCCTTTCCGCTCCGTCGTCAATACTCCACGCTTGGACGGCCGCCGCGGGCCGCCTCGGGGCCGCCCGGCCGGACGACGTGGGGTATTGAACCCGGGCCGCGCGGACGGCAAGGCAATGCGATGCGGACAGCGCGCCGTGGTGACAATGCCGTTTTAATTGCCCCGGCTCACGACCGAGGATCAAGGACCCAGCCGCCCCAGGCGCCGCGCCGCGCTGATCGAAAACCGAAGATCGAACCAAAGCGTCGCGTCACCGGCCGCCAATCCGCGACAAGTGGTCGCGTCACCGCCGTGCAATCGCCGCTCCGTCTCTCTCGCACTCATGGCGTGTCCATGGCGTGCCGTAGGGGTGCGAGAGAGACGGAGCAAGTCGCTGCCCTTCGGCCCGGGCGGGCCAGGCCCGGCACGCACGCAGCGCCCCGGACCCTACAAGGAAGTCGCCAGCACAAAGGCATGCGACGGAGTGCTGCCCTGGGCGAAGACCACACGCCACCACCGGACACAAGCACGGCCACACTGCGAAAAATAGCTGCAGCGCGCCGTGCGAGAACAGAAAACTGTAAAGAGAAACCGGCGTCGTCTTGTGCGCGCTTCGCTCGGCGCGTCGCTGGCTTGCCCGGCCCTCGGCCTGGCCTGCCCATAATGTCAAGTTCAACGATGACGGCCTGCTCGGCCACGGCGCGGCGTGGTGGCCCTCGGCCATAAAGAAGAGCGTCCCCTGCTATCGCTCCAGTATCGCCGGATTGGCATGCCGGGCCGCCCCTCCCTCTTTCTCCGGTTCCGGCCGAGCCTTTTGACCAGAAAATAGCGGCGCTCCGGACTGGAGGCTCCAGGACTCCAGGACGGGGACGGGAAAGGACGGCCCCAGGCTGGCCAGGGGCGATTCCCGCTGACCTTTGGGCCGACGGTGCCTCGCGGTGCCTCGCAGTGCAGCGCCTGCCGCGGCGTGACGCGCCCAGCAACATGCAGTGCATCATGCACCACACCGCGCGGCGCCGAGGTCAGCGCCCTCTAGCGGCACGACACTAAACGCCTCGGCGGCGGGGGCGGGGGCGGGGGGCGTGGCCGAGGTGGACGACGGTCGATTTGCAGTCCAAAAACGAAACGAAACTCCCCGACACGCTCATAAAACGGGAAGAGTGTGTAAAAAGCACGCAGCGCGGGGGAGACGCGACTGATGCGACGTCCGTGTCGTTGGTTCGTTCGTCGGCTATCTCCGCCGCTGTCGACTCACAAAGGACGCGAGGCTGTTCGCCACCTACACGGCGAGCACGGCGAAATGCAGCGCGGCCCACGCGCGCCATTGCACTCTCGGACACGCGGCCCGGAAAAAATAAAGAGAGAGAGGAAAATAGCCGGCGAGGGGTCGCTGCCTGACGCCCACGAGGCGGTGCCCTGCCCGGCCCGGACCGAGGCCCGGACCACCGCAAGCACGACGCCAAGGCCGGCGACGGCGCCGCGGACGACGCCAACGAGAGCGCCTTCCTGACGTCCCGCGGCGCCGCGCCGATGATGAGGCCGGCATAGCCGAGGCATAGCGGAGGCTGGACCCCTCCCCTCCCCCTCCTTTTCTCTATCGAGCGGGGTCAGCGGCCGCGAGCTGGACCTGCACGTCCTGCCCACTCGTGCCCACTGCACCCGCCGGGCACTGACTGCGCGGCACCGCGCGACGCCCGGGTCCTCCGGCCGCCCCGCCCCGACGCCGCTCCGCAGTCACCTCGCCGACGACGTCGTCGCGCACCTCGGCAGGCTCATTCCGAACAGCGTTGCTGTCTCTCTCGCACACAAGGGCCGGTAGGCAAGGGTGCGAGAGGGACGGAGCGACGAAGCACCGTTCGGAAGCACACTGCCGCGCGTGTCCGCCAGGAGCAGCGCTTTTGCCGAGGAATCCGCTAAACGGCGTCGGTGCGCCGTGTGCTGGCGGTGCTGGCTGCACTGGGGCCGGGTCGTCGCCCCCACGGCGCGGCGTGCAGCGTGCCGTGCTTGGGCTGGCCGTCGGGCCGTCCTGGAGGGCGGGGAGGTCCGCGGCGGCGGCGGGGAGGCAGGAGGACGTCGCCGTGTCCCGCTGGTCCCGCTGCGACCGGACCCCGCCGCCTCGCCTCACTTTGGCGCTTTGGCCAATCGGAATGTCCGCGACGCACCGCCCGGCCCGTCCCTCCCTCGCCACAAACGCCGCAACGCCGACCGAACCCACAAGCACTCCGCCGAATGGCCCTTCACTTCGAGTGTGGTGGGACCGCGAAGCGAAACGACCCGCCATTCCTCATAGCATCGATAAAAAAGGTTTTCGTTCGGCCGGACAGCGGCACCGAGAAAAAGGTCTTCTTTTCGCTATCCCTCGGTCGAGTGCGCCCGTTCCTGTGTGTGTTGTGTGTGTGTGTGTGTGTGTGTGTGTGTGTGTGTGTGTGTCCGTGTGTCCGTGTGTCCGTGTGTGTGGGCGTTGGCGGGCGGCCTCGGCGCCTCCCACACGGCCGGCTCGTAAAAGCGAGCACCTCGCCGAGACTCCCCGAGACCTGCCCGTAAATCTCCGCCAAAGGTCTTCAATATTTGCCTGCCTGCCCCGGCTGCCCGGGAAGGCCGGTCCTTACACCGTCCTTATTACGAGCGCGCGGTGTCTCCCTCGTTCTCTCTCTCGCACCCCCTCCGGGACGCGCCACGAGCGCGAGAGAGACGGACAGGGCGGACGAACGCGCTGGTCGGAGTACTGTGCAGTAACCTGGCGGCACACCCGGCTCGCTTCCTTGACGTGGCCGTCGGCGACGCGACGACCCTTCGCCCGGGGCTCGGAGTTACGACCTCGGGCCGTTCATACGCGACCCTGACAGGCCCAGGCCGCGACCCCAGACGGCCTGACAGCGCCCTTCCCATAAATCTTGCCTTCGGAACCGAGCCCTTCTCCTCGAGTCTCCTCAGAAGACCGGTGGAGGCGGCCAAGATTCTAGACGCGTAATGAGCTCGAAAGTCGCTAAATCGGACTCGAACCGAACGTGTGACCCCACCAATGAATTGCTCTTCGAACGAGGAATCCATTGGTGGGTCACACGCTCGGTTCGAGTCCTGTTTAGAGACTCTAGAGCTCTAAACGCGCCCAGAGTTGTTAGCCGCCTCCACCGGTCTTCTGGCAAATCCACTGTGGCCCCCCGAGCCCTTCGCTCTCCAAGTTCCGATTGGCGCATTGTCGTCCAGCGCGGCTTACATCACGCCGGCCGCAAGCGCGCACCGCACCGCACCGTCGCGGCCCCGCGGGTGGCGGGCCACGCGGTGGGCCAGGCGGGCCGCCCACCGTGTTGATTTATGGCGGCTCATCAATTTGAGGCACGCAGCAGTGCCGGCAGCGCTCCGCCGTGGGACCGCCGCCACGCCGCGCCACGCCGCCCGCCAAAAACTTGGCGCCGACGGAGGAAAGCGAAAAGCGTCCAGAACAGCAAGCTAGCCGTGGCGGCGGTGCCCGTCCATGCGGCCATCGTGACGACGCGGCGCGGCGCGGCGGGGCGCGTGAGGCGGCCATCAGCAATTGATTCCCAGCCAAGCCTCGCTCGGGCTGGCGGGCGGGCGGGCTTGTTCGTGGGGGTAAAGGGCGAGGACTATCCCGTCCGAGTCCCGGCGTCCCGACGCCGTCCCGTCCCGCCCCGTCCTGCCAGGCACAATGGCGCGATGGCTCCTTCCCGCGGGGGAAAGGAAAGCACAGCGAGGCACAGCCTTATCACGAAGTGTGCATTCTGCATTCCGATTGCATGGCTGTCCGGACCCGGCCCGGCCCGGCCCGCGCCGACGTCGCCGAGCTCTATTTGATAGCCGTCAAGTCGACTCGACTCAAGTCGATGACCGAACTAGGAATGCGAGTGAAAGGCGTGGCATCGCGGCGGCAGTGGAAAAAAGAAAAAAAAAAGCGCGCGAACCGGCGCCGCCGACCGCCAATCCCGCGGGACGTCATCCTGGACGTCGTCATCCTGGACGTCATCCGGGACGTCGTCCATCAATGGGACGACTCTCGGCGCGATTGAGACGCGTTCGGCCTTCCGGAACGCCACTGTGCTGAGCGAGGATCGGCCAGAAGACCCGTTCGGCGGACACAGCACAGCTAGACTCGTTTTGGACTTGCACTTGCAGGTGCGTGGGGTTTGATTCGAGGCC